CTGGCCAACTAATAGATGGATTATAAAACGCTGTCGCCCACTTCACGAGGAATTGTTTTCATCTCGTTCATGTCTAAATACTTACACATCTAATGACATTCCAGGCCTTTCCTGTACTTTTGGTCATGCGTTGATTAGCAAATGTTGGCTTGCTGAAACAAAAAAACTAATTTAAAGTGAACATCAATGTTAGCATTGTTTCTGTAAGCATGTTCGTGTTTTGGCTTTAGCACGTCGGTGCCTATGCACAGTCTCACAGTGCTCCTCGCATGTAGACTCTGGTGTCAATTCACTAATGACATTGAATCACGTCTTTACTTTGAATTTTTATATTGACATTCAAAACTGTGATATTAGGTCATGATTTTGCAACTAATCACCAAATATGCAACAGCCTCCTCTTGCGTTGCTTTCTATATTTCGGTTGTGTTTTCCTGCTCACTTTCTGCCTCTTCTTCTCTCACATAAACACTTTCACTTCTCATGCGTCAGTATGTGTCTTTATGTAATCATATGTTATTTTTATAAAATAAATAAAAGTGATTTGACTGCAGACACATAAAAAAGCATTTAATTGGAATTACTGAAATTAAAAGTATACCTTCCTGCAAGTGGGTATAAGTCAGTCTGTTGCCTCTTCTCTCATCATTTCCTCAGCTCCCTACAATGCATCTTAATGGATTTTCATGCCTGGAGCAGATTCCAGGCTGGAACGGGATTCTAATGCATATCTCGGTGCTTCAATAATGAGTAATATGACAACACTCTCAGCTATCACACTACCCCCAAACTGTCACTGGTCCACTACTACGCCTTGAGACAAGTTCACCCTGAATAATTTAGCCTCAGTAGTCAGCGAGGAGGTTTTCTTGGCCGAAGTTTCTCAAAGGTCTTCACCGACGTGTGCTTCATGCGATGGCGGCAAGCTTCACACATGTTTGATAGAGGGTGCACACAGCACCAATAAAACCAAGTGCATTACACTGTAATGGAGGACATGACGAGTGTGTTCAATATCGATAACAAGAACAATTTTTGGCAATAATCCACCTGAACGATACAGTCCCAATAAAGCTGATCGACACACATACGGATATGTAGGCGGGAACTACAGTTCAGACATAGAGCTGTGGGTCTATGCAGAGAATGGTGTTTTAGATTGCTGTAGGGAACAATCACATTTCATCAATGCAACACATTGCTGAAAATTGTTTAATTACTGAAATTTGACGTGCGTGTGGGGTAAATTTGAAAACTGAAAGTCGGAGAAAAAGATGGATTCACATGAATAGTCCCAATTTTCTCAAAACAAAAGAAATCTAGTTCAGTTAAAATAATTGGAAGGATGCAAGACGGCAGATGAAAAGCTGTAACTGCTTTCTTTTGCACTTCAAATGACTGGAAAAAAGAGAAACTTGTATGTGTATAATTGAGAGTCTGGACCACTGCTTCATCCTGTTCACCACGTACCAAAATGGTCAATTAAGAACATATAAGAAACTTTATATATATAGGAGGCTTTGTAGTGTCCTGTAGGAGACAACTGACGTATTGATATTTGACGGGTTTGACTTCAAAAGAACCTTTCATTCATCTCGAGTTTACTACTTTTCAACCGTGTGCAACTAGTATTTTTTATTTTTACAACATAACAATATTTCGCTGTGCACAAGTATTTTTTCATACAATATTAACCATCTGTATATTCAGACAATCTTTCTACTACACTCCTATGTCAAAATACGACCATTACCTATTGTCGATCATTCTATCAATCAGTCAATCTGTATTCAGCATTAGCTTGTTCAGTTCCGCTGGGGCTTTGAGCAAATATCAGCACGCACACCAGAGAAGGAAGGATGCTCACACAATTGAAAGTAATAATAATAACAATAGTTATAACTTGATCTACCGTTTGTCTCCTCTGTGCCTCACACACAAACACAGCCACACTGACGTCCTGTTCCGCTCTGCCAGTCTCCCAGGACCACCCCAGGGTGCCACATCACAGGTTTGTTTTTCCTGTATCTGCTCCATCAGAGAGGAGCAGGCCTCATTAGTGTGTAGGCCCTGTAGAGTCCTGGGGCCCCTAAACCCACACAGCCAACCTCCAGCGGCCCCTTCGGGACCTGAGCCCCAAACACAACAAATCACTGAAACAAAAACGCGTGCTAGCATCCCTAATGCCCAAATCTTTACACTTCAAAAACACAATTATGCTAATGCCAGGAATCATTTGCCATTCCAATTCTGATTTAATGCGGCCTTTTAGTGGGGAAAGCTAATTAGAGGCTTTAATTAACATGTGCGACACAAACTGAAGAGAAGTGCGAAGGAGCCTGTCGATCACGGTGGAGCACGACGAGAGCCGGGGAGAGAGCGGGAGCGAGGAAGGGGAGTCTGAAAGCTATGCAAATGAGGCGAGGGAGCGCCACTGGGAGGCATGGATATCTGCCGCTACAACGGTTCCTGTAAATATCACCGTGACCCGCAGACAGAGTGGAGTCAGCTCATTAACACATATCGGAATGTGTCACCGGAATTCAGCCCGTGAGGGTCAGCGCCGGTGAGATGCAACCTGAGTTTAGTGAGGGTGGCGTCATTAAAGCCGGGACAAAACACACGATTTAATCTCATGTCCTGGAATGCAAATACGCCATTCAAGTCGCATCGTCCTTTTCTGTGTGCCTGCCTCGAGGTGGACGGCCCAGTGCACAGCTGGACACTCGCTACTCCTTCGTACTGGCCATCTTTAGCGAAAGATGTGCTGCCCGAATGCACCATGCGACTACATTCACAAGCTTCTCATCAAACACTTATTGGAAGGTGAACCCGGCACAGCTCTGCATTATTGTTGCAAAACATAGCTCAGCATATCATCCTCACTTTAACAGGTATATGAAAAGATGATCACCTCTGGTTTTTTCGCGGCGCTGCGGTTTTTCCGCCTGAATATAAACTAGGCCACAGAAAACAAGGAATTGAAACAGAATATTGGAGCTGAAAATAAGAAAGCTTCAAGAAATGTACCTATTAGTGTCTGTGCTTTTATTCTGTTTTTCACATAGATTCGCATTTTCACAAAGTTCTGCTGCACAAGAAATACACTTTAATATCCAATGGATGTTCTAGGGCTTTGTTCATTTTTCACTTTTATTGGTGAAAGTACTTTCGTGCCACCAACTGAAAGTGGTACTTTTGGAGGTTTCATTAAAACACATTAGGCTGCTCGGTAGGATGCAATTTGCATACTTGATCTATGGGACGGGAGTTCTGCTTAAACTATTACCCGTTAATTAGATTAGATATTATATTATAAATTGCTTTTCCATTTTAACCATTTTTTATGACTTTTTTTTTTTAAATAGTATGGTTTTATGTCAGGTATTTATGGTGTGTAAATGTATCATTTATTTGTACATTTAATCAAGTGAACATTTCCTTTCTATTGCAGTTCATATTTTCTTAATTAAAAAAAAACATTATTGTTTAGTTGATTTGGATTTAGCAGTGCTCTAATTAAAATGCTCACTTTTGTCTGTAAAGGCTATAAGATGTAGAATACAGGGATTATTTCCACAGTCGGAGGCTCTGCAGCCATAAATCCATTTTCTTCTACTTTGCCGAAGCGCTCAGTGCACAAATCTGACAGGGCTTCAATCCTGTGTGAGCTCAACAGGGTTTTCTCTTGGGAATCAATGCAGCAGCAGGGGAGTCAAAGATGGAAGTGCATAGTGCAACATCTCTGATGGCTACATGTGTAACCACTTTAAAATGCATAGAATGAACATTCCATTTAAGTCCTGGGTCAGGAATGCTGTTATGGAATAAGTACATTGTTGTATGTAATTGCCTGTACAAGCTGTATTCATTGTTAATGCAAACTGAATATGTGCTGCTGCCCGCTCTCCACATTTAAAGTGTTTAGCTGGCTAAAGACAGGCTTTTATTGTGCAGCAGTCATGGAAATCCAATGTGTTTGTCTATGCGCTTTATGCTAACTGCCGACATTCGAGAAGTCAAGGCGGGGGAGGGTGATACAGTTTGACATATCTCAAGGAGTAACGAGAAAAGGAGCAGCCAGTAAACCTCCAATTCTTCTGTAAAATAGAAAGGGCTACTCTGTCCGGCTGTTGTGCTAAAAAGAAAACATCAGCCATGTGTAGCAGGAAATCAGCTATGGGTGCATCTTCTATTGATTGACCTATTATTCTTTTTTTCACAAGAGTCTGACTGTTGTAAGAAAATACACCAGCTGCTCATCTGAAGTGTTTCTAGGGTGTCCTGTATAGCATATATAAATCCCGCTTGCAAGCTCTGAATCAAGAACTGACATTTTGCAGAATTTAGCATTTTATTCTGTGTTTTCTGCAGTACATATTGTTTCAAAAGAGTACTGAATTAACTGTAAGAACTGTTATAAAGCACCATGAATACACCCAGGGTCTCCTCCTTTCCAACTAGGGCTGTCAAAATGAACGCGTTAATCTATGAGATTATTGTGGCCGAGGTTAAGGGACCGAGACGGTAGTTGAAGTTGAAGAGATTTAACATGGTGGCAGATGCTGGGTTACTTCCATCTTAACATCTACCATGTGCAGCATACAGTCTAGAGAGGATCCGTTCAGAAGCAGTTTGGAAAACGTCCTGGCTAAATGTTGGATGTCAGATGGAGAGTTGAGAGCACAGCAAAGTGCACGAGGACGGCAGGAAGAGTTGCTAGTTCAAAATGTTCCACCCAGAAATCATTATTATGAATTATGTGTGTGGTTTTTCTTTTAAAATAGACATTGTTTCAAGTGATTACTCATTCATTTATAAGATGTATTTTTATGAAAAACAAACTTAATTGCGATTAATCTATATTAATGCATTTCAAAATGTGAGATTATTTTGAGATCATATTGGCTGTTTTAAACTTTGGGCTACCGTCCTTCATTTCATGCATCTTTGCTCTTGCTCTTTGAAAGGAGACTGTACGAGTATTTAGTAAAGCTCACCCATGTGTTAAGTCTTGTTGTCTGAGGTTCAACCAACATCTTCATGGCTCATCATGTCCTCTTGACCTGAAGACAAGTACAAAGGAAAACAGCAATAAATAAAATACATTTAACATTGTTACTTTTAAATTGCTTGTCTGATCTGAGGTCGCATATGATGGATTTTCTCTCGCACTTCTGTGGAGGTCGGGGACATTGAACCAGAGTAGTGACTAGTGGTTCAAAACTCTTCTATTGATTAAGCTCCGACGGTAAGTTGTGGCCTCAAGGTCTCAAGGGGCCCTCGAACTTCCTGGTGGACACCGGTGGTCAGGGAAGCCGTCCGACTGAAGAAGGAGGCCTTCCGGGTTATGATATCTGGCAGAATTCGGGAGGCCGCCATAAATGAGGCAAAGGAGCGAGTGTGGGAGGCGTTTGAGGTGGCTTTGGAGAGGGACTTTCAGTTGGCACCAAAGTGTTTCTGGAAGAGCATCCAGGAAGAGACCCTGGGCAAGACCCAGGCAACACACTGGCCTGGGAACGCCTTGGGATCCCCCAGTCAGAGCTGGAAGATGTGGCCTAGAAAAGGGAAGTTTGGGGTCCCCTGCTGGACCCGACCCCGGACAGGCGGATGAAGATGAGTTATGAAATATTGTTCACTTTTGCATTGATTGTCCGGCAAATTTAGCATTTTCTACACATCACATGGCTGTGGAATGGAAGTAAAGTAAAAAAGTAAACTATAAAATCATTTTGCTAATAATACTTGTGTACTTTAAGTAAGATTGTGTATTTTTTTAGAAAATGATTTTTATGCAAAATGTGAAATATGTGGGTGCTTGAAAAAACTTAAAACGTACCTATATTTTTACCTGTCCTGAAAGAGCCAATAAACTCACTAAACAGGCTTTCATATTGCCCATGAAGAAATCAATATTATGTTTACCACTACCTAAATAGTAGCGTTGCTGAGGTTGGCATCAGAGGGGCCTTTACAGTGAACTTGATTAAAAGAAAATTGCTTTCAAGTGATCTCTGCCGGCTGGGAGGTTGAGTGGGAGTGCTCTTGTATGCAGCACTGGTGGCGTTTCACAAACTAGGCTTTCGGGGTGAGGAAACAAGATGAAGAAATGCTTTGAAACTGCCTGAGGACAAAGAATGAGGAGGCACTGGTGACATGGTGGCGCAATATTGCAGCAATGATAATTTTCTTCCAGATACCACTTCTGAGACTGGCGAGATTAAACGTCATTTCTGTCTTGAACAATTATTCTCTCTCTAAATCTTTATGCCATTTAAAATAACTTTTTTGTTGGGCAATAAACTTTGTCTGAAACAGTTATATTTGTGTATAGAATATGTGTTGCTGCTCACTCCAACAGCATAACTGTAGAGGACAAATTATGTGCAAAGCATGCATGTGGGAAATAAATAAATTGATAAAATCCCATAATTATTTTGTATTGTTAGGTAGGCTATTCCCCTGACAGGGGTGTCGGATAGATTTGGGTCTTTAATTTTAGAACTGTCAAATTTGGGTAATTTATTCCTTGAATAAAAATTGACATCAGGAGATAAAATACTGTGGCTGATTTCCATGAAACGTTCACTTAATTGGCTTTCAAAGGGTGGAGTGAGCGCTGATGAATAATTTAACTACTTGGTTTTAAAGTAGTCTGACTTATGGGAGAATACTATTGGAAATCCATTACTGCGCACGGTATAACTTTTTTAAAGCCACCATCCCAAGATGTAATTTACATTCAATTTGAATTTAGTTTCTCGTCAGGAAGTCATTAAAACACCTTGTCAGTCCAGTTATGTATGAATCCAAAAGGGCAACACCAAGAAAATAAAAATAGACCAAGTCATTGTTGGTCAAGGTTTTCTCAAAGCATATTCTTCTTTGTATTAGCTTCATATGTCAAATAGATAAAATAATTAGCAAATAATGACAATTACTTACTCACTGCATCTGTGTTTATTTTGATGTATACTTATGCTGTAGCACACATACTCTCTGGTACCTGAACATGATGCATTTGCATATGTACAGAGGTAGTAAACAACAGATCCAGTGAGATTTAACTACAAATAATCCTCAGAATAAATAATGTAACATGATTAATGAGCTTGTTGGACAAACACAATGCAGGTGTGTTTGTTTTGTCAGATTTTGGTATTTGGTTAATCTTTGCATTATTAAAAATAAAAGAAAACAGTTAAAGTAAAATATGCATAATGTGCTTGAAATGAAAATGTGCTTATGGATGATAACAGAACCAACTACACTTTGAACATATTGAGAATATTTGGTGTTTTTAAACTTAAATAAATATAAATATAAGATTCATTTGTGAGGTTTGGTTTCTAGTCTCTCTGCTCGGCAATTTAGCTAATCAGATGCCGCTAATAACTGTACCAAATGAGTGGTATCAATCCCTGTTCCTTTAATCCTTTAATTGAATGTCTGCAGTAACTATTTTCTGTTTTGTGTCCCAGCATGCACTGGATGCCAACCATAGATGAGTTGCCAGCAGTTCCAACAGATTCATGTCATTAAATTGAATGGTCTAGCTTGCACTCTAAAGCTTTACAATTTTATCCAAACAGCGTCTAATACTTCTTTTAAGTTAGTGAATCACTTATTTAGAATGTAAGACATTTTATCTCGGAAGGAGAACCCCGTGAGATGCAGCTGACAGATAGCTAGCAGCGTCTTGTCTGAAAGACAGAACATGCAGCCCAAAGACGGACAGAGACAAGACGGGACACTTCAGTGACCACGTTCAGATGGGTGAAATCCCCCGGTCTGACAAGCTCATCCCGTGCGATCGATAGGCGCTGTGACAACAGCCCCTCTCGTCACAGGCTGGAGAACAAGCTGTTGTGAAGGTCTGAGAATGGAAGATTGGCCCCCGGAGGGAAGGCTTGATTTACGAGCCCGAGTCCAGATAGAGGAACAGTCGCCCCCGTACCGCGGAGGGCTTTCCTGCCGCATCAGTCTCCCGCTCCCCGTCCGCCTGCCGCAGTACTTGTCCTCCTTTCTGTGTCTACTGTCCGACAGCTAAAATGGGCTGAAATGACATACCACCCAGGAGAAAACACTTCTCTATCTACTTTCACTTGGAACTACTGAAAAGTGAAAATCCCACATGTCACCTTTAGCTTCGGCCAGAGTAGCGATTGGGGATGATGCTTGTCAATGTGAAGCTAGATAATGGAAGAGAAAGTGCAAATAAGATGCCATGTAGCCGTTGACCACTGGGAGAAGGGTGACATTCAGCAGGTTAAATGTGCTGCTATACGACCACCCTGCAAGGAAAACAATGACACAATCACCTTCAGGCGATGGCACACTAGGTTGTACCGGTCCTAGCAGACATCGGGGCAGAGAGGAAGACAAATACTCTGATGCTCTGTTGACCGACTGCAGCTTAGTTTACAGAAAATACTGAAAATGTAACAGCTTTTAAGGTGCGACTTACCCCAGCATTGTAAAATAAAAAATACGCAGCAGTCATTTTCTAAAAGAATCATTTATTATTAATTTAGCTAACTTGACCGAAACCCTCTATCAAGGCCTTTAAAAAAAGTTAATTCATCAGCTATTCAAACCAGTCGAGAGAACCGTATCCCTAATAAGCACTGACCACACATCCTGGCAATATCTGAAACCCCAAAGTCTTTCCCGCATACAGTTGCAACCCCCTCCCCCTCTTTAATTCATCAGACTGGCTGTTGAGCGAGTGAAGACACCCTGCCTCCATCCCTCTCCTGAGCCGTATCAATATTCATGGGTCTGCCGGGTGCGTTTGTGCAATGGCTGTCTCATTAGCCTTTGATCCCCTTGCGCGAGGCCTGTCGGAGTGTCGATGCGCCAACAACAGAGCAACGTTTGAAGTGCAGAGAGAACAGCTGCTTGCATTGATCTCCATATACTTTCTTTGCCATCCACGCGCACGTCCGCGCATACACAGATGCTGCCCACAGGCACATGAATACATGCATCTAGTGCTTAGCGCAGTCTGACCTCACCACTGCAAAGGGTGCGATTGCGGCGTGCGTGTACCTGCTTTATGGCATGTATCAAATATCGGGCTGAAAAGAAGACGTTCGTTAATGTGTTGATCGGCAACTAATCTTTTAATCGTTCCATTATATGGTCCTTTGTTTTCAAAGGAAAAGAAGGTTGAGTATCTCTCAATTTTCCAAAACGTTTATAAGGTCTTTTGTGACAGTAAACCAAATATCTCTGGGTTTTAACAATTGGTCAGATATTAAATGGAAGTTTAAATGGACATTTATTCCTATTTTATAACATTTCATTGACTAAAAGATGGGTTGTTTTATCAGTGAAATAATCTACGGATTAATAATAATGATAATATCATGCTTTTTGCAACCCAGGTGTTGAAATTGTATGTATTAAATCCTTGAAAATATAATTAATAAGTGGAAGGTAGAATGTATTCATCTGTAAAATGACGGGCTGAATATCACAATCATCACGATATTATATAATCTCAACTCATGAACGAGCTTGGACTTAATTGTCTTATTAACAACACAGCATCCCTGATTTACATAGATTAAAAAAGAAATATATACAGTTTGAGTGAAGATTACACATAGAATGCTTCACACTGGAAATTGATGAGGTACTTTCTCGATCAAGATATGAATACTGATACGGAATTATACTGCAAGCTGGAACAAGGCTGTTAAAAGCTCTGTGAAAAGCCACCACAACGCAGTGGGTCGTTTTGGAAATTAAAGTAATACCTGTTGAAATTTGGAATAATTTGGTAATTTCCACAAAAGCAGGTGCAATTCGATATTATTATATATTATTATCAGTATAATATTATATAATGTAACTCCCCTTCTCTTCATTCATGATAAAAGTCTTTTTTCTGAAAAATTTGTTCAAGCAGCCAATAAGAGATGACATCATATTTCATACAGCGCTAATTCGGTACCACTGAAAAACAAAAGGCTCTGCACAGATCTTGAATTTTACTTGAAATAATTGGTGTGAACCACAATTAACCCTCATACTTTGATGTTATCAATGGTATAACAGGACAACTGAATATTACAACTGAACATTTTCTACTATGCAGCCAGGACGGAGAGGGCACGGTAACTATGACATCATGACATCTGCACCAAGACAGTTCCTGCACTAGTCCACCAAATTATCTTCCACTCTGTTCTGAAATGGTATCTGCTGCAATTCAAGAGCACAGTTTAAAACAAAGACTTGGAGCTTTTGCGGGCAATTGCCCCCCTGGGAACAGGTTAACAGATCAATACCACCAGTGTGCCTGATAACATTAGACCGTCCTTAATGGCACTAATGAAGAGAGTGGTTGACAGATGCTCAGGGAGACTTAGTTCAGAGAAATAGTCCGTTGGCCGCAGAGCCAGTTCAGTACATCAAACGTTTTAGATGATTTTCAGTTTTTTTGATGTATTGATTGCATTACAAACTGCATTCATTCATTATTTTTTCACAGTTGAGGAATGTTAAATACATAAAGTCAAGTTTTCGACAATAAACCCAAACCACAAGTAGTAGTTTTATAAACTGAATTCAGGGAAAATCCAATAGGCAGTTACTACAAGCGTTGGTATGAACAGCACATGGAAGTTTCTAACACTCAGTGATGCATTGTGAGTGAAAGGATGAGAAGAACAGAAGACAACATTGGTGCCACGTTTTAGAGGTCATTACTTCTTTTGAATGTCCTTGATAACATCAGCCCACGCTGTTCTCTGAATGAGCCTGATTGCATGAAATGTCTTCAAATGTCAAAAGAGACCAGAATCCCAGCAGAGTTTGCTCCTGACATTTTGATAAATCAGACCTTGTTCTGCCCCATTTACACACACACACACACACACACACACACACACACAGAGGGAGAACAACCTGCTGCTGAAAAGCCTCAGCAGGATCTTTTCTAACGCGTTACTTAACACCCGGCGCCTGAATGCTGCTGGTCCTCCTGATGGAGAAGAGGAGAGGGATGGAAGGAGACTGTGTAACGTACCTCGCGGCGGACGTCTTGGTTGTCACTTCAGGCAGCTTATGGGATGCAGCGGCCGGGCGGGACCGTGGACTTCTCTCGGTCTTCTTCCTCTCGGACTTCTCTGGGATGGAGAGTCGGGAGCAGAGCTGCTCCTTCGTTGCCTCCTCTCTGCCTCTGGCGCGCTCTGCCACTGTCTCAGCCCGCCTCACTATCATAGCTCCCTCGTATGCTACTCCCCCTCCTCTTCTTACTCCTCCCCTTCCCTACGCCCGGCTCACTGCCCTCACTCGTCTCTCCTCCAGCACCCAACTCCTCAAACTCAAGGCTGACAAAGGAGTCTTTTGTCATTAGTTTAATAAATGGGACCATGAAGTTAATTTTTTAAAGGGTAATGTGAGTTTTCTAAATTCCATTGATCAGAAAAGTCAAATCTTAATATTGCACGGCGGACCACGGTTTTAACAAAACATATTTTTTGTCATCTGATTATTTTCCCAAGTAAATTCATGGAAAAATGGTATGAGGAAGTTAATTCCCAAGTTCAACTTGACGGTAGCACATTGTTTGTTTTATCCAGCACAGAATCCCAAACTCTCAAATATAGTTAGTTACAAGGTTACAAGAAAACCAGAAAATTCCCAGATTTGAAAAACTACAATCAGGGAGTGTGACGCTTTTTCATATCGATTGATGATTCAAGCTGTTTTGCGGACTCGATGGGCCGGTGTTGCTCAGTTATTGCATGTATGAGGTAAATTTAGGCAAAAACGCCTCTATTATTCATTGACTCCCCTTATTAAAATCATACAAATCTCACAGGGAGTTATGTAGATAGAAAACGACAGTTGAGTTAATGGATTATCTTAAGATTTCACACAATTCAAAGCATGGGCATTTGCATAAGGGGATGACTCTGGATACCAAAAGGCTGTCGCTCATGTATCGTACATTCAGTGATCCGATCTCATCACTATCTGGTGCATCACTCACAGCTTTCCCGCTGTCTAAGTGAAAACAAACAAGTGGATTTGTGAATGCTGAAAGGAAAAATGAGAGGCTCACATGGCTCAACGAGGTGCGTTGAATGAGTGTTTCCACCACTGACAGGATTCATTGGTTATTTGGGTTTTTGGAGCCCGATGACCACTCGTGGATTCCTCAGCACTGGCCAGTTTTCAGTCTTTTTTTCTCTCCTCTCCTCTCCTCTCCTCTCCTCTCCTCTACTCTACTCTCCTCAACTGCCTCTGCCCCTGTTTCCATAGTGACACTTTCCCCGAGTCTAGCTCAACACAATCAAGTGAGCGAGATACGGGTGGGGGTTGGGGGGCGAGAGAGGGAACTGGAAGTGGGTTGAAGGAATGGCAAAGATGAGAATTACAGAAAAAAGGAGATAAAGGATGAGATAAAGATGTTTTTTTTCAGTGGCAAATACCGTCTTCTGTTTGAGTCCATTGCTGTCTGATGTTGAGTTCTGATCAGGTATTTTGGAAAGCCTTGGCATATGGTTGAAATAATTGCCATGGCCATCAAACCACCGAGTGGCCACTTGTGCTTTGTGACGATGCTCCCACCAGAGCAGAAATTAAATATGGGATAGAGTTGATCAATCTGAATTTTAATGAGTAAGTGACTCACGCTCAGCTCGTCTCTACTGCAGGATGCCAGGCAGAGATGCTGCTTCAAATGCTGGAATCGAAGGATGTACAACGTTTGGACCAAATGTGATCCAGTTAATCCGTTCCGCTGCAGCTTTTTAGCTGTCTCGAGGGGTCGTCTGTCCGTCGGTCAATTTGGTCACTACGATGCAGACTGAAATATCCCAGTATCTTTGGGGTGTATTTTCAATAGCCTGCAATTGAGTGGACCTTGTTACATGATGTCACTAATTGGTTTGTGGAGGGTTGTTTTCAAGCTTGGAGTTAAACCGTTTCACCGTCGCCAACTTGATTTTTTCAACCGAAAAAAACATTTTGGGCCACCGAAATGATGCAATTAACTGTCATGAAAAGAAAAATCACTGTATAACAGTTAAATTTGTAGGATAAAAAAACCCAACTGTCAGACCAGACAAGTGGTAGATACCTGTCAATCACAAGCTGGCCACGCCCTTACTGGGACCTCAATGGAACCATCATTTTATGATAATTTCCTAATGCTGATGTTAAATTCGTGCTCGTGCCATGAATGTTTACTTTAAATATAGCGAGACTCCCCATTAGACGTAAGAATGATTGTGTTGTACAAATCATTATTTCGCCGCATCGATTGTCATTGATTACTGTTGACTGCTGTTCTTGATTTACGATCAACGAACGAGCAGGAAAATGACCCGTGAACTCACTAATTCCCCATCGATCCCCGGGCAGTTGCGTTGCTGCCTGCCTCCCTCATCCGGGAAGGTCAGGCGGCGGGGTCAGCCACCCGTGGACCCAGTACAGATTTAGAGACGTGATTAAAAGGACACTTCTTCAGGGTGGACACCGGGGGTCACGAGGATCGAATATGGGACTTAATGGCTTATGGGATGATTTCTCTGACGACGAGGCGTCTCTGCCGTTGTGCTCAAGAAGACGAAGGACACACACGTCTGATAGAAAAGGAATTATCTCTTTATTGACGCTCGAAGGAGCGGAGCCGGATGTTTAAGAATATCTGGTTCCGACCCGGAAAAAAAGCACAATGGAATGTCATCTTTTTTCATATTTTGGCATTTCTTTTGGGCGCAAACAGCATTCGTCTCATCAAACACATTTATTTTTTAATTCAGCATTTAGCAGAAAGGCAGATATTTTTATTTACAGCAAAAGTGCATTCTCAACCATACGTTCTCTATAAAAGTGGATCTCTTTGTATGCACACAGGCAACATGCCAAACTGGAGAAATTGATTGACTTAAAAAGGTCAGTTCTGAAAACCACGGGGCAGTTTTTTTAGCACGTGCACAGATAGACCCCTTGTGGTGCTCAAGCACTTGTTTTGGTTTGAGCACCTGTCCCCCAGAATGTCTGTGCATGTGCCTGGTGTCAAAAATACTAGAACCGAGCGCAAAGGTGGTCAAAATGGATCTAAACGTTGGCTGAGGTGCAACTGAGATGTCCAAATTCCAAATTGCTCTATCAAACAGATAAGAGGGCCAGTTAAGGTTTGAATGTAATAAGGGTTTCCTTGCCTCTTTGGGTACAAATAGTGCAGTAAGAGACATATATTTCACTCTATATCCCATGTGTTTAGATTTATATATAAACGACAGCTAAACATTTATTCAGTATTCTTATTGGGGCTGTCTCAGTGCTGTCACTTTTACATATCTGGAACAAGAAAATTGCACATCCTGTCTGCCTGAAAGCCAAATTGGATGTTGGGCTTCCCCATAACCGCAATGTTGGCAATATCCCTATCATCCAATTTGTGATAGCCCTGCCTACGCGAGCACCTGGCTGAGCACAAACTTGTCGGAAAGACTTATGTCTCCCTAACTCTAAATTCCAATCTCAGCCTGTTAGTTATCCCCGGCTTTAGTTTAGTTGGCGGGATGATTGACAGCCGGCTGATTGGGGAGCTGTGGATTTTTGTGCCCTCAAGTCAGATTCTGAAGGGATTCAACCAATTACCGCTCAAGGGCATCAAGACAAGGTGCAGAGGGTCGACGGCGGTGCAGGTTGTACTCTAACCCCTCGTGGCGCTCGTGCACGCCAGAGGGTACAGTAGGATGCAGAGAGGAGGAACTGCAGAGATTACGGCAACACAGGCAGTCAGACCTGGCAGGTTATGTCTCTCGTAATTAGAAGAAAAAGACTCCTTCTATTGCTTGTGAGGGAAACGCTAAAACAAAAGGGGAAGCGAGAGGTGGGGCAGGCGGATGTCACTGGTAGCGATTTTGTGTATTTACTATAAACATCCTGACCAAGAATATCCACCTTCGTCTGATCAGTATTCAGACGTTCCCCCATTCCATAACATTTTTTCAGAAATGACACCCTGTAAAACAATTGTTACAATTATATTACATCTGCTGCAGTCCCAATTGTTGAAGCCCTAACAGGAGAGCTAACAGGTAACAGGTGAAATGTCACCCCAAACCTAATGAATCTGTCCTTAAAGGTTACAAAAGAGCAGTATACATTTATTCATGTTCCGTTCAATACAAAACACATCTGCAGCGACACATTTAATGTCAGCACCACCGCGTTATGTTAACAGGTAACTCAGCCTGTGTCACCGTGACTCATTAACTGGCAACAGGCATTGTGTGCGGTGAACATCGGTCATGCATTCATTGAAACAGGTGTTCCCATCTCAAATGCAGTCCAATGTAAAAATAATCATAACAGTCATCTGAAAATTAAAGTTTACAGAGTATATCACTGCTTGTGTTGGAGTAGCAGGCAGATTTGAAGAAAAAACATTTTTTATAAAAGTGCTTTTTGTGGTGTTAGTGATGCTTTGGTCGATCGCTTTGTGTAATGTGGGATATTTTGTGTGTGTGTGTGTGTGTGTGTGTGTGTGTGTGTGTGTGTGTGTGTGAGAGAGAGAAACACGACAGAGGGAGAGCAGACACCGACTTGTAAATGATGTCTTTCATCTCTTGACTTCAAATGTGGCTGTCACCCACTTCCATTATACAGGGGGATGAAGTGGGACACACAAGACAGACTGTAAGACGGAGAGAGTGAGAACAAAGGAAGCCGAAAAATGGCCGTGCACACACACACACAGACAGATTGGACTGGACTAGAATAATCACTAAGAAACCGAGAAATTAATTATTCTTCTTGCAGGAACTTGAAATGTAAGATTTCCTGACCGTTATATTGAATATCTAGATGTGGAAAATGAATCCCTCAACAAAACACCAATGTTGAGGCCTTGAGGAGGCAACTTAAAACCCCAAATCGCTCTAGTGGAGCTGCCCAGTGACCAACAGCATCAGACTGTGGCTGCATTGAGTGAATGTCTGCATGAGTTTGGAGGACAAGGCTGAAAAAAAAGCAGCCAGCAAAACCCCAAACAGGATTGGAAAGGAAATCTAAATCTAGACAGTACCCAGGGAATATCAATTCACTTTAGACAGGGCTGCACGGTGTAAAATGAAAGTCCCTCGGGGAAATTAAAGTGTAATAAAACAGGACATTCATATATTACAGTAATACGGCCGGCCGTTTTCACATCGGAGAGCCCGGATCCCAGAGTAATTCCTTTCGCTCCCTCACGTCAGTCACTTCTCATGTTTTCATTGACATCTCGGACAGCAGTGAGGGGAAATTATAAATTGCTTTTCAGAGTCTCCAAACTCCCGTTTACAGGTACACTTCCTCTTAAGAGAATAATGCATGGCAGCATATGTATGGGACATTTTGGGTTAAACCAGAATGACCAATTCTGATCAACTGTAAAGTGATTAGTGGTAGAGCTCCCATGACGACAACACACCCGCTTTTGGTAAGACATTGAACCCCTACGTTATTCTGGAGCGCAAGCTGACCTTTGACCTCAAATGTCAATGTCTATGAATCAATTCTGTAGACAACCAACTGAATATTAAGCAGAAAAGCCACATGTAAAAAAATCAGGGTTACTTTTCAGCTGATTTAGATCTCAGTTATTATGGTGAAATTGATTCATATATTTTAGTTTGGGTTTGAATAACATTGAACTTAATTTATTTACATCTCTAGTTTAAAATCCACTTCTGTGTTCTAACTAGTCTCCGATTGAAAGCCCCTTCATGCACGTCAAGATTTAACTGAGGTGCTCTTTTTTTAGCAGGCCAAAATAATGCCAATATGAAGCGTAAAATTGCATTTTACGGGTGTTTGTTTCACTTTGTTTTATCAAGGGGCCCATTAGTTCACGCCAAAAGGCAATCGCTGCTCTTTTTCACAACGAGCTGAGCGGCAAATACAATTAGGTAAACCTAAAGTACAGTAACTATTCACATAGCATTAGGGCAGCGGTGTTAAATAAGTTTAACAGACATTTGCTCGAGGACAGGCATGGAGGAGAAGTGTTACTATTCTAATGAGCGCTTCGTGCAGAAGGGGATAAGCAGCACTCTTCACCTTACACACCGAAACCCTGGCTGCTGAGACGGCTTCATTAAGCCGCGCAGACTATGGACTGTCACTCCTGGAAATGGGCAAGGCGGCCAAAGGAAAGGGGGAAACAACAACACAGTAATAACGGTGACATTTACAATAGGCGTCGGGTATCATATCCAATTTCTCCCTGCACACCCTTAATTCCTTTTTAATTGCTTTTCCATGTTGGTTCCGGGATAAGAGTGTCTCTCTTCATTTACGAAAGTGGAGAGATGGGGACAGCGGTGTGTAGGGGGGCGGCTGGTGATGGTGTGTGCGTGTGTGTGTGGGGGGGTCCCATGCCAAAGGGTGGGGGTGGGGGGCTGTTAGTTGCAAGTGAGTTGCAAGGCCAATACTGAGTTAATTGGTGCCCGTTTCAAACTAAATCAAATACTTTTTAAAAGAGCTTGGATTTAATACTCGAGAAACCTGACTTCATTTGATGAAAGTAACTGACGAATTAAATGATTATGATGTAGATGATTAGTTATCCTGCAGCACGCTACTGAATGTGTTCAGGGTTTCCAACACCAGTGATGGATTATTATTCTAAAACTGTAAATATAATCAACGTATAATCAGCGTAATTCTACCAAAATGTGAGACGTGATGCATCAGTGCCTAAATCAAAATGGTAAAAATGGAACATCTATTTTAGTAGAATACACTTTATGGTAAGCTGAACGATTGTTAGTGAGAGGGGGCTCAATCTTCTCGGCTAACTGCCGGCGTAGAACTTTGTCTCCCAAACGTTGAGTTGCTCTCTCACCTTGAACCAAACCTCAACAGCAGTCACATGAAAAAATACAGCGGTCTTGCTTCCGCTCTTTAAGATCGAGCGGTAAACAACAATCAATCAAGCGTCGGGTCCGTCACGATGCCGCCTGACTGACGGCGCAGCCCAGTGCACGGCCACATAACTTGGCAGGCCTGTAGTTACTTGTGAGTGTGTTGTGGTTAATCAAAGCCCATCATTTCCATAATTCATGGATGCCCATCTGTTTGCCACCTCCCCCCATGCCCAGTGCAGAATAAACAAATTCAGGAGAGGGGCCAAGGGGCTATTTAATGACAGCATCAGCCCTGGCTTCTGTGAATATCCACACACACACACACACACACACACACACACACACACACAAATATAGTCTAATCAATCTTCCGGCAGAACTACAATTCATTCTATATACAAATACACTTATTTAATCCATCTAAGGTGCAACATTTGCATCAGAATTCACAAATTGATGTTAACTAATTAGGGTGAGCGTAAGACTATTACTCACCCGCGTCCCACTGTGAAGACTTTAAGAAGACTTTCAGATAACTCACATGAAATCTCTGATCTCCATCCACACGGATTCTCCCCAAAAAACAGAGTCTGTACCGAGCTGTGTGGCACCACGGCACGGCACACATTTCCTTTTGATAAAATCAAACGTACTTTGATGTTATTGCGAGCCCAGAGACGGCTTTGTGATTGAATCGGCAGAGCTCAGGATGGAGGAAGGAGTCGATAATAGCTGAGAGGGATGTGGATTTGTTGCATGAATCTGTGATAAATTGTCACCCAACCAACATTTTGGAAGTAGAGCGCCCATAAAGACCCAAATCTGAGTCGTTTGGTTTGATTTATAATACCATTTTTGATTTACAACATTTGGTAAAGCTTACAGCCCATTGATTATTTTGCAGATATGGGCATCAATGAAATACTCATTGGGTATTTACGAAAGACAAGAGTTTAGGTTAACATCCGCGTTTCTCCTCAAGCCTGCTTTCAACACAACCCACTGATATCCAAAAAAGAGATTTTAAACTGAATAGCAATGCAGTGTTCAGTGTAATGGCTCCAGGCTTGGCGGTTACCTGCATGCTGTCAACTGCTGTCACCTACATGGGAATTTTATTCCCTAACGAGACACTCTAATATATCACTAAAAGTGAGAGCTGCTTAAAGGAACACTATTAGACTTAGACACTGCTCCTTATAAACAACAGCAGACAATGATGGCTACAAAAAAAACAAAAAAAAAACTTGTTGGATGAATTTAACAGCATTTAAGGCTTCAAATCAAAAGTATCGTCTGGTGTGAGAGGGTCACAGATGTAATAAGAGCCCCTCTGACCCAGCTGTTGAGCTCCATTAAAGTATTAAATCAGAAATACACCAGGGAGAAAACTGGTCAGATAAATCCTCCAACTATCAAAAGTTCAAAATCAATCAGAAGTCGGTTGCTGTTTGGAGAAAACTTTCATTCCATTCGACGTTGGCAGCCGTCCGTCTCTGGAACACAAAGCCGACCAGCCGGAGAGCCGGGAGCGAATCTGACAAGACACTCGACTCCTGGAGTGCTGGTGAAGAGGCTGCGGAGACGCTCCTTCCTGCAATTCAGACACATATTAAATATTAAGTTGTTTTTATCCTTCGCAGATTTAGAGAAGGTCATCCGTGCTTTTATCTCGTCTCGTTTAGACGACTGCAAAAGTCGTGCTCACGTCTCCGGCCTCTTCAGGTCGCGGCGGCAGCTTTGCTTGTGCTCTTGTCTTTTTTTTTCTTCCCCATAACCAAAGACCCCGAAAAAAAAAAGCCACGATGGAGGATGAGTTTCCATAATACAGCCTGATATAATCATTGGGTGAAATTGTTCCAAGTACTTTTGGGGGTCTTGGGGGAGATACAATAGTGGGAGGCTTTCAGTAAACACACTTTAAATGTGTTTCTACGATTCCTCCATGTTGAAGAGGAAATAGAAGCAATAATTCCCAGTGGCTTGTAAAGAGTTTGGTTGGTGGCTTTTGTTTTACCCTCCAAACCAAAGAAGCAATAAATGTATGGACTGTATGTTATATATTTCCTTCCGCACTGCAAGAACAATACGTTTTCTTTTCATGTTCTCAATGCAAACTGGTGAGTAGTGAGAAGATATATTTGCTTGAGAGCTGGAGTTCTTTAGCACAAGATCATGCCATTATATTCATGTTAATGACCCCTTCACATGGCTCGTGTTTTAAAACAATGAGATCATGACTTATTTCCCCAAACATCTTTGGGACTTTGTTTCCTGAAATGATTAGAGATGTTGAAGTGCTAAAGCTGTCATCATCACACCAGCAGACTGCATCATTTGTATGGAAACGAATGCTTGAAAGGCATAGCAACCGTAACCACAGTCAAATGTGGTAGAGCAGATTTTGTGACAAAAGACCTTTATTATTTTTTTAATTAGTCAAAACTGGTAGTTTTGGGCTCAACAGAGATGTTTTGCAGATGTTTTGCGATGTTAACCCTGTGCATTTCATGAGAAATAGAAATCACACAAAATACAGTTTTCAGCTTTGTATATCGGTTTATTCATTTCTGGCATGTTTTTAAATATATTGCATTCATTTATTTTTATATTTTAGATGATTTTTTAAATGTGTGGCTTAATGACAACCCAAAAAACAAAACATGTTAAATTCTCAAAGTTAAAAACATCAAGTCAGTTTAACTTGCCAGTTAAAACAAATTAGAACATTTTCAGTATACAATAATTTGTCTACACAATGAGTCAATATACAGTTAGTCCACCACAGTTCATCTAAATCATTCATGATAAAGTTAACCCCAGTTCTTCTCTAGTTCTTCTCTAATTTTACTTTGCAAATCAAAGACCGTTTTGCAAAAATAATGTTGCACATCTCTCAGAAGCAAATCATTATCTCTTTTGCGTCTGACGTGTGGGATCTAGGAGCCGCGGCAACATGGTAAATTTGTCAAACAGATGCTCAAGTCCCCACGAGAGCGAAAACACAATTGAACTTGTCAAATGGCTCGAGACGTAAACAGCATTCACCCGTGATTACTTTCTGCCCATTCTTGTCTGTGCCTTGAGATATCCCTGAGCCGCTGCATTTCTACTTCAGCTTTCCAAGCCGCTCGATGGCCGTTTCCACAATGGCTCCATCACCTCATTTGTTTTGGCTCCATTACTGAGAAGCACCAGTGACGGCACAATAAAAAGCACCCATTAGCAATTTCTGTAAACGTCATGTTTCAATGCAACGTGGTTATCTATTACATCCAAAGATGGCATCTTTGCCAGAATTACATCAGATTGAAAGACGGTAATGTGCAGGTTTTACTGTTCTTCTGCTCGTGGCTGTACGCTCTTTGCCAGAGTTCAAATCTCAATCAGTGTTAATGCCAGCAACAAGGGACACAACAAAACCAAACAATAAAATTCTCTGACAAATTGTTGGTTCCCTGAAAGCCAGTAATTGGGAGCCCGAATAAACCGATCACACATTATTGCATGCATGCAGAGCTGCCTACTGAGCGACAGCTTTAAGATCTAACCTCTAGAGCATTCTGCATATTTCAGACTTCTATCCGCGTTTTTTTTTTTTTTTTAAGTCCGTAGACTGCTGTGATATGTAGACATTATTTACATTTCTTTTTTCCCCGCCGGTAAGGCATGCCATTATCCAAGAGCCTCCAGTCAAACACCACTTCATTTAGTTTCAGTTTCTGTGTCACAGCTGAGCTTGTTGTCATGACGATGATGCTGCATACTGAGGGGGGAGGCGCGAGAAAAACTTTAGTAAATATCTGAGAATACTTTTTCCAGCCGTGACGTGAATTTGCAGAGCAAACAACGAAGATTCGTCCCACCGGAGGGGAGAATTCACTTTGTTATCGCTCACAGCACAAATACAAGTTTCTTCCTGTGGGCTCAAGTCAGGATCAATAAGATATCGAGCTGGTGAAATGATTTCAAAGCTTGTGGTTGTGTTTCACGCTTGGTAAACCTGTGAAAAACTCGAGAAAATTACAGTTGGTAAAAGGATTTGTAGATTTTGAAGAACAAAAGTGAGTGGTTGAGGAAGTAACTTACTTCAAAAAGGAGAATCACTTGAGTGTATATCAAAAGTACTCCTTATATCATACAAATGAACAAACATCACTTTAATGTTGCCGCTGGTTAAGGTGGAGCTAATTTGAAAATATTGATAGTATTCGGTAGCTTAGCCCACACTAATACATCATAACGTATGGGTTGATGATGTGTTGTTCATAAGGAAGGTAACTTGTGAAACTTGCGCACAATGTACATGAAAGATACGACTGCACAAACTCTGGAACAGGAGAACCGCTTTTGAATATCTGAGCACAGACTCCAATTGATAAAGCTGCGTGTGAAACTCAGTGCTCTAAATTCCCACACTGTTTCAGACCCCAAAGTTGCACAAGCACACCCATATGTAAGTTAAATGTATGCATTTTAACCTTGTTCTTACAGCGCAAAGCAGGACCGTTAGGCATTTGTTTCCTGTTCTATTGATATTGTTCCATGTTTTATTGATATAATTTCAAAAAAGATTTTTAGACAGTCTCACTTAGGAGAATTCACAGGTTTGACAGACAACCACATACATTAAAGCGGTTTCAAGTTCAAAAGCTTATGGACCCTCATTTCAACCCGCACATTCCTACGCAGTTTGTGTGACTTTCATCGCAGAAATCGTCTGAGAAATCTCCTTTCATTCTGCGTTAATGTTATTCTCAACATTTAATTGGAAATGGGTGATACAACATACACCAGACTTTTGTGTAATTCTCTTTTTTTTAAAGTGTTTTAGAAAAAAAGTTCCGTCGACTTCTTTTAATCGAGTGGCAACAAGACAAAGAGCTCAACCATCTGTCATAGCAAACTATGACTCCATAAAGCATGACCACTATTTGACGCGTTAGTACATAAGTTGCATTCACGTAAAAAAGTACATTCATCTAACTATTAGTTTTTCACACTGGCTTTGGTTCATAAGAGACATCTTTAGTTCATTATAAAAAATGTGACGGAACAAAAGACTGCAGTATGTGGGTGGAATACTGTTTTGTGAAGTATGTGTTTGTGTTTGATGTATCCAGGGAAATATGTCCAACAACCCAAGTGGCACTTCAGAATACACACTATTTGGCTAAAGTGCGGAAGCGTTGAAACAAAGACAATATGCAGTCACGTTTGACCCATGACAATGAATAGAGACAGATACCAGACCTCAGGCTGCTTCCACACAGTTAACTTTCACACCTGTGGATAATGTATGTTTTGTCGCCACCTGGTGGTCAAACTGGGTATAAAGTCATCAATAAACTTTCCAAGCTGGATTTACACTTAGGGCTCAAAAGGCCGCCGCCATCACTCATGCGCGTCACTTCTTTCATGTTTCTGAGCTTCTGGACAAAGTGCTGACGTGAAACTAAGGAGAATAATAGCTCTGCACTAAACTGGACATAAAACTGAACCCGAAATGTTGGATAGTTAAAGATTGTTCCTCCATTATCGTCTATCATTTATTTTATATGTCCGGCAAACAATTTTCCATTTTGGGCAAATGTAAGAAATATGAAGCAAATGCATTTCTATTTTAAACCAATACAAAATAAAATAAAAAACGACTTATGTGAAAGAAAAAGCCACTTTTTCACTGACATCAGTTACCATGATTACGTACCACCTAAATTGGTGCCAAGCATTTTATCAAATTGATATGGCGCATAGTTTAGAAGCTACCTTTTAACATTATTGACGTCTGGTTTTAAAACCAGTAAGGCAATCAGATATGGCTAAGGTCGTAGCGCAGGTGTGGCGTTTACGCATGCTCGTGCATGGATTGCGTTTGTAAACGTCCAAACTTTGCATCCTCTTATTTATAATTCACAACACGCACAAAGAAAAGTGTATCTATTATGCTGAAGCCTCCTCAATAACTATAACAATAACCTGGCTTCAAGCTTTAAGAGGATTCTTCACCCAGTTACTGAAGTACAGGGGGTTTAAATGTTAGTTTGCGAATGGATTTTGACATCAGTTGGATTCTCAGTCCTCGGGAAATGGAAGGCGAGACCGAGCAAGAAAGATGCGAAACAGATGGGAGAACTGTTTGTTTTTTTGTGTGATACCTCACTCATCCCCCCAAACATTGTTTCAGTGCCTTGCTCGACGGCATTTCAGCAGTTTGGGGAGCCTTCCGGCCCCCCGATACCACCAGGCCGACCCTGCTGCTCAGATAATGTCTCCCGCACGGTTTGGGGCTCAAACGTAGATGCCTTCAGGGTTGAGGCTGGACTTCCCTGCGCTTTGAAGGGTGCGAAGGTTGCTGGGTAAAAGCCGAGAAGAGCCGTGTCTTTTCAGAGAACCGGAGTCTACTTCTGTGGCATGCATCAAAACAAAAACAAGGAACACAAAATCATTACATTCTTGATATTTTGGACCATGATGCTCTTCCAGCTCCTAGGCTTCTTGTAGATCATTTTTAGTCAATGTGTGCAAATGTGTTCTATTAATACATTTAATAAAACAAAACATTTTCCTGGGGATTTCGCTGTTTAGAATGAAAGCAGGGATTTTCCTTTTGAAAAACGGCGAAACTCTTTCAGGGCTGCCAGTGATTTGGTCCATGTAATGGGGTTACAGACTTAAGCTATTCACAACAGTCTTGCCTCAGCAGCTCAAGGCTACAGTCCAGCGTGTCCTTCTCAGGATGACCACCAGGTGGCACTGTTTACATTCACACGTGAGGACAGTGCATGAAAAACACTTCAGTCAAAATTAGGTTAGCTATGAGATTTAACTTTATTAAAAGGTGACTGTAATGTGGCAATGGTCTGTGTGTGTGTGTGTGTGTGTGTGTGTGTGTGTGTGTGTGTGTGTGTGTGTGTGTGTGTGTGTATACGTGCCATTGTTGTTATCTCCTGCAGGTTGAGCCGGCAGCACAGTGACCTTGGTGCCTGTCTGCTGAATGAACTGCTGCAGGTTGACCTGTCGCAGCTCTTTAGTCAGTTGTTCCAGCTCCTGCTCCTTCTCCTGTGAGGGAAAAACACCCAACAGGAAATCGAAATTAAGGCAATGCCACGGCTAATAAATGATACACTCAAGGTGCATTCAAATGAATACGTACAAATGAACTCCGCCCTTGTACCCAATCCGGATATACTTTCTGCACTCACTTAACTACATCCATGCATTTGTTTTTCAACTGAGGTGGATTTATTATGTGAAAATCAATAACGGATCCCACTGTGCTAAGGATCAGTCCAAAAGTCATAACCCAGTTGAGACAGCAAAAGAGGAAAGTTCTGTCCAAGATGCTTACTTAAGTTGAGGCGAGGGATTGTGTACTTATACAGGCCCCTCTCTAATCAGACAGAGAATGCCGTAATACCCTCCTTCCCTTCCCTTTCTCATTACCTCATGCTTCCCACACCCCACTGGACCTCGCCTGTACATAAGAGCACAGCCCTTCATACAGGGATGCCCGCCGCCATGGATCCAAATGCACATCCCCGCCAGCCAGAGATTAAACTCCCCTTCACTGCCCACAGCTTAAACAAGCTTAGATTGCTATGGTTCCACCCGTGCGCAGAGGACTGCATTTTCCCACACTCCCAATTTTAAAAAAAAGAAGCTATCTTTAAAAGCGTTTTGTAGTGTAGTGTATTCAGAGCTGGCACGGGTGCTTTAAATTCCTCACAATTCTCAGGCCTCGGTGTCAAAAAACTCAAATGAAAAACGTAAATAGACTCTGAGCTGACCTGTAATCTGCTGCTCGATTGGCCAAGTGAGTGTTCCAACGCCCTGCAGCTGCTTTCCAGCCGGGCTGTGTGTTGGCTCTGCGTTTCAAGCTCTGCCCTCACCTTCTCCAGCTGGGCCTGCACCTGGAACCCCGGGTGGCAAGTTAGGGAGAGAAGGCTAGAGCTCATCATGCGTTGTTTTTTTAATGGGCAGACGTGACAGTGGAGATGTAGGAGGGCTCTTTCATGTGGTTAACACTGCACATTTTTTTCTTCCTTTGCTGCAAAAAAACAATGCAATGCCAAAATAGGCCAGATCTTACCTCCTCCTCGTTGGCCCTCTGGTTGAGCTCGGCCTCCTGCTGCAGCTGCTCCTGCTCCAGGCCTCCCTCCATGCGCTACGGAACACGGCAGATATTCAAAATCGGAATAGCAGAAAAAAGTGATTCCACTTTAAATGCCTGTTCATAAGACCGAGCAGCTCACCTGTATGTGTGCCAGGTACTCTGAGAGCTTAACTTCGCAATCGCGCACGCGGCCCTGCAGCTCCGCTAGCTGCTGCCGGAGGAGCCGCTCGCTCTCGCACTCAATCTGCAGCTCGTTCTGCCAGAACTCCTCCTCCTCCATCTCGGCATCGTTCCTCCTCACCTGCTGCTCCAAATGCAGCAGCTCCTCCTCCAAGTTTCCTCCCTGGAAAGAGAGAAATGCCCACCAAAAGAAAAAAATCTGAAAACCGCCAGAGCCCAGTCTGTCTTCATGTTTACGTGAATGCAATAGAACTTTGCAGCTGAGGTTTAACCCACTTCATCGGCGGCGGCCTCCTCCCAGTCTTGCAGCTCGCCCTCGCAGCCCAGCAGACGGCTCTCCAGGGCCTGGAGTTTGTCTCGCTGCAGCTGCACCAACCGGCTCAGCTCTCTGGCCGGACTCCCAGGGACAGATCCTGCTCCAACACCTCCAACCCTGCTCAGGCTCAGACTCACACCCCGCTGCTGGGACTGTTTGGCTGGAAGGATATTCCATTTTGGAAGAGAAAGAGAAGGAAAGAGGAGCAGGAGGACAGTGAAGCTAGGACTTTGGCTCGAACTTCTACTGACGACAGCTCAAATAAACTGAACACACCGAAAACACGGTACCTTCGGCGTCTCTGCTTTTCCCAAATATGTCCCGCAGACCCTTGGCCCCGCCGGTGAAGGTCAGAGACTTGCGCTTGGGTTCCCTTCGTTTGAGCGAGCGCTCTGTCCCTGACGGGCGGAGCTTGGCCAGAGGCGGCAGGCTCTGGCGGTAGAAGCCCCGCTCCGGGACGCGAGCCAGCCCGTCGGAGGCGGGCCTCTCGCTGACGGACGGGCCGGTCCGCTGGAGGATGAGCTGGACGTCGCAGGCATATTGACCCCACTTGTTGAGGGACACCACGGGGTTCTCTTGCGGTGCCAGGTGACGTTCTGTCTCACGCCATTTCTCGATCAAAGTGTACCTGCCGGTGCGTCCTGGGACCAAAAAAAAAAGACAATTGACGGCATGCGGCGCTTACAAAAATGTAATGACTAAGTAAAGGATACAAATACATTTACCATTACCATGGCTTCTACAGGACACAGAATATAGTCATTGTTCAAAGTCCAATTGTTTTAAGTTACATGTTACAGATGATGTCATAAAGCTCCATCCACTCATCTCAATTTAGCATAATTTTAAACCAAAACTAGAGGATGGCTGTGTTGTTGTTTTTTTATTAGTTTTCTTTTAAACACTTAAAGTTAAACACTTTGTTAGTTGGTCTTGCTTACTCTCGTCTGAAGTCTTATTGACCCGCCGAGTCCCCAAAGACCGATTCTCGGCCCCTCATGAACTCATGAATCACAAACAAGTCACTCTCTCGGTGCAGCCTACACCCAGATTTTTGGCCTGTAAAGTACGTTGTATAATTGAATGGCTTGATACTTTGAGAATGCTGTCAGGGTTTTTCATGGCACGCTTTAAAACATTAAGTTTGAAGTGCATTGTGAGAAAGAGGAAAGAAAGAACTAATTCAACTCTTTCACAACTCTCTTCCAACCTTGCGCCACATTGGTAATTTCAAAGAACTTCACACGCATGTTTAGTAAAAGAACTCAACAGTAGCAACATTCAATTCAACAAAGAGTGATAGTGTTGGGAAAAGTTTTTTTTCAATGGTTCACGGCTTTGTGTGTGTGTGTGTGTGTGTGTGTGTCTGTGTGTGTTACATTCTTGTCTGTGCAAATACAGATAAGACTAAAAACACTGCCATCCCCTCACCCTCGTCTCACACAGTGAGGGTCCTTGTAAAAGAGGCGCATTCATCACCACTGCCATTCAAATCAAAGTGTCCTGGTCTGCACAAAAGACTCAGAGAACACAAAGGACAGTGAACGCCATAACTTCTGCTACACTGGCACCATGAAAGACGGGTTGTAGCTCAGAGAAAAAGTTGAATTTGAGGGTGAAGGTGAAATCCCTGAAATTGTTTCATTTGGGGGGGTTTTCAAAACAGCCCAGATGTTGCAATTTGATGAAATCATATTATGTGTCTCGCCTTTGCGACTATGAACACAAGACAATCCATGCAATTAGTAGCATCGAGAGAGCGTGGCAAATTATTTCTCTGCAATTGCACAGCACGTAAATAGACCAGAGTCTGCAGCATGACTCATCTCGTTTTTGTGCAGCCCATTTATGGTGAAAATTTCTTTGAGCCCTCTAGTCACTTTTCATTTTACTGTAATTTATCATCTCCAGCACGTCTAACAAACTGCCCGGCCGATATCGGACAGAACACACAGAACAAATAAAAATCCCTATTAGGATTTATGTGGAGCTAAATACAATTTACACCACCTAATTTTAAGTTTGAGACAAATGGAGTAGATTTATTTTCACTGGGTTAAATCCACTCTTCTGGTCAATGGTCAATGTCATGTTATTAGTTTTTATCAGATAGTCAATGATATTTCACATCTACAGCTTATATTCGTGTGTCATCTGGTCTTTTTTGAGCATCCATCTGCTGTGAACACCAGGTGGGCACATCCATTCAAATCTTACCAATGGCTTGCGCCAAAGCAATGACTACTTCCTGGCATGTGGTGAATTCTGTGACGCCGCACACGATGCGCTGCACTCCGTCCACCCAAACTTTCAGCTCCATGACCTTCATCCAGAGGCCCTCATTCCTCCACACCACAAGGGGGTGTTACTGTTGTACTGTGCATCCCTAAAAGGGGAAAGAAAAACAAACAAAAGTGGCATGAAGTTTGTTTTTCTGCTAAACAGTTAAACGGCACGCAATTGAGTTGCCATGAAAAGGAAAATGATTGTCGTTCAACAATTCATTTTGTATTAAAGTTTGGTAAAAAAAATCCCAAAGGAAATAAAGGCAATAACACAGTACAATACCTCTAGCCTTATTTAGCCTTTGTCAATTCCTAAACGTCCCGGTATGACTTTACAACCCCTAGACAGCCCACTTACTACAATACAGATGGAACAAGCTAGTTCCACACAAAAATATCACATAGTGAACTGACACCAGCCTCCTGTAAACGAACAACACTTGTTTTTCGTTTTCCTGTAATGCTGATGAATTGCTACGAGAACACACTTGTGGTGCAGTGATTGTGACCGTCTACGGGCCCCGTCCAATATATTTTTTCATTTGCTGGTGTCGGGGCAGAAAAGCTCACAGCAGCTGCATGCACGCAGAATGAGAGCCATTTTAAACTGCTGACACAAGCGCCTCAGCAGCGAGGAAGTCATTACGAACCTGGCAAGGCCACGACGACAACGGGGCCAGTGCAACGGAGCAGTGAAGGAGCTGCAGCCTAATGCTCAAACCATTGCAACCCTACTGGGCCGGAGCCGTCTTTTTCTTCCCGAATGGACCATCAGTTCAGCTGCGATCCTTGACTTCCACGTCGCTCGGGGCCTCCCCTTAACAAGTTAGGGGCCTTCCATCTTCATCACAGCTGGAATGGGACCCCAATCCCTCCTGCAATTTAACTAGCGCCCCCCCTCGGGGGGCTTTTTCTACCGAGGCTGCATTACGTTGCTCGCTCCTCTGCACTGGAGGCATCTGGTAAGGGCAAGGCCAACCTCTGGTGGGGAACGCGATGATTTGTAACTGCAGCGAGCCCCCCGCAAACTGCATCTGAACCCAGATGCACGTAAATTAAACTATACCCGTGAATAGAGCTCAGCTGAACGGGTGAGGAAGGGATGCTGGGGGTTTAAAGAATAGAAGAGGGAATAAAGATGAAACAAGTAAGTGGAAAATAATACAAAGAAGACAGTTTAAGGGAAGAAACTAGGGATGAAAAAAGAGACAAAAACTATATTCATTTTGGTGTTGGATCTGGCAGAAAGGAAACACGTCCCCTTTATTAAAATCAAGTGAAACCATTTCCGATCTGAATTCACTCTTCATTTGGAAAGTTTGACTCAACGCAAAACAGACTTGTTGCAATAACAAAAGCCCTCTGACATGTTTTCATAACGCAGCCCAACAGATGAGGCGACGAGGCTTTTAAAACGGTCACGGCTGCGGTTGAAATGTTGTGATGCAACGCTCATTCGATGACTGTTGGTATTGAAATCTCACCAGGAAGAAGAGCCAGCGTTGACACAAGCTTGTAAATCGGCTGCCTCCCTCTATGTCTCTCACATATGCATACTTTCTCTCTCACACACACACACACACACACACACACACTCGGTATGTGCACATCTGTGTGCAAAGTCGTACTGAAGTCATTCACTCTTCTATGATACATCATCATCAACCCTTTAGAAAAACAGACAGAAAATTAAACTGGAGCAAAGTCAAATTTCACGTCCTGCAAGTCTAATCGAGTCAGCTAAGAGAGACTTTAATATGCAAATGCTCTTATGAAAGGCATAATAATATTACTATGAAAAAATATAAAAAAAGAGACACACAGTATAGCCGGGCAGGTTGCCAAATATGGACACCTTGGAGTGTATTTTCAGGTCTATAAGTCACCTTTTCCAAGGTAACCGTTATATTTAATCAACTTAATGCAGATCCTTAGAGGCACCTCTTGGCTACGCCAGTGCCGACACAACAAATATGAAATATGATCAGAGCTGGAAGACAAACTTATTACACTAACACACTTTAGTCCTTGACTTACATGCTCCCAATGGCCCTCTGACACAAATATCCCGACATATGCTGGTACCTTGGAGAAACAGCAGCACACCGTCTACAGCAGCCAGCAGCTGTGCATAAGCAGATGTTCACATTTCAAACTACAGGTTTTTATACTTTCATTCCCGATGATAAAACTGCATTTTATAAATCCCTCAATAGCAAACTTCACAGGGACCCACACCAAGTCTTGTTCCAGTATACAGGATATTAAAGCTGTAAACTGACAGTGAGGTTATGTCAATTTCAAGCCACTTCTTTGCACAACAGCATCAACCCTGCAGTCTTCTAAAACAAGCTTCAATAATAACTTCCAACGCTTTAATCGTTAAAAGCCGTTGCTGCGATGTTGTTCAGAATTCATCATGCTATTTACGCACTTTTTTTTTGCTGGTTACGCCTTTGATCTAAATCGCACTCACTTCGGAGCCGCCCGCTGCAGAGAGGGAATAAACAAATCACACATGCTGCATTGCGAGTGTACACAAATTAGTACGCTCCGACATGTGGGGTTCTATTTCAGTTCAGTTCCTTGTAAATGTATAGCGTCCATATTTAGTCTCGGACTCAGCGACACATCTCCAGAGTGACTAACCTCCGACCCTGTGGGAAATTTCCTTTTCCATTAGTCACAGTTTAATAAATACAGATTATTCACGTTCCAACGGCACACTGAATCTTTTACATATTAGTCATCCATCTATAGAGAATCCAGCACATTCTAACAGAGTGACTTCAGGTTTAGGTCAAATTATCTGTATTCAGCTTATGTTTAGCCTTGAATTGTCAACAGTGTGAAACTGTGTATATTTTGGGGGAGGCGTTTTTTTTTTTAGGTTTTGGACAACTGTTGCTGCTGCAACGTGGTTTCACCCACACAAAGATGACGGTCTCCTCTCTGCCCGACTGTTGAGCTAAACATAGCGGTGCCTTCAGTCAGCCTTCCCTTGAGATTCATTCTCAGGATGCCTCAAGAAGACAGATCTCTGGAGGGGCCTCGGCAGGTGAGTGCTTCCTATACGTCATTCTTCAAACATTTATTAAACGGATCAGCACAAAAATGCCATTTAAGTCCCCTTTAATATCTAAGATGAGCATTGGTGCAAAGATGTTATGACTGGAAGAACAAGAATAGCTTTTAATTTCACACCATCTACAGGTATTGGTTTAAAATACAATTACAAACTAAGGAGTTAATTCCCTGCCTTGATTTAGCCCATAGCTCCCTTAGTCCCTGACTTAATTACACTTTAATAAACCCATCGATCGAGTTTGAACCCTCAGACCCACGCTCATCTCACTAGTCTGCCAACGACGAGCAGAACACAAATTATGATTTCAGAGTGTCAATAGACAACATAACTATTACTAAGTGAATTGTGGTGATTTAACTATACTACTGTAGGAACAATGTACTTGAAGCGTGCAAACTTCTGACATACTAAGAAAACTTGTAAATGTATTAATGATGTTCAATTACTGAAATTTGTAATATGCAGAAATACGTTTTTATTTCAGTTAGTTTTAGACATTAATTAGTAAAGTTGTATCGAGAAGACGTGAAGTGAAGCGGTTCAACAACATCAATGATGCAATCGGGGACCAATTTTTGAAGCAACGAGGTTGAGGCAGCAGGAGGGGGTCCAATGAAACAAGTGGCGCACAGACAAAAGAGCATGCCATGCCACTGTGTGTGTGCGCGTGTGTGTGCGTGTGTGTGCGTGTGTGTGCGTGAGCCCACATGGCTAGCGGCATGACTGGATGCAAACAATCCCTCGCCATGGCGACACAGCTCCGGCTTTGTCCGAGGCCTTACACAGATGACTGGATTGATTGGAGGGCACGGTCAGGGAGCGCCGACCAAACAGTCGCTAACAATTAAGAAGCAACCCCTATTTTCCTGTCACTTCCTCTTTGTTTCCTCTGAATGTGGGCTGCAAGAAAACGTGGAGGTGGATGCTGCTACTACTTCAGCAGGGTTTCTCAAGCTCAGAAGGAAGTGGCCTGTTGCTGATGTAAAGTTTTAGAGATTGTCTGTTGGTGGAAATTAAGTTTCAACTGCAGCCGTCGTACAGTGTAGTTGATCTAAAAAGCGGGAAAACCTCTTACCTCATTTATTACGTTTTTTTTTTAATTCAAAACAAAATACTGTGCAAGTATATAATGCGTTATGAGTAAGGCCATGGATATTTTAGGCAAAGTAAATATGTTAGCAACAGCCATGCTAGCAGCTTGCTGAAGCCGAACATTGCTTTCTGGAAAATGCTAACAGCAGCATGCTAACTCTGCTATAATCAGACCCGATGTTAACTATGTCCACCTTTGGCTAACATTAGCTCAAAAGAACTATAGAAATGAACAAAAAGAAAAGTTTAGACTCAACATAAAAGAAATTATTGGATGGGTATTAACCAGATGATAGCGCTAAAAGATAAAAAGTATTCATAATCAAACCTGAAGGAACGTGCAGTCTGTACAAAATGTCACGGCACGCCATCAGATATTTCCGTCTAACAAAGAGGACGAGCCACGTTGGCATCGGTAGCGCTACAACACAATATATGCTCATGTCAGCATGTATTTCAAACATTAAAGGGCTAATTAAATCAGGATTTGACCCGCGTCCTCAAACTAAATGTCCCTTTTCTCGATGGAGCGTGGCGGGGGCTCAGCGGCCCTCACGGCAAAATGTGCTCATGACTGTGATTTTGAGTTGGCACACAGCCTCGTAACATTCAACACTGTCTCATCTTTACAGTTTCTCCTCTATGTTCTTACTACATACACTGTTAGTCCACCCTGGAATCTGAAAAGACATAAAAACGACTCAAACGAGAAATTGCACCTTGCAACCTCCCATTTGTTTCCCATTCTGTGCTCTGCACGCTGCAGCTGCGTGCTACACTTTGCCATCAACTTGGTCAGCTGAGGAGAGCGAGGTGGCTGCAGGTTGAGCATGAAGCTGGAATGAGTTGAGTGGAAAGATTCGGGGAGGAATCGGACAGGGCAGCTTTCCATTCGGGAACCAACCGCCTCCGGATGGATACGGCGGAAGATTTTCTTGCGAAGAAACAGGCAGTTATTTATTTAAATGTTTCCCAAGTGCTTGGATCAATCCCCATATTGAAGTTGGGTAAACAAACTGCCCGCTTGCAGTCTCAAAAGTTAAATCTAATCAGCTTGGTGGAGACAATAAGCCTTTAACCCTGTACGACTGGGAGCTTAGCTGACATGGAGGTGGTGGGAGGGGGAAGTCTGGACTGGATTTGCACTGCAGTCTGTTAAACAACGGCATCTTACCTTAGGAGCACATGTTGGGCATGTTCACTAACTTAGCATTGGAAGAGTTTTCAAATGCACTTCTCTGTATTTTTCTTTTTTTACATTTTCTTGAGCAAAAGATGAATGAGAAATGAATAGTAGTTGCTGTAGTTGCTATTAGTTTGTATTTACATCTTTAAACATAGACAAAATCCTCACTGCGGGGGAAATATAACATAAGGCAGGAGGAGGATATGCCTCACCGACAAAAGTTGCAACAGTAGTTCAAGTAACATAAAACTTAATACCTTCCATCGCCCTGCACACAAGTGAAGAAACTGTTCCTTTGTCTTTTTTGTTGCACAACATTCCTGCCATGGACCCAATATCAATGAGTTTTGCCCTTGCTTCCATATCACATGTGTACTTCAAGGACTTCTCTAACTCTCTTACTGGTGCTGTATGACTCGGATGATAGAACTCTGAATAACGCCACTGCTGCTTATTGCCCAACTCTATTAAGAGATTCATCATTGCAGGGCTGAGCAGATCTACTCACACAGTGACCACTCACTCATTTCCTGCTGCCTCATGCATCAGTTATGTTACCATGTGTAACAACCATAATCACTCCCATTTAAGGACGTATTTTCGTGCAAAAGTATAAAGGCTGCACAATGGTCTGCCACGTTCGTATTGCAAAAGAGGATGAGGACAAACGCAAATAAATGTGACCCAGTTGCAAAACAAAGTTATGCAACTACAATTGCTCCGCGATTGCTCTGTTTTCCTGTCTTCAGAGTGAATAGATACCCACTGGACATTCACCGAGCCAGGATGTAACCGCGGTCGTTTAATAGCCCACAACCTCGTCTTATAAGCAGCCGATTTTTAAACGTTGCCTGGACTGACGCATTCAAGCTAGATCCACCGACCGCATTCAGTCCCGTGCAAATCCCCGACAGCATACCTGCATTCAGCATCGGATCCCCGCGTGCACGAGCATTTCAACTCCCCTGTTGTGCTGCAGCCTCAGTGTCTCTGGCTGTGATAACAAATAAATGAATAAAAACATTTAAAAATCAGCTACTTTCAAACGCTTGATCTGCGGGGAGATCCCGTTTATTCCGCGCTCGTCCGCGCCTGCGTTGGAGTCCGCGGCGCGCGCGCGTCCCCGCCTGTTCTCGCTGTGCGTGGATGTAAACACAACGTCCGGCCGGTTGTCCGGTATCCGACGCGAGGGGCTCCCCACATCCGCCGCTCCTCCTGCTGCCCCTGCCCCGCCACCAGTGAGGGGTAGAACCGCAGGGCGGGTTCGTTCAATTGCGTCGGAGCTGAGCTGGGACACCGCAAGGCATGACGGACCGGTTGAAGCCGCAACGCGACGCAAGCGGACCGCGGGACGAACGCGGCGTGCGGCCACGTGGGGGGAGCGGCGATTTTTAAAGGCGGTTTTCAGACATTGTATCCATGAAGAAACAAAATGTAGAAATATAAACGTGACTTTCCTGTATCTGTATTGTTTATGTCACGATCTTAGTTTGTTTTATTCATTTCTTTACGATTTGTGCAGTTCTATTTCTATTTTTTATGTTTTAAGTGTTGACTCAATGACTGCATTCACCCGTTGTGTTAGTTGACAAATCCATAACCTGCCCATTAATAAATGTTTCCAAACGTTAACAACTTATATATTTGAAAGGTCTATTCTCTGTGCTAAAGTGCTCACACTATAGTTGCACACTGAACCGTCATTGGCTATGTGACGTCACAAAACCCTGCCCCAACGTACACAGCAGGTGGACGTGAAAACAGACTTCTGGTGTCAGACTCTGCAAACATTCTCGTCATTCTGCACGGTCAAGCTCAAACACCCATCAAGGTAACAACTAGCAAAAAACAGGGCACTTTCTCTCAGTGTTTTTTGAAGACAAGAGTTTTGAATGAACGCTTATTATTCATTTATTAAGTATTTAAGTCAGTGTTCTGCTCCAGCGGATTTCAGTTCTCAGGGATTTAGAAATGTGTGTATATATATATATATATATATATATATATATTGGCATATGGGCATATATTGTATGTGTTGATGCTTCATGGCAAAAGCTATTGAGCTTCACTTCTCAGCATAATGCAGCCCTCCATTTCACCAGCCAGCCATTTGCGTTTAATGCATCTGTGATACGTTTGCCCCATCAGTGTTTTATTTGACGAATGCGTCTTACATGACGATCATTTATTTTCTTATGTGTTATCTGTCCTTATTAAAACACTTATGTCTTTATGTCTCACGGCATGAATCATGACAGCAGTCTGTTTTGCTGATCAAGAAAAATCACGCTTGACCTTAAGCTTTTCAGAATACCATAAATTTCCATGCAGATATGACAGGTTGCATATTGCGCGGGACATTTTTTATTTATTTTTTTGCTCAACGCTTGCTGCATCTAGTGTTTAATCTGTTCTTTGACGCTCAATTAAGCCACCTCTGATGCCTTTACATGAGCCATACATTTGATAAAACCCACAATATGGTTCTCTCCAGAGCAGGCTTTAGTTATAAAAGCACTAAATTCCTCCAGTTTGGTCGGCCTATACATCAGATAAGAACCAAACTGCAATTAAATCCTGCAACATATGGTGCTGCTGTTTAGAAAACATGAGTCCCAAGCATCTTGATTTTCTTGCGTGCAGTGGTGACAACGTTTGACAAAAGCGGTGAGGATTTAAAGCCCCGTCTTTAAAACGAATGGCCACTATTGACAGGCCCCAGCTATAGTGTCACAGTCAAGGTTTAAAAGCAAAGGCTGTTATGTTTTTTTCATCACAGAAAGATATAGCATTTCATGCCTAAAACATTGCACTTCAGACAGAAGGAAACCAAAGTCATTGAGGTCCCTTTACAGGTGTTAGTCACTGTATCTCCTTAGACCTTCCTTCCTTCCTTCCTTGCTCCACCAAGCATGAAGCGGAGCAGAGATTTAATCTGCCAGGACATGTGAAAACACCTGTGTTTGTCCACAGCAGCACCTGCTCCTCAAACCTCGTTATAATGTTCAGTACTTAAAGTGGAGATTTATCCGTTACTGAATTAAAACTGGCCGCACCACAAAATCAAGCTCAGTTTTATTACACTAGTGGAGGTTTTGTGGCACCAAATCAAATCCGTAAAGTTTGAGCCGTTTGAAATGAGGCGTAAAAGCCTACTGTAATCATATCATTTCTCACTGCAAAATGTGAAACTGTCTCCAGTTGTCTTCAGTCAATTGGTTTTGAGTACAGAGACACAAATTGTCATGGGTTTCTTTTTCAGAGTCGCTATACAACGTCTTCCAGAACTGAAGTTGTGTTTGTGCAACAAAACCACTGTTTTTGTGGAGGGGGGCAGTTAAAACAACAATGTAGTTCGGTCTGGGCAATAAAGCCATTTAGGTTCATGGGCAACGTTAAGTTTAGGGTACAGAACCACAACAACACTTTGGGTCTCCTTGATCTTCTCTCCTCTATTTGACACCTGAGGCCGACATATTTTACTCGTGTAGTATTTCACATCTGCATCAGTCAGAAAATAAGGGAAGGGACATTGTGTACATTAAATTGGGGTCTAGCTAAAGACTCAAGGAAACCGTTTTTCTTCAATGGAAGCGTCTCTTAACACCAGCAATGTTAGTATTTGGTCCTCATTTGTGTTTGTAGTAAAGAACTTTTTAAACAGCGTTAAGAACCAGCATTTTCTAACATTGCAACACAAGTCTGTTGTCTGGTTACTTGAAATTGTCAGTGGAGTTGATCACATGCAAGAGAATGTTCTCGAGCAGCTTCTCTGAAGAGTCATCTTGTAATACAAAGAAAACATTTTAGTCGGAAAATGTTTGGGTGGAAAATGGCTCATTTATGATCTCTCAACCCTCCTCCCCCGATCTATTGCGTAACCTCTTCGTCCCACTTTCATACGAGGCCTGTTATCAGTGTTTTTTAATTGGCCGTGCTGTGACAAAGCCCTCTGCTGCTCCCCGGGAGAGAAATCAACTCAAACACAGACAAAAAGACAAGACAACAGCTTTAGGGAGGCTTCTCCAAAGAGACGGTGCTGAGCCAAAAAAGAAAGAGGCGCTTGGTTTGACACCCAAGCTGCAAAAATATATTTCTGAGCCAAAAATTGAAAATAAAAAAAAATAAAAATGGGTGCAATCAACGTGTACAACACTCATGTGTTGTTGGACCGTGTGCTCCGGCAGACTGAGGCTTTTTATAAACGCCGCTAAGCTGAAGGCGATGCCGCCTAACGAGCACGCAGGCCCACGGCCGAGCTCGTTAGTGAGGGTCTGTTTTCTAAAACTACAATGGCATCTACTTACTTAATATTGTGGTATGCGTTCTATTCTTTGTTTTTGTCTTTGTTAATGTATTACAAAGAACTCAAAAACAAAGTAAAGTTCCAATATTCTTTCAACTTCAGACAACAGTTAACGCGGTTTCCCCCAGAGTTCATTGCAGCAGCCGCGTCTGCGGTTCTTCTGGAGTTTTAGTGGGGTCTGTGCTTAAAACCGTCTGGTCCTGACCTAAAACGCCGCGGCGTGCTGTGTCTGACTTTGTGACATTGCAGGGTGGTACTTCATACCAGACATTCCGGGAAGATCAGAGGGGGTAAAAGCACACATGCTGTGTCCGGTTACAAAGAAATATAATCAAATCACCTCATTTTGGGATCCCAAATGTTCTTGAGTGATTGTGTCAGTGGAAAGCAATTTGAGTGCTGACATGCAGACAATTGTGTCAGTGTAAAGAGAAGAAAAAGGAGAACTGTTTTTTCCACTGCTGGTCCCGTCAAAGAATGCTTTCGTTGTCTCTGAACTCGGTTTAATAAAGATGTTTCCTCATCATGTGGTCTGGTCTCTCTTTCTCTCCACTCTTGAGCAAAACGAACCCAATCCTGTGTGTCTTGACACCTGCTATATGTGGGTTATTTTTGTGTTTTGGACATATAATATTTCCATGTTGGTCTTTGGGCTTCGGGGAGGTTATTCCCTCACACACTGGCTGATACAAGCTGCTATCTTAGGCACCTTCGAGGGATAATGTCCATTTATTTGTTGATTTTTATTCGAGTTTGGTCCTCTGTTTAATTCCCGTAAAAGAGAACAAGGCAGTCCTTGTGAAACAGAAAAATTGACCAATCCCGAGAGCAACATACAGCGTAAAGAGACAAGTAGGCTATTGTGAAAAGGAATTAGCTTCTTCACAGCTTTTTTCTCTCCTCTCGCTAAAACCAAACCTTGAAAATCGACCTGATCACCAACGCAGTTTACAAAGTGGGGAAATTAGAGATTATGATTGAGAAAGAAGAAAGAGACGATTTTAGTCCTTAAAATAGAAAGGCTTAGGGTTCTAATCAGGGGGGGAAACCCGCTTTGAAACACGTGGGATGAAGACTTTATGAATATGAGAAATAAATGTGGTAACAAAGCATCACTTGGAGACTCTTTAATGAATCAGAACTGATCCTGAGCAGTGGCGTTGATGTTACACCACTGCCCTCTGCAGGCCATATTAACAGCCCCTCGCCGGTATTTCATGATACATTTCTGTCAATGTGTCATTGTTTCATTCCTGTGCACACCTCTGCCCTGGCCTTTATGAGCCTGGTTGATTGTTATCCAGCCTCCCTCAATACTCCCCCCCACCCCCACCCACTCCTTCCTCTTTACCGCAGTGCAGCTTTTGGCAGGTCCCTGGAAGGTAACTGCGTCTCCGGGGCCTCAAAGTCACAGAGACGGGCCGGACGGCGGGTTTAATGTCATCGGAGGTCACAGCCTCATCCACTTGGACAGTCCTCATCTTCCACGCTATTCGCTTTTCGTCCTGTCCGTGCACTGCAAGTCAAGTTTTTCAAAGTGAAAGGTCAGAAAATATAAATGATCTTTGAACTAAGTATAATATTAGTATTTTATAAATAAGGCCACATTTTCACATTCCATGTTCACATTTCTTTTTTCGACCGTTTAGCATCTAGGGGTATTTTCAGTATATTAATAGACTTTGCAATACTGTCATCAAATAAAGCCTTCCCACAGACTTTTTTTCTGGACTCATTATAAAGTTAAGAGTGATTTATTATACAAATTTACGATAATATTTTTAATAATAATCAAGCATTTTTCTACTTCTTTTTGGCAGAGCTTTTCTACTGAATTAGGTTCACCAGAAGATAGTCAATAATACGATTCATTCTGAGCAATTTATTCATCTCAAGAATCAAAATCTGACAAAAAGTCAGCTTGTTGATTGGTGTTACAGTAGGACATTATTCAATTAAAAAAAGAACATTTATTCCTTACACATGTAATTGGTTTTTACATAAATTAGGATGTTAATTTCATTGTCATCTTTCCAGATTAATGTGAATATTTGATTATATTCTTAAATTCTGGTTACTGAATTACTAAAAGGCTAAAATAAAATAAAAAACACGGACACAATAGCATTCTCAGCTGCTACAGTAAACAAACTACACAATCATGAAGATTTAGAGCAAACGTTGCATTTTCAGGAAATGTTTCTACATTCATTTGTCAATTTTTCCAATAACGAGGCATGAAGGCAGTGGTCAAGTGCTGTGTCTGAGTGCCAACCAAACAAAATAAATGTATTGTTTAAGCAGGTATGTTCGGTCATCCGTTTCTTGAACATCTTGCTGTTGTACAACTTTAAAGCCATGTCAGGGGACCTCTTATCGTAAACAAGTGCTGCTTGAGTTAGTTATAGATTTTCAGCTCAGCCTCATCTGGAGTTCACAGCCTTTGTTGTCCTGGCATTGATGAAATCCGCTTTCCTGTAGCCTCCCTTTTGAGAAACAAAATGTGGATTATGGACACTACATGTTGTATTTCATATTGCAGAGGATTGTAAGTCCAATACATGTGTGTGTTTATTTCACATTAGCGCCCCCCAGTGGTGGTATACAAAACTGCACTGTGGCAACAACAGGCTTAAATGACAGTAGACTCATTCGTTTTCCTAATAAATAATAGACTGTTTCCTGCAAGCGTCCTTACAATGTAATGTCAAAAATGATGAATGGAGCGATGTTTGTGTTGAGTTTGATATGCCGTGATGTGCTGCATGGACATAGTGGGTACACACCTTCTTGTAGGCGACGCGGAGATCACTGTGTTTCCACATGATGTGCAGCAGGATGCATGCAGCCTGACCCGCTCTGGTTGGTCCATAGCTAGAACATTAAAAGTTCAAAAGAAAGTGAATGCTCCTGCTCCTGAATGCGCATAGGAGGCGGCACTCATACATTTGTCGTGACTCATTCACGCAGAGATAATAATCAAACAGGAAATGAAATTCGGTGGAATAAAAGAGCTCTTGATGACGAGTGCTGAGGTGAGCGCCGACCGACCCTTTATCCTTGCTGCTGATGTTGATGATCTTTTGGAGGGCTCCCTGGTTGATGATGGCCCTGACTTTCTGCGTGTCACCCTGACTGAGGTTGATCAGGATTTGACAGAGAGAAGTCGTCACCTCGGTAGGCAGGTCGGTGCCGGTGTCGTCGTTGGGAAGCATCCCGACCACCTCTGGCAACACCTGCTTCACTTCAGGAGAAGGAAACACATAAAGAAGGTTTGCAGAATTAGAAGGTGCGGCTCGGGGTCCGAATGGATAATTAACCCAATTCTTGGTTGGGGAAAATAATGGGGTTAATGTTTAAAAACTCAAAGTATGTAATGGAAACAGTTACCAATGTCCAGGTGCAGTTCCTGGTAGCGCGAGAGGTTTCTTATTAGAGAGATGCAGGTCCTCTTCACATTACTCTCTCCCTCCTCAAACACCTTCCTGACATGCTGAAGACCATTTTCCCGTTGAACAATAGTAAATGCTATGGCTTCAGTCACCTGCCAGGCCACAGAAAAACACATCATCATATGTGAGTAATACAGGCTGTTACTAAAAGGTATTCATAATAACAATTGATTTATGTTGCCAATGAACCATTTTTGGAGTAAACAGGGCAACAAACTATTTTACCACAATTTGATTTTTTTTGACCTGTGAATCCTTGAAATAATTTCTACAGAAACACTTATTGTGCCCTTAATATAAGTTACTTAACTTTAGCCAAGTTTTGGAGGGTTTCATTTGAATTCCTCCATAATTTATTGATGAAATGATCACTGTAGTTTGATTCCTTTGTCCCAATGACGTGTAATCCCCAGACCAATTAAATGCAGTATATTGTTTACTTAATTAGTAGGACAGGTGTTGCCCCACTAACATTTCAACAGTGAATAGAGGGTGTCAGGTCTCATTGTTGTTGCTACATCTTTGTTTCTCTTCACAGAATAAAATTGAAGGTGTTCCTCCGCCCCATCTCACCGCTCCGTTCCCTGCTGTGATATTCTGCAGGGCCCCGACGGCGGCCTCCTGGGTGTGGTGACGCACGCTGCGGGCCATCAGCGACAAGTACATGCGGATAGCGATGGCGCTCCACAGCCACTCGATGCCTCGGGGGTTGGCCTTCTCCTCCAGCAGGGGGCACGTTCGATCGAAATGCTGCAGAGAAACAGTTGATGAGCTGCAGGTGATTTCTCATCAACAAGAGGCAGCCAATATGCAGCGGACTGCCAATGACCTGTGATGACCTGCAGCGGTCTTCACAGAATATTTGCGTCAAATATAGTAACCTAAAAAACAAACGTCCGGTGGGATTACCTCTGTGATCTTGGCACTGCGATAAGCAAAGCAGCCAACGGCCTTCTGCTCGGGAGCCAAGTTTTGTGGAGATTCTCGAAGATGTAAGGTGTACCTCTCAGGAAGCTCGGCCTCAATCTGATAGGACAGGTTGTGGAGGATGCAGACGCAGTTCTCTGTGGACTTCAGAGGAGATATAGACACATATCTAATTAAATACAGTACGGCGATCTGTTTAATCGCATGGATACAACGGAGTGAAACTGGATTGGGAGTAATAGTTCAAGCAGTTTTGCTTTGCAAGTTGGATCCGAGTTTCGTTTATTAATTATGTTTGGATTTCTCTAATCCAGTGAGAAGCAATGAGATTTGTGTTAATAACTCGATATGCACTGCAGAATAGAAAGTAGTGCGGGACCAGTGTGCGTCACAAAATACAATATTATAAGAAGATGAAAATTTTCGTTTCACCTTGTCATCGCTTTTGTGGTCAGCTACGGCGCCGCGGATGTAGTAGACCAGGGAGTCAATTAGGTTCTCACACTCCCTCATTGCTTTCCTGCCGTCTGGACCAGCAGAGCTCAGATTTCTGGAAACCAAAACAGTCAGAAGAATCTAGGTATGTCGATTTGTGTGTTTCAATCAGATACCGAATTCCAACATTATTGTGAAACAAATGAAGTCCCCTTCGGTCAAACACCCAGATGTAAAAAGTCAATAGAATCACTTTTGGAAATGAAGGACTTTGTTTTCACGTAATCCAACTTCAGAAAATACAACAATTAACGTTCCGCCTCCACACAATAGGTCTTTTGTTTGATGGTGAAATGTAAATTGAAGAGGAATTCATCATTGTTCTCATCCACGAGGACCTCAAAAGGTTTGAGAACGAGCTTGCTGGAACTCGATAAGCAGCGAGGATGAATAATTCAGGCGTTTTTGACCGGATTGCGGTCGCCAGGGGAGAAGTGCGTCTGATATCTCCGGCTTGGTAAACAGAGACATGATCTGAACATCTTATTCTTAGACCACAGCAGATACATTTTGATTCAACACTATGTCATAAAAATGATTATGTATTTTAATAGTATTGTGATTTGTTTGTTTTGGTGATTATGCTTCACGAGAAAGCAACAGCATCAGTTTTCATTCAGATGCACACGTTGATGTATTGTAATCACTTTTTCTATTGCGCTGCAGCATGCTCATCATTTAATGAAAAAAAACTATTGGTTATTTAAATTTGTGCTATCAAGCTAATGCTAGCAGGCTACGACGCCAAACATTATACTTGATTAAAATGTTCATGTTACGTCAGCATCACCTCATTAGCATCTGGTCCTCACTTATGAAAAAGCATGATAACAATGTGTTTTGTAGAAATCCTCACATTGTGTAATTCATTTCTTATGAGCTGTGTAACTGACACCAGTGGCGGTGTCTCTTTACTTATTTATTAAATCCACACTGCCGAAGCGAGCTGAGTGTCTACTTTCACAGACAACAATGGGAGCCTACCGCAGGCAGCCGGTGGCATTGTGGAAAGCATCAGCATCGGCAAGGAGCTCGTCTTTTGGGTTTTCACCCTCAGAAATGCCCGAACTGGGTACCAGAACTGACTGGGTGAGAACCAATAAGGCTTCTCTGGAGAGACACTCCTTCAAAAGGTCATGAGACGAGAGGTTCCACAAAAGACCTAGGAGCGAGATGGAAAAATGCTTTACAAAAAGGCAAAGAAATTCATCCCAAAATGTTAGTTGAAATGTACTCCCACGGTCAGATCTTAAATGTCTGACTGCCAGTATCCTTCTGTTCCAAGTAAGAAAAATAAAGCCGGTGGAAAAAAACAAACGCACCAGTTAGTTCTCGTCTGGTCTCCAAATTACGGCTGCTCTTGAGCGGAAGCAAAATTTTGGCCAGGCCATCATTTTCCTTCACTTCCATCTTGTTTTCGCTGCTCTGGTAAACAACATTGCGTAGCGCCCCGGCGGCCGCACACTGCACCACCTCATTGTCGCTGTCCAACAGCTGCAGGAGCTTCCCAATCCCACGGAGGTAGTACACCTGCGAGGAAGAGGTTCATCAATGACTGACAGATCCGTCTCCACATCCACAGGCGTCATCAGAAACATTCATACTCAGCTATGTGTTGGATCAAAGACATTCATCAGCAAATCAAAGGCCCAAATCACTTCCAAATCGATTCGTTAGTTATTGATTAAACCTCCCTCTGGATGTATTAGCCTATTCAATGTGTCTAACGGGTGGACAAGCAAAAGCAAAGTCGTATTTTACGTATACAGCCACCAGCAAAATCCATTTTCAATCACTGTAAAAATGATACCATGCATACGAGTAAACACCACACCATCTTTTTGGCATCAGTACTCTTGAGACAGTGACTCTGTATGTTGCTGGCTGCAGAGATCAGCGTGTCCTCGTCATCCTGGGTCAGCAGGTTCACGGCCCTCTCCAGCGTCATCTCCGCAGGCTTGTTCTCTGACTGCCTGTGTGAGCAGACGGCTATGAATGGAAAAACGCTCCGTTCTAAAATGTCCCCTCACACATCAGGCCAGCGTGGGGATTTGTGTCAGGTGATTTAAGTTAACACAAAACAAACACACAAGCTTACAGCGGCGTGACATCCCGACAATGAATCCGCTGAATGGGGACTTCCACTTCCATCTGCCTGCCCACGTCCACCTCCACGCTGGTGGCCGAAGGCGGGTACGAGTTCATCCTGCGGAGCCCCTCCCTCCTGACCCGAGCCAACCAGGCCTCCTCGGGCGAGATCGCTCCGGTCACGACTCCAGCGGGACTCCGGCGGGAGCCGCAACCGACGCTCTGCTGAAACGCCGCGTTCGCCGTCACCGACTGCTGCGCTGCGGCCTGTCTGAGTAACCTCCGGTGGAGGGTCCCGTTGGCAGCTGTGGATGCCAGCCGCCGCGTGCCACAGGGGGCCTCCGAGAAGGCGTAGCGGCGAAATGAATGGGAACCGAGCGAGTAGTCCGGCGCGCCGCTGGGCCCGTGTGATCGAGCGCGCCCTGGGTGGGTGTACGTCCCGTGGCGGGGGGTGCTGTGGTTGAAGCGCGTGTGGTGCAACTCGGGGCTCGGTGGGGGAGACACTTCCACCCTCCTCGACGGCCCCCGCACGTTGTTGCTTGAGAGAGAGCGGTTGGTGAGGCCCATTCCGTTCATCTGTGAAAAGAAAAGTAGTTAGTTAGTGTTTCTATCTAGTTCACTGAGCAAAGCTTCCTTATGATCCTTATGAAGGTTCATTGAAAACCTTCTACAACAACTCGTGAAGGTGACTAAATACATTACAAATATTGTTCTAAAAAGAAGGAAGAAATATTTAATAAATATATTTTATTTTTCTTTAACCTCCCTCAGCTAAAATACAAAACTTTTATATATTTTTTTCATCAATTTATAAAGGACATACTGTACCTAATCCACGAGTAGTGATTAGGAGGGAAAAAATAACCCTGACCAGTAATCAGTTGGCAAATAAACAATAACTCCATTTATTTTATCTTGTCAGTTTCAAGGCTCCGAACACCTTGAGCTGATACTGTTTAAAAGTCACCAACTATAACGTCAAGGTAAATGTAAGAACACAGTGATTCATCTAAACCGGCCTGCAGGCTCTGAATATAAAGCAGGAGCAAAACATTTGACTACATTCAAATAACAGAATACGTCCGTGCCGTTTTGCTGAAAATTCAAAGAGAGCATCTTAAATGTGTAAAGTAGCCATTGCAACTGACTTTATGTAATTAAGACTTTTACCATGGGAACACAACAATAAGATTGTTTGTACCGACACATTAAAGAGATGATAAATGCCACTAACTGGTTTGTGTGTGTGTGTGTGTGTGTGTGTGTGTGTGTGTTTGTGTGTAGGCATGAGTAAGGTACCTTCGTGTTTGGTAGAAGTCCATCGGAGGCATCAAAGCTCTTTGCAATGCTTTTCTGTAAACCGAGACTACCTGAAACAAGTTAAGAGGTTCTATTGAAGTGCACGGTTTCACACTGTAATTACCTAAACGCTTGTCAACACTTCGTCAGATCAGAGGAATGAGTCCTAGTCTGAGCTACAAAAGTACAGTACTCTGTGCTTGTATACTAAAGAACCAAAATCACTAATTAGTATTGAGAAAGACTGACATGGTGACGGGAGACGCATCTGAAAGAAAATAGATATTCTAAAGCTATTTCCAGACATTATCTTCTCCGTGTACATTGCATACCAGAATAACTACAAATAAGTCATGACAAGAAAATGTAACACGTACCTGTAGTATTGGTTGTTATGAAACAATTAACTAACAAGCACAACCAACTGTGTACCCAGTGAACCACAGGACATTACACTTTTTATATGTGCAATAAAGATGGCAATAACCACTGTGGTATGTGTACGTGTACATATACATATATTTATTTGGTACTTAGTTACTGTGGCCTTTGCACTCGTTTATTTTATTTTTTATTTATTCTTGTTATTTTTTATTATCATGATACTGCTGCTCGTTTTTTGATAACCATGTATCTTGCTAACAAAACAAGACATTTTAATCCTGTATAAATTTGTTGGCATTTAATACATCTATTATTAATATAATACTATTATTAATACATCTCATCTTTGATGCAACAAAAATTAAAGATCTGATCCGCCCACATATTCATTAAGGCTGCCAACACATAATGCATGAAGTACAGAACACAGTGACAAACCCTTCAAGTGTATGAATGAAACTGCAGAAACCTGTTGCACCAGCAGACTACTATGAGGAATGCATTACAAAATGATCAGCTGGCTACACACACATGGTCCACTGAAGTGGGGAGGAGGACCCACTATGTAATAATGATGATGATAATATTTGACCTGTTTAACAGCTCATTGGCACTTTACATGGTACAGACAGAAAAAATAAATCAGAGAGATGACCTTATAACAGTAATAAACTGCATACAATAAACTATACATAACAAGCATCACAGGTTACGAGCAGCTATAGATATATATCAGCTATAGATAGGTTAGATTATTCATTATTTGTTATTTTCTCTAATATACAGGAGAGTTTCGCTCTTCTCAGACATTGCTGGTTATAATCGAACTAAATAAAGCAATCCGAAAGGTGTGTAGGAGAAAACGATCTTCCCACAACTCAACCAGTAACAACGGGTTTAGTTCAAAGAAAGTGCGCAGTACTGTAAAGGTATATGGTTTAATTATACGTCTACAAGTTCAAACTGAGATAACTAAGTATAACTAGTTGTAAATATGACCAGGGGGCAGAGAGACCACACAGCCAACAAAAATCTATCAAACAATAGTGTCGTGTGCAAAAACGCCTGCGTGCTTCTCGGTGTGAAACTCGGCCACAGAGAAGCGGAGCTCACCGCTCGACTCGGTCCTCCTCGCCCTCCGGGCCAGCGTGAGCTGCACCTGCCGGTGGACGCGCAGGGTCCGGTCCACGGAGCTCTCCGCCGCGGGGGACCGCGCCGGGTTCGGCCCGGCCGGCAGAGCCAGGCTGCTGTCGCCCAACGCGGACGAGTCCTGCGCAGGTAACGCGGATTTAAAGAACTGCTCTTCCATTTTTGTGGACGAACCGCGCGAAATAGAAGAGGAATAGTCCGTCGAGGAGGAGCAAGGGGGTGGGGAGGGGGGTCCAGGTGGGCCGCTTCGGGGGTTGGTGTGCTGGTTCTGGGTCGGTGACCGGCTTTGCTTTGTTGTACCTGTGAGCGTGAGGCGGGTGGATCTGCCTTTGCTGGCAGCCCGGAGGGGCGGAGCTACAGGCGAAGCACCTGAGGTGTCAGGTGTCGCCGCTGGCTGGTGTCGGCTGTAACATTTTAGTCGATTCTTTTCGTATTTGACTCCCCCCCGCTCCTTTAATGCATTTCAGAAGTAATATATTTTTACTATCATACGTTGATGTAATTGGTGCCATTTAAGTTTGGGCCTGACTAAAAAATGCTTGACTGGTGCAAAATGTCGTTATAAACCAATAACTTTGTATTGATACAACATTGTAGTTTTTTTTTTTACATTTGTGACTATACTAAACTATGGTATTGTTTATTTTGCATATCACTTTCACATGTGCTTCAGTGCGTAACCTTATTTGTTCAAGGCACACAACACGTTGAAGCCATTGTGTATCAATATAATATATTGATGTAATTCATATTTAGGGGCACGGTGTGGGGTTTGAATGATTACATCACACCCTTGTGAATTTGGCACCTCAGGTGTCAGAATTGGCCGGCTTATTCACTTTTCCACCCTGAACCACAGCCCCGCCCTATTTGGCCTGAGTTGTGAGGTGCTTCCCTCCCAGGTGGATTTTCCCCGTGAAAGGAGCTGCAAAGCGTCAAAGACCAACTGTTAATGCCAGACATGCATGCTGGAGTGTGTTCTCATTTGGCCAAAGGCCTTTACATTTTCACTTTGTAGTGACGACGGAGCAACTTCTATTACATTCGCTGCTAGTGTCACATTATATTTTGTCAACTTATTTTACATATTTAAACTGGGTTAATTAGTGTCAGTGTGATTGTGGTATTTGTGGACAAAAATACAGATTTAGTTTTTCTAAAGGGTCATCTGATATTGTGCAAACTGTCTCAGCCAAGATTTTCTTTACCTTGAATTAAACATAATTATGTTTCTACTTCAGGAAATCCCTGAATATATTGCCATTACATGAATCAATGAGGATTCAACAACAGTTCCGATATGATTTTCCCCCTTTAATGCAACCTCAAAAACAAATCTCCCCAGTCTACGCCATCAAATCACTTTCACCATAAACCTTTTTCTGTGCATAATATCCATGACAAAACGGTGAGAAAGCTTAAGTCAGCTCTGAGCAAATCTCTGGATACATCCATGTGACATTACAATGTGTGTTGAGCGGACAATCAAGCGGTGGACTCGTGTCATCCCGCATTTTTTTTGTACATGGAGCACATACATGTTATTTGTGGGACTATCACCCTTAGCCTCATGCTTCAGTCCTAAAAGGAGCGTTCACAGACAAACAGAGGCTCCGGGAAGTGGAGGAAAGAGGCGTTTCTGCTGCAAAACATTAAGCTGAATGGGTTTATGTTTAATTGATGTTGTTTTCTGGATTGTAGTGAAATCTTGCATGCTCGGTTATGTGACAAATGGAAGCCCTGTGGTTCCTGGACAATGTAGGGAATTCCATTGTTTAAAGTCTTATTCTTTTTTTCCACAAAGCAGTTGGCTAAAAATGATGAAGGTTTAACAAAACATCACAGATTTTCCCACCTGAACACTAATACGTTTTGCAATTTGGCACATTGTACTTCACTTTCGCCAACCCACGATACATACGCGCGCACACACACACAAAGGCTTGAGGTGGTTGGAGTTCTAACATTGCCAATAGACTGAAAGTTTATAACTGAATTGGTGCATTGAACTGAATAAAACCATGTTAAACAGTATGAGATCATTGCAGCTGAATAAACAATTAAAAAAAACATCCGTCTGTCATATGGAAATACTTCATCAATGTCTTACCAAAGCTTTCAAAACATTCCCCTGATCATTACTATTCTACCGTAATTGTTTGAATACCAAGATGCTATGTACATTTTGTAAAAAAAAAAGAAAAGAAAAGAATATATTTAACCGTCTCCAGTCTCTGATATTTTTTTTCCGGTCTAAAGTTAACTTCTATGCAGTCCTCATAAAGATATATTTCACCAGATCAGAATTTAGAATGCATTAATTCAACCACTCAATTTCACACCAACCTTTATATCCTAAAACCGTGGCACATGGTCATCGATACAAATATACTGTACACACCGTCCTCGCTGGGTTTTCAACACGTTGGTTTTATCCTGCCATTTGTACATTGTTAGAAAATATATAAAATATTAAGAGAAATTGTACAGGTACATTCGGGTTAAAAACATGTTAATGTTAACATGTCTTTTCAAAGCTATTTACAAATCTCTGTGTGGTTTTGAGTCGTCATTCAGCCGTCGACAGGGGAGTGAGTTGGTGCTTCTTAAGAGAAAACTCTTTGATTTCTTTGGATTTCTGTCTCGATATTCTACACGTAGATGTCGTTGATCTAGAATATTTCCTAGGGATTGTTTTTGCCCTTAAAAACGTTGTGAAAATATTTGAGCGGATAAGCAGGCGGGATACATGGAGAGAAAAAGATGGGGATGACCCACGATGCACCAAGAACTCCACCTGTTTAGGCAGTAACCAAAGGATCATGATCAATTATTGATATTAAAACTAAAGCAAAAGCTATAATGGGCCTTTTTAACAATTTCTAACAATTCATGGACCTAACCATTAAAGGATCAACAAAAAAATATATATATATATCTCGGGTTAATCCAGAATCAAAATTATTCCTGGGGGGGGGGGGGGCGGGGGGCAATCATATCAAACATGAAAATGATGTCATTTGGTGGTCGGTTTTGCCAAATGAGACATGATAAAAAAAAAATGCAAACTTTAATTCAAAAAGGGCAGTCAACAATAACTATACTCATCAAAATCCTCTTATTTCATTTCCACGGTTTAGATGAACTGAACAGACCCCGTAGCAGCACCCCGTAACTCAGGCAAAAAAGGATTTACACCGTGACAAACGTGGGAAACCGTAACATAAAAGGTATGTGGCTTTCAACAGTCGACAGTTCAGGTCATCGGTCGAGGTTAGTGGAGACGCAACGCCTGTGCTTCTCGGTGCAGTTTCCCTGTCGGGTCAAAGGATGTCGAGCACGCCCCACGTGTTTACTGAGGTATCTACTCGCTGACAGTTTTACTTTTTCTGGAGATAAACCCGTCTTGGACCTTTGACCCTGGCATTTACGACCACAAGCCATTTGTGGCACAACGTTTTCCATTTTTGTTCTATTCTCCTAATTGTATGATACCTTATGTTGACGCAAAATGTAAATAATTGAGGACATTACATTTTGTCAGGAAAATCCCAGCTAGGAGAACTTTCAAACATATCTATGCTCCGGGATCAACGTGTGTATGATTTTTTATAATCTTGGCTTGATGATAGACAATATTAAGTCTGGAAACATTCCTCGCATGGATGTGCTTTGGTGTCAATTACTCTTTTATTGACTTGAAAGCACTTCCAATCTGCTAAAAATAAAATAAAAAAACGTGACCATTAGTGAGAAAAAAACAACATTCTGTAAGGCATTCCTTCGCCAGGTCGTTCACGCCAGCCGGCTGCGCGGCTTCACCCTCCCTCAAGCTCCGTCTTGTCGCTCTAGTATTTTCCAGCGAAAAGGAAAAAAAGTGTTCTTGAGATATTCAGTCTTTACGTTAGAGACATCGAGTCCTCAACACAGTTCTGTCGATGTGCTTTGGTCTCTCCTGTAGCTAAGACTAGCGATGATACATACGAGAGAGCCGCAGCTTGGAGAAAAAAAAAGTCATTAGATTCATGCAAGACTGTACAGACTTTCAGTGAAACCGTCCCGGCTGGACAGCCCACGTGGTTTAAAAAAAAAAAAAAAAAAAAAAGTTGCAGTCCTATCTGCAGGAGGGACCCAACACGTTACCCGTCGAGGGCGAGGTCGCGGTGGCGCTGTAATGGGGGTAGTTGTCGTTGGGTGGCGGCCCCGGGAGGATGGAGTTTCCGTTGGTCGGGGAGCAGCTGAGCTGGAGCCTCCGCAGGTACTCGGCGTGGACGGGTTTGTGACTCTGCAGCACTTTGATGGCCTCGTCCACGGTGAACCACTCCCTCTTACGGCCTGCAGGGGGAAACAGAGCGCAAGGCAAGGGTTAAAAAAAAAAAGGAAGCTGGGTGTTTATTAGAGAGCCAGAACTTCAAAATGATTCATTTTCAACGGACGCGTTCATCCTCCTCCACGGGTTCCTCATTCGTTGCATCGAGGCGATCTCCTCTAGCGACGCACGCAGTACAACTCATGGAAGTCATGAGCTTCAACATGTTGCTCTCTTACACGTCATGTAAAAGGTAGTCCAAGGGCAAAGACGCAACGCCGCGGACATTAGTGGGGAAGCTGAAGGGGAAACCGTACCGATGTTGACGGAGTCCTCCCAGGCCTCCAGGGTTTCGGTGACGGTCAACACGTACACGTACGTCCGGTGCTTCCGGTCTTGGTTTTGCTTGAGGGATCGCAAGGGAAGCAAACTGAATACTTAATGATCATATAAAAAAACAAAACATGTGTGAACATACATGTTTCTCTGGTAAACACGGGTCCAAAACGAAAACATACCACTCGCAATTGTACATTTCGTGCAACAAACAAAAGCAAAAAGCTACTCGCGTAGGGATAAGAAAGCGAAAGTAAGACGAAGCCGCGTAAGCTTACCTCGAACACGCCGAGCAGACGTCCTAGCTTGCCCTTCACACCGGCCTAAAGAATAAATGGAGAAAATGATTTAAAATATTTGTTTTTGTCCCGATTGGCTCCAGCGTGTGGCACAAAGACGGCAAAGGACACTTCTTTAGGTCTAGAGTACCCTGTGTTCACTCGTGAATTAGAGGGTGGAAACATTGGGAAAGCAGTAGCCAAACAACCAACTACATTATGTGGCGAGACAATGAGTATTGTGTGCTACACATCAATGTTTAACAGCACTCTGCGTACTGAGCTCCGCTGTAACCGCCCAGGTTTCGTTGTGATTTAGAAAACGCTTGAGGGAAAAATTACTGAAACGAAAAACTGAGCTAGAGAATAAATCCCGGTGCCGCGCTCAGTTTTGCCCTCTTTGACCTCACAGCTGCTTCAATATGACTTTTGAAAGACTCTTAAAGATGCAACCATATCCGTCTCCACTATTTGAGGCCTTTTAGTAGTTCTAATAATAGGAATGATTATCAATCCTTGGTTGTTATGGTAGTCATAAGAACTGGCTCAAATCCTGAGAGAATATCACTCCGGAAATGTAATTATGTCTGTTTCTTAACAGTTAAAGTTACTTTAGTAATTCACAGATATCAAATGACCGCCAGGACAGATGACATCTGTCCTTCCCCCTCAGCATACTTCACAAGTGTCACTGTCGCACTGATGTGTCCAGCGCGTCGGGCCGCCGGGGTCCTCGGAGGCGCAGGAATCCAACGAGGATCCGAGTTTAGCCCGCTGACGTAGCCGGGGACACGGGGTTCTCTACCAGAGGGGGGCTCTGGAAAACCAGCACACGCCTGGCTCACCCAGCTACTGACGCCGCGTCTCGGCCGAAGCCGTTTGACCCGCGCACCTCCGCTTCTGCTTTTTTAGTTTATTTGAATTTTTTAACCTGAATTGGATGGCGTTGGAAGATTTCTAATAAAAAAATATAAATGTAAAAAAAATACTTCCTAAGTCCTCAGCATGTCATCTGAAATGGGCCATAATAGGAAACACTGCCCCGGGAATTTGTTAAGTAATTCTCAACTATTCCCACAGGTTGAACAGAAACCGAGACACGGCGTTGCTGCTTTGATCACCTGTTACACGACAAAAAGCACTTCTCCTACATCGCAAAAAGAAAACGTTTGGTTCACCTCCTCAAACACCTCTCGCACTGCGGCGCCACACGGCTCCTCCTCGGGCTCCATCCCCCCTCCGGGGACGATCCACTGCTCCGGGTGCCGACTGCTGCTGACCAGCAGCACCTGTAAACAGAAGGAAGCGCTTCATGAATCATGTGGCGCGTTCGTTCCTTCGGACGCGGGTAAGCAGTCACATGAGGATGCCTGAAAGTGAGCTCGACGTGACCCTTGACCCCTTAGATTTGGGCCTCAAAGACAGGCGGCAGACGATTGGTTTCAGCCGCTGCTATTTATTCTCTGTTGCTGTAGACGGGATCCAGAATCCACCACAGCCCTCGTAGCTTGAAATATTCAACCCTGACATGGTGTTCATGGTCTTCTGTGTGGAATTGATGAAATATAAAAACACATTTAAACACGGTACTTTACGTCACTTTGACTGGAAAACATCACCAGATGTATTATTTCGGTAAAAAAAAGGTAGCCTATTCTAATTAGGACAAAAGGGAGGCATTTGGGGGGGGGGGGGGGGGGGGGAGCGGGCGCCTGTGTTGAGGCCGGTTCCAACACACATTGAGCCCGGCAAACAATGCATGTTAAACCAGCATGAGCCACTCTGCATCACCGAGTGCTTCCCTAAGCGACTAGCAGGGCTTGAATAACACTAAACTTGCACTGTGCACAGATATGTACAGATCAGATGTGTCCATGTCTGCATTCTCTACCGGTATCCATATATATCGACCACAACAAGTCTCGAGCACACCTGCTGTAAACATTAGAACATTTGCTTTAAGCCATTTGCTTATTAGTAATTAAAAGCACAGCAGGATGATCGCGACTCCAACAGCGGATTTGGGTGCAGAGCCTTCAGTGGTTCATTTAACCGCATGTTCTACGTCTTACACCTTGTGGTCATTTTATAAACACGCAACTGAATCAGGGAGGGTAAATACACATGCATTGAAGAGAGAAAGGCGTGTTAAGCAGCTTGTGCAACTTATGTTGACATGCAGATCACCATATACAGTAATCTGCCTGAAGACGCAGCCTGTCACTTAATCCTATCTCAGTGTTTGGACGTATCTCCCCTTACGTTCTCCAATGCATTCCGATGCTCCACTGAGGCCCGGGGGGCCCCGAACCCCAATAGACAGCGAAGGTTCGGGGCTTCGACACAGAGAGCGAGCAAGCACTGCGGGCGGCCATCTTTCTCACATTCGCCCGAGCCAGACACCTGCTTCCACCCATGCTGTGTCATCGGGGACAAAAAGGGGGGCAGTGGGGTGGCTATCCATGTCGAGCGTGACGGCGCGCGCGCCAACAAGCGCGCTGACGCGGGAGGAAAGGGCGCTTACACAAATACAACAGCAGGCTTTTTCGAGGTACATGTTGTCATATGCAGCAAGGGCTTATTTTCACCCCTCGTTGAACGGAAATGTCGCCTGCTGGAAGTCTTGTTTCCATTCAGGCCATTAATGGGGGGGGGGGTGTGCTTCCATGCGGGTTGGGCTACTTCAGCGTCATGGCGGCCTTTGTGTTTCGGGGCGTGTGTGAAACCGACCTGCTGCCTCGTGTGTGAGTGAATGGAGATCAAGGGTGTCGACTGGTCCCAAGTCGAAAAGTGTGAGGTGTTTACAAAACAATAGCCGGGGAGGTAATGGGACGGCTCGGACAAAGAGGATACTTTTCCATCCTCGGAACACAGCGAGTGTTATTTTGATGGATATAGGAATGTAGCGCGCCGGACCGACATATTACGAACTGCGTGTAATTTGTTTCTTCACGTGTGCATCCGAGCCGAATACAGCCAGCGAGCACCGAGACAACTGGACGAGTTACATTTCAGATACGTGTTTAGACTAATCTGCTCACTTGCTAACTACTCTCCAAGCTACCGCCGTCTTAACCTGTTGTGCTCACGGGACCCGGTTTCCAGTGATTTGGCGTCAATGTTAAAGAAGAAATTCATGCTCTGACCCCCCCCCAAAAAAAAAAATGGCGCAGACTACAAAAGGCCAAAGTTAATTTGGTGAACAAAATAACTCACACGCTCGTAAAAGAAAGGCCGAAGGGTCAAACCGCCCCCGCAAACACGCACTTGTGTTTGGAGAGAGGGGCGCTCAGGAGACAAAACCCCCAGAGGGAACACGGCAGTGTTTCCCGGTAACATGTGTCGGTTCTGCAACTCAGGGGCCGCCAGTGAGGGGGGAGCTAATCCTCAGGTGACAACCGGTAAATCTCTCACGGGTAAAACGATAAACACTACAGACAAATGCCCCACTCGCTAATCCGTTGTGTAGCCACGTAACTGATTTAAATAAGAAGATCAGTCATTCTTAATTTGATATGATATTCGGAGACACCAGAAGCATTACGACAGGAAGCCCCTCCGGCAGGCCTCAAGAAGGGACAGCAGGCAGGGATATTCTGGAGGACATTAACACCTCCTCCCCCCCCCACCCATCGTAGCTGTCCAATAAAGAAGGCACCGAATGCCAGGGAGACGGTACGAGGGAATGGTGGGAAGTCTGAGACGGCGAGCAGAAGCGCGGCGAGCTACTATAACAGCCGACATCTCCCGCAAAAACAATCGTTTTTTTCAGAGGAACTGAACACCTACACCCCCCCCCCTCCAGCTCACAGGATGACATTGTTTACAATGCGATGCGGTATCTTCAATAAGCCTCTGGGTCATGAATTCATAAACATGGTGGTGACTTAAAAACGATTCTCCCTTCTTACTCGGAATTATGCATGAACTCGTGGCATTATATAAATGCGTGTTTTATTGAGGCCTCAGCACAGTGTGTCCCAGCGGAGGTTGCTCCTGAATCACGAAAACACACCAAAAGACTTGAACGGCAGTTAACCTTGATATGAACAATTAGTATCAGACGGTCGCTCTTTTTTTAGCTCAGTTTCGGCTGTTATGCTGCTAAATATTTCAGCGCGTCCACCTGTTCGCTGCGAACATTGTCTGCCTGCGACTACTGTACGGGTCGCCTCCGGAGCGTTTTAAAGTAATGTGGCAGGTCAGAAAAACAGTCCCTATATAGATCAGAAATGATTAGCCGTTTCAGAGTCAGGTTTTTCTATTTAATCACACAGTCTGTTGTTAAAAGGAACACGTTGAATTCCCCGAAAACACACCCACACACACACGTGTGGCTTTAACCGTGTGCATCGCAACATCCAATCTGAACATCTCGGTGTGAAATGCTTCTAAAATCATAACGTTGAGTTCCGGATGAGTGACTTCTAGTTATTTAACAACGTGTTTCAGCAACCGACCGAAGATAGAATAAAAAAAAAAAAGTCTCTCTTAGCTCACAGTGCCAAGCAACTCACGTGTCGTAAACTCAGCCAGGTGCCTTAGTCATCACTGGCTTCCCTCTGCACTGAGGTTCCTGTTTTCCCCTGTCGAAGGTTTAATTGCGACTCCACAGAACCTCGCCCTCGGGCCTCAGCTCGCACCTTTTCGCCGAAACGACAGTTCAACAGAATGTACGGCTCTTATTTCCCCGTGGCGGAGTCTCCCGTGTCTACGAACTGATTGTGTGTGCATAAAAGGCATGCGTTTGATGACACAGGCCTTTGTATCTCAAAGCTCCTTCGAACCGGAATGTAGAAATCGTTGACACCCAAACTTACAGGTACAGGTTGTTAACAGCAAACTTTAATTTTAGAAAACCTGCATCCCGTACGTAAAACTCCAAAATAAGGATGACATAACAGCTACACATGTAACCAGCCATCCGAGTGTGTGTGTGTGTGTGTCATAGGGCCAAACACCGGAGGGCTTAGGCAGAGCTCTCTGTGCCAGTCCAGGGACACCAGCTTGGGCTGTTTTGACTGTATATATGTAAACAGTTTGTTTAAGCAAAACTCAAAAAAGGAGGCTAAATATAGACGTGAGAGAATTAGCCACGGAAAACATAGGTATTTGGACACAGGTGAGATTCTAGTCACGTGCATAGTTGACAGCTTAACTCGAAGGAGTCATTTATTTTAATATATACTTAGAATAACCCGTTATATTTAAAAAAAGGTGATTCTACTTATCTTGTTATTGTACTGCTACGATTTACCAAATATGCGGTCACTGTTGACTTCGCTCAAATAAAAAAAAAATAGTGACGATATCACACCATACGTGTTTTGAAAGGTCTTTGAGACACAAAACAACAGCACATGACTGCAACCCCCTATGCATTATTTACATAGGGAGGGCCCTTTAAATCCTCATCCACATAGATGCTACGCAGCTTGAGGCCGGTGCGATGCAGCGTGATCGTGAATGGTCAGTACCAGACCCGCCCCGTCGGGATGCTCAACACCGTGAAGTGACGTATATGTTGTGATATATAGTTAATTCATAATAGACTCGAGGCTCTCGTTTGCGTCTCCCCCCCCCTCACACACACCCTAAAATCCCTAAAAATGAAAAGGGAGGGACGTGCAACAGAGCGCCAGGACACCTTCGCGTTAGCCACTCCAAGTTAAGAACAAGCTAAGCGGAAGTTGAGTAAACCAGTCTTCAAAACAAGAGCGTTGCTTTGAACATGAGTAACGTTTGGTTCGGAAGTATTTGGTCGGGTGTTTTATTTTGAAATCAGTCACCGCTGTGGTTTGTTATGAATCGCAGCAGCTTTTTTGAGAGCAGCGTTTCCCCCCCTTTCGAAACGCGCTTCGCAAACTAGCCTAAACTGGATGGCCCAAGGCGCATCAACAGCAGCAGCACGGAAACACAAACCAAAATAGTGGCATTGTGACACAAAGATAATAAAACAACGTTAACGCATCCTCCGCCTAGAAGCAAGAGAATTCGCCCAAACCCCTGCATAATATCAAATATACATTTTCCGATTGTGGTCTCAACCCCTTCTGTGCTGTTTGAATGACTGGGTGCAGTCGGGGCACGACTAGGCCACGCAGTCTCTCACACACACACACACACACACACACACACACACACACACACACAATCGTTGGATATCGATCATTCGGTTCAGTTTCTGCGGAATCTCTCACCTCTTCCTCGCGTTCGTTCTTGAAGCACAGGCACGCTGCTCGTTTCTTGAAGCCCTCGCCGTCGTACGTCCTGGTCTGGTTCGGCTTGAGCTTCATTGTGGGTTTATTGTGTGTCTCCCTTTCAGGTAACAAAAAAAACTAAAACAAAAAAAAGCCGACAGCAATAAGCGAGGGAAAGGACTCAACAGCAGACCCGCCGCATCGCTGCCGCTCTCTGCGCCCGTAGAGTCCGCGATGGCCAGTAATGAGAAGAGGAGGAGGAGGAGGAGGTTGTTGGGAAATATCCCGACCGCGGGTACCCGTCAGACTATCCCGTTTTCCTCATTGGATCCGCGTGCGGATGGCGTCGGAGCTCTAGCCGCCGGCCGTGATTTCAAGTGCCGCAGGTCGTATGCGGTCCGCAGCCTACACAGCGCAGCCCTCCGACGGTCCCGTTTGCGCACGGCGAGCTGACTCACTACGACGAAAGAGGCGATCCGGAGTTTTAATACACAGGTCACTCCTCCGGGGCCGCAGCGAGCTCATTGGCTGGCTCAGCCTCAGTGGGCGGGGCCACCCTCCCAGGTCGAAGAGGCGACGGTAAACAGATGCGTAATTTGCGCGAACCTCCGGCGGAGTGGCGCAGCGCTCGCGCTGATTTAGAGCGTGCGCCCAGTGATGAAGGTGTCCACACGAGGAAGGCTTGTTATTGATCCTTCGTTTAGGGCTTTGGGAATCTTGGACCTTTGGTTCTTTTATTGTTTATGTTGATGCTTTTTATGCACTTCGACACCTTTTTTACATTAAAGGTACATACAAATCCCCTCGTGATCAATGTATTTGATTTTGTTGGATGTGTGTTTTTATGCCCTATACTCAAACCAGGACACATTGAGGAAATACAAAATCATTTTTCAAAATGTCAAAGGGAAAAGTATATAGTGTACATTTTGTAATCGATTATTACAAAATATGTTCTGAATGTCACATTGCTCATCGGCAGTCCTCTGCGGCCCCACCTCTCCTAAACCTCAATGTCACTGAACAAATAAAACCAGCCTTGTATATATGACATGATGCTGTCAGCGCATTCGTTATTTATTGCACTTGTGGGAGTTTCACATTTGACCTGTTCCACACACACACCAAATGGTACATTCTGCCTCCCTTTGTCAGTAGCAGGAAAGCTATGATGTTAAATGCCGTTATTTTTCACGGTTTGCTTTAACTGTCTCCCGCAGTGTTTCTTCTTGTGTCTTCAGTATTTTGGGGAGGGTTTTTTCGTCAAATGTCCTCTGTTGCCTCTTCAGTAGTTCATAGGACAGTTACATCTTATCAAGCGTGTTGGGAATTCAGTCAGCTGTCACCTGTCACTCAATTTACACAAAAAATGTTCAGAGCATCATGCCAGTCCTCCAATAAAAGGAAACGTGACTAATTTAGGCGTTTGCACTTGTGAATTTGGTGTTTTAAAGGTTAAAAGTACACTGCTCTAACGTACCCTGTGAATATAAGCACCACGGCCAGCTGCACCCCCTGACCAAACACATTAAGGTCGCTCAAGCCTTTAGGCGCCGCCATATTGTCGCTGGCTTCCTCGTAAGCTCAGAGGGAATGGATGCCGCCCCTTCCCTCAGTTACTACCCCACAGGTGGGGTTTTAGAAAGTGATTGCATTGTCAGCTGCTGTGACTTATTAACCGATGTAACGCGTTCACCGTTTTAGTGGCGTAACTCCCACCGTGACAGTCGAACGGCACGATAGAGGCTGGTGGATGATACGGATCCTTCACCTGCGGTTCATCTTTGACCTGCAGGCCGCGGCTATTTGTATCTCCACAGATAACATCAAAAGCCCAAACCTCCAGGAGACAATCATCAACCGTAGAATGAGACTGATCGATGTGGGTCAAAGGGAGAGATTTTTTTGGTGAGGCAATCAAGTGTTGTTTTTCGTATCTGACGGCCTTTTAACAACTTTCAGGCGGATTTACTCTGCAAAAATTTGCAGACTTGTGTCCTTTGACCTGAGCGTCACTAAGAGCTTCATCAGCGTGAGAGATATATGCATTGAACATATTGTCTCTCACTCAGGGGACATCAATTAACAATCAACACACAATAGATTGGAGATGCACGCGCGCGCACACACACACACACACACACACACACACACACACACACACACACACACACACACACATACCTCCACGGACACAATCTTGATTGCAACACACTCAGAGAGGAAGAAAGACATTGAGAAATAATAAGAAAAACACAGCAATACAGAGCATAGGATTTTACCCAGAGACAAAACAAAACTCAAATGTTAAGCATGATATATATATAAATAAATTATAACATAAAAGATGGATATCCACGAATCCCACTGACTCCAATTAGATGGATTGACAAAAACTGGATTGATTGATCACAGCAACTGTTTATGTGGTTTCACAATTCACAAAAAGTATCACATGACCCTGTTTGTTCCCCCTAAACTAAAACTAGTTAAAGGGACTGAAAACATAACAGTAGATGACAGCAAAGGTTTGAATAAAAATGTCAGTTAGAGGAATTTAGTTTGTATCAATGCCATTAGGATTAGGGAGACAAGTTAGAAAATTATTATTTTTTTAATCAAATAGTAGTGTTGTTTGCATGAAATCCACTATGAGGAGTCATTTCTTATCGGGGATCAGGATCATTCTCCACATATAACAACAGATGCTCCGTCGAGCTATCCTAACGGCATTAGTCAGCTGAGAGGAGAATAAATCTATGTCATTGTGCTACTTGAAGGGGTTTATCATCCTCTTCCTGCATGTCAAAGGAAAGCAGTTAAAAAAGGTCTCCTTTTAGCCGAGATGCGAGGGGGGGGGGGGGGGCTGGGGGGAGATCCAGTTTCTCCGGGCCTCGCGTCGGGACCGTTGGAGGAATGGAGGACTCTATCAGGAGCGTCGCAATGACAACTGCTCTCTGACATACACGACATACAAACAGAACATGCACTCAATTACACATTCAGTGCGTTCACACTCGGGTCTGGTTTACATGTGTGGTTCCTCCTCATTCGCCTCTGATCCACTCAGTGCTCGTACAGCTACGATTGTAGGCTTATGAGAGTCATTGGATCAGGGCTCAGTTAACTAACCACACAGGTAACGGGTAATAAGAACACCTTTCATTGTAGCATAGAAGATTAACCATCATTGTCAACCACAGTCAGCATACATGGGATGATATATATCAACTATTTTGGGTAGCTTGGTGCAACTCGGCCTCTCTCGTCAATCTTTTTTTTAATTTGCAATGCTCACAGCTCACATCGACATTTAAAGGTTAATACAACAGAAGTAATTTCAGGTCTCAAGCCTGCAGATGCACATATAACAACTTGTGAGGACTGAAGGACACAATGTGTGCCTGTTGGTGCATATTAAAGCCTGGTATTATTATAGATGTGAATAAAACTCAACTTGGATAAACACCACTTAGGGACAGTTATGCATTGTAATTAGATAGACAGGGAGAATTAGCGTAGGGTCAAAGCTTGTTGTTCATCATCAGATTAACATTACAAAATAAAATAAAATAAGACATACATGCAAAGTTACCGACTGCTTTTCTATTTGATGCGCTGTTGTTGACTGCTGCTCAAGTTGTTGAGGCTACCTGCGGGCAAATGTTCCTCCTCACAATGATGCCTCTGTCTCCTTGAGGTAGAACAAAAACACACACACTCTATAATCATGTGAAGATTAGGCTTTAAAGGGGCATAAACAAAACCAGACAGTGACAGTCTGATTGCTGGAATGCGGGAAAGTTGTCTCTGGCGAAACCCCACGGCGATGATGACACCAGGAGAATGAAAACGATGCCTTTCTCCTCAGCAAGTATAGCTTAAAACTCAAAGTCGGCCCCGTGGCGGTGATTGAAAATCACACTTCCATAACCGAGAGCGGCGTTGCGACACATCTGAGGAACAATTACCGTGAATGAAACAGAAAATCTTCGTCCAGTTTGATGTTAATATAGGAGGTATGTACATATACACATAGGAGTGTGTGACAAAAAAATAACAGCTCAGGCGCAAATGGTTCAAGAAAGAAATCGGTCTGTTTAAAACCAAATGTACCAATCTCATCCTCTCAAAGCGTCGCTTTGTGGGAACAGTCATAACTTTTCGAGGGCACTCAAATGGAATTGCTGCCTGAGAGACTACTTGTTTGAGACACGTTGCCATGGTGACCCGTGCCAACTTCAGTGTAACCCAACAATGAATTGTGAGCTGAGCTATTTGCAAAGTGAAATCTTACACCTACATTGACATCGAAGCATTATTGCAGATTGCATCTATAAGTAAGTAAGTAAGTAAGTATTAAACCATGTAGGTGTTCAAGAATAATTCTAAAAAAGGGCGTGCAGACAGGCCGAGGTGACACTAGATGAATTTTATGGAAATCAACTTTACATCTGCCCTCACAGCATGTGGGCAAAACAAACACACCTGTCACAGCACGCGTTTGTGAGCACTGTATTCCCAACAGAAGGCTTCAGAATCAGTGGTTGTACTTAAATGTTTTTCAATATCTGTCATTTCCTCCCTGTTCTTCCATTGGATGACAGTTTGTTGGCCCATGGTGACTCACTTATTATCTCAGCTTGTAATTCGTGGGAATTGTTTTCATGTAATCAGAACGCACAATAGTTTTTTTTCCAAGTACTTTCTAAAGTATGTTGTTTTACGCCTGTTCCTGGACTTCTTTCTCTCATAATGTGCGTGCTCCTCACTTTGTTTGTTTTGGCCTTCTCGTTGCTGAAGTCAAAAGCGACTTTGGAAGCATGATAAAGCAAAAGAATGACTCATTTGTCAATATTATTCCTTTCAATTCAACTTTTCTCATTTCCAAAATAAAAAAAATAAAAAGAGATAAAGATAAGCAGAACCCATGAAGCTCAAAAAAAGGTCACAAAAAAACCTCCAATAGCTAAACCTCCATAAATATAGTATTTATTTTACAGTACAACAGAGACTCAGACTCAAGGAACTCTTCTTTATACACAGACTCCGTTAACCTGAGCAGAGATACGAGGTGTTCCATCTTATAGATACAGTGGGCACGTTGCACCGCGTGGACTCACACGGCGTTTTAAAACTGCAGAGAAATCCTCCCCAGTTTGATGACCGACGTCTCAGCAGCAGACTCGAGCCTTTCCCTCGTCCACAACCCGAGGTGTGGTGCTGTTTTATGAATGAGCTGTTATGCAAGAAAAGGTGACTCGTATGCAGACAGAAAGACAGAGAGGGAGGAGGGGGGGGGGGGTGCAATGGCTGCAATTCAAGTGACGTTGCTGCGTGGTGAATTACATGATTATCTATTTTTCGCTGTGGTTGTTTGCTGCTAAATAACAACGGCAGGGGAAGTGGGTCACGTGTTATACACGCGTGCTGTATATCCGCCACACTAAAGCTTGACTGCGTGTTTATCAAGACGTGTCACGGTGTAATCATCGTAATGACCTGATGATAACCAGAGACAACGTGACAACATGTGTGTCAAGGGATGATTCCATCTGAGTGAGAGAGGGAAAAGGTGCATTTGTGTTTATTCTGAAAAAAACTAAAAAAACATTGTGTTATCTACAAGCTATGAGGTCCCCGATTAGACTTGAGTACAGCACACTGCTAAAGTTATTGATCAGCTCCATCGGCATCGGTACGTCGTCACCTCTGATAATCGATGAGTGAACAGGCGACGGGTTTATTCTTATGTCTAGGTGGTGTTGACCCTGCTCAGGCCCAATGAAGAGATCCAATGAATGGTTGGATTTGCAAGAAGCAATAATTAAACCCTTATCTTTGCTTAATTACTTTATTACTTAATTACAGGATGTCCGCTCGTGCCTTTCAACGTGTTGGGATGATGGAGCTGAAAAGTGGGAAGAATTGAGGTTTCTTTGGTATATATATATATATATATATATATATATATATATATATATATATATATATATAACTAACTAAAGACGGAAGAGTTAACAAAACACCCAGAAAAAGGATGAAGTGGTAGCACTGCACACGTCTCTTGTTCACACTATGTGACTTCCCTTGCGTTTAAAGAGGCCTCTGCAAAGACATAAACGCACACACACACACATGCACAGGCACACACACACACACACACACACACACACACACACACACTTCCCTCCTTTCTGCAGTGGCTGTTATGTGTGGAGGGGGAGTGCGGGGAAGTGGAAGGAAGGGCCAGGACAACCTGTTCTCACTGCGCATGAAGAAGTCACAGTAGCAGAAGAGGAATCCCGGACATCATCATCACACGAAAACACACACAGGCAGGCAACAACAGGCATGTTTCGCCGGGGGGGGGGATTTGATTCCAACCGTGTTCATCGTCCTAAATTTAGCATGATAACATCTACCAAATAGCACCAAACACAAACAGCTGAGGCTGATGGGAATGTCGGGGGTTTATTTCTTAGGTAGCGAAGCACTTCGATCTGGAATGATCTGATGATTTGCTGTCGGCATAAGATGCCACACAGAAGGCACAGGATCGTTGAAGGAGGATTTATCACCTGAGGATCATGAACGTTTGGTTATAAATCTCATCTCATCTCAGGAGGTATCTTATAGTTGTGTTTTGACCAAAAGCAGACTGGGATTGAATGAAAAAGTGTTTCTCTTGTGGGGATTTGTGGGTGTTTGTACTGAGCTGATTGTATCCCTGCTAAGTTACTATTACTATCCTGTGTACCTCTGTACAGCACAACACATGTGACTCACGTAGATTTGGGACGGACCACGTGTAGAGATAAAGAGAATATAAGGGTGTACAAACGGCCTCAGCTTCAGGAGATTAATCTGCTCAGCAAAGGAACATGTTTCTTTTCAAAGTCCTCGCTTCAAAAAACATCTGAAAAGGCCTCAGTCCTAATTCAAATTTACAGCAATGCGCTGTACAGCACTGACAGCATTAGTATTCCACTGCAAGACGTCTTGCATAACAGCTCGAATAGAGAGCGTATTAATTCATTAAAACCATTAAGTAATATACAAAATAGGACTGAAGTCGTTCCAGATAACTGCTCTGGAAGACAGAGGAATTCCCATTTGGCTGTCCGACTTTTGTTGTTCTGACCGGGACTAATCTTTAGTCTCCATCTAACTAGAGAGGGAGGAGGAAAGCAGGAGAGAGCCAGAGAGACGTGGATGGAGAAGGGAGGTGATTAGAGGAGGTTAGCAAAAGGGAAACAAGGGTGGAAGCGGGAGAAGGGCAGAGGGAAGACGGAGGAAAGGAAGAAGGGATCAGAGGAGAGAAGGAGATGAGGCGTTAAAGTGGAAGGCGAGGAAAAGGAGGTTATAGGTAGAAGGAGAGGAAATGACAGAAAGGATTAGTGGGAAATCAGGTGAGTTAAATGCTCACACAAACACACAATCATTTCTACGGGCTTCCACAACCGACCGACGCGGGTGTGTGTTTTTTATAAAGCGCTGATGGCGACGACGCGCCACAGTCGGGACGGGAGGCCTGTCGTCAGGTCGACATCTGCAGCAATGTGACGAGCGTGTTTTCACCTGCCGTCAGCGATCAACGTGAGAGATGATCCGTCAGAGGAGCCGGGCTATATTTAGGAGGCCGGCTCCACGTCAAAGAAAAAAAAAACTATACAGCCACGTTTCACATTCAGGTTCAACGAGAGGAGGGAAGAACGTCGGATTGTTTTTCCATGGCACTGTTCTTGCACATTCTTTTCATATTTATGGTCTCAAAGATGTGCTGCAGTAATGGCAGAGTTAGAACTGGTGCAGGTCAGTTACCGGAATCTTCCAAAAGAAAAGGGATGTTAAATGTGAGATGAATCAAATATGTAATTTTTGGGGGCAGATATTTGTACGAGAGGGAAGCCCATTCTTGTTCGAACCGCATGTCAATTCCTTACGATAGTTTGCTTTAGAGGAACAGTTTGATATTTTGGGAAACTGCCGTTTGTCTGAGCGATAGATGAGATTATTGCCACCTTCATATCAACAAAAGGCCTCAACTAGCAGATGGTTAGCTTAGCATTACGACTGGGAGCAAGGAGGGGGAGAGTAAGGGGGGGAGGCCTCGTTCTATCCAAAGGAAACCCAATCCAACAGACCGCTGAAGCCCGCCAGTTAACACATTATATATAGTTTATTTGATCCGTGCAAAAAAAGAAAACGTGGGCAGGTTTTAGTGTTGAACAGTTGGCGGCGGAGACGCGGCCAAGTGACCGTGTCGAGTTCCTGCCACCTTACAGTTTTAATAGGTCCTGTAAAGTCTGCCAAAACAAACCATAAAATGTGATGTAAAGGATAGTATGTCAAACTCTATAGGAGACCATAGCCTGAACAATTATTATCATCAACCAGACACGTCTCGGGAGTAAGTATAGTAGCTGATGAGCTCATGTTTTTAAATTAGAAACGTCTTTTATCCCATGGAGTGACTCACTTAAACGGAAAACACAATAGAGACAACAGCCTCTGAGACCGTGTCATGTTTATTTCAGATTGCGAGGGGAATCATTTCCTGCTGAATACAGCTTAAACAAGTCACTGTTGCCATATAAACCCGTCCGCGGTCGTAAAACGTTGTGAGACCTTCGACTCTGGTGAGGACACATGAAAAAAAACACATTGAGGATAAGTGCCTCCGGAAGGAAGGAAGACGCTATAAATATTTTGCTCAAGACTGTGTGTGCTGAGATTGTTTTTGTTCTGGGATCCGAACACCTGGAACGGACCAATGACTGTGATACCCTTCACCATGTAAACCCTGATGAAGAACACATCGTCGATTGCTTGAGAACGTATAATTATCCTCATGAGGCATCTCGGTTAGGTTCACTAACAGGTGTGAAGTCGTCCGATCCAGGTAATTTTAGCGCCATCTGGTGAACTTCTGTGGAACAGCAGGAGGAAAGTTGACAGGAAACATAATTTGTATAAAACCCAGTGGATTTCTTTTTAACGTAAACCCCAATAAGCGGCGGGTTTTCAAAGTAAAATACTGATATGGTATAAAATGAGTGGTACTCCATTTTAGGTCTCACTCAGGTTGTTTAAAACATATTTTATATCCCTGCTACAACAAAATATTTAGATTTCTTTTTCTTCTGAGTGACCTCAAGGCTGCTGTCTCATTTACACAGCTAATTTCTGTCTCTATCGAAAGCGTGAATCTCATGAAATGAACCACTGTAGCATACAGTCCTTAGATTCACTCATTACCTCAGATGTGCATCAGCGGGGAAACGTAAGGGGCCGTTTTATAAATCCTCCGTAGCAGAATCCATTAGTAGGATCATAACACCCAAATTCAGATTTGTGTTTATTTCTTGTGGATGCGGTTTGTATTTTCATGTTATTTGTGTTTTTCAAAAGGTTCACCTACGGAACGACCCAAAAGCTCCACTACTTCATATGCATTGTGCAAACTCCCTAATAGTATTAAATAACCCTTAAACATACGTTTGTCTGCTGATAATTTGAATGCATCAAATAGTTCTGCCCTACAAAAGCGTTTATATCTATGTCATATGTTCAATTCGAAGGGACTCTTATGTGATAGAAAATCCTTAATAGCCTTTAATACTTTTTATTTGTAATATTTTTTTTGCCACCACAATGACCCAAATCAATTCAATGCACTTGCATAATCATCAGAGATCATCATCATAGAAAGAGCAAAAGCAGGTGAGGCAAACTGGGAAATGATGGTCAAAGACAACTGATTCAGAAGACGACACCTGCAACTAAAAAAAAGAAACCCTTTCCCTTTAAAGAGAACACTCAAGTCTCAAAAACACCAAAGGAAGTAGTATTTTGAATCGTAATAAGATATACGTTTGGTTATGTTACATGCCTTATTTTAATGAACTGACTCAGAAAAATAAAATATAGAACAAGCAACATAGATAGCATGGACAGACAGTTAAAATAAAAAGGGAAATAATAACAGCTCCACATCCTTTAAAAAAAAAAACTACATTGTCAACACATTTTAGTAGTCTGTTACCAACGATCCTTTCCAGCACACACAACATTCGTCTTTCTACCTTTTTAAATGTGTTGGAAATGGCCTTTTTTTTCTCCTTCTTTGAAGCATGTGGAGCAAACTGCTCCACGCTTCCCCCCAAGTCGTCCCACGCTCACTTAAACTGCAGACCGCCGGACGTTACATTAAAGCATGAGATCTTTAGATTAATAATTACACAATCCTCATCTAAATGGGCTCAAGCAACTACATCACACGCTGAATCAGCCTCTATCAACCTAAGAGCAAGATGAAAAGAACGACGAGATATTACATCTGCCGGAGGCCACGAATCCACGACTGGTGTGGTTTTACTTTTGTGTTCACGTTAAAAATTGTTGGGCTCATTTACAGCCCCGAGTTGTCTGTGGACGACATTGTTTCAATTCTGTCCCGAGAGCCTCCAATGTGTAATAACCGCTGAATTCAAATCAAACTTGATTGGCGCTGCAGTTACACGAAAAAAAAAGAAGAAAAAAAAAAGTCTTTTGAAGAGTACTTCGCATATTTGATAAAACAGAACAGTCTCTGCAGTGTGGTGAACATTTAGTGCTCGGCTGTGGATGCGTCCCGTGTGCGCTCCACCAACAAGAGTGAAAAGGCAGACCTCGCTCATGCGTCCCGTCTGCTTACTACGGGTTTTGGAGACGGCTGTACACCGAAGGGCTGAAAATAACAGGAGCGTGTCATCTCTCACAAAAAGACATTGAGACGAGTTGACGAGTAATGCACGTGTTAAAAGAAGAAGAGCTTTAATGCATGTGTATTCTGCAAACGTACCAGTATGTGCCTCCTTCTGGGCGACATGTTATCTTTAAGACTGTAGTTTGGGAGGGTGTCGTTCTCCGTCCATGCATTTAAATAGCAACACAGAAAGAAAAGGAGAAAAAAAGAAGAAAAAAAAACAGGCAAACACACACACACTTAACGCGTCTTAGACAGGAAAATAAGTCACCCAGAGGTCTGCAAATCATGTCATTTCTTTCAGTTTTGGACTTATCTTTTTTTTTTTTGTCTGTTAAATTTGAACGTCGACAGAATAGGAGTACATTTTGTGGATCACATTCAGAAGCCTCGTCCCCGTTCTTCTATATTGCGTATTGCCGGGTCCATGATCGGGCTGAGGGAGAGACAGAGAAACAAAATGGTGGCGTGAGCACAATATGGTGCAGGACACAGACTGCCCAGATGAGCAGATCGAGAGCAACAAACACGTACCAGAATTTCTAAAACACAAAACAAGTAGTCAGCGGATCACCATCTTGGATAATTCCAAAGGCCGAGTAGACATTTTTTAAAGTGTTTGTTTTAACCCCAACGGTGATCCTTTCCCGTCATCGAAAAACAAAGAAAGCTGAACTCATTTACATACTCCAATTCGTACGGTTTCTTTTGGTAATTAACTAGTCGCTAGTTACAGATCCCCTCTGAGGGTTTACGGGTTTTTGTTGTACTATAACATTTTATCTAAACAAAACAAGCAAGCTAAAATTTAACTACTTGCACAGCAAATCTGCTGTTGAACATGCAGAGTCTTGTGTTGTTACGTTTGTATAACAGACAAGCCATAGTTTGGGATAATTAAGTGGCAGAAAACCTGCGAAATTACAGGAACGTCTACACACTTTTAACATGCAGTTGTTATGATGGGGTGGTACATGTTCATGTTTCTGCATAACCAGATGTTTCAAACTAGTAAAAGTTCTTTTCACAACCCCCCCGTTACATAATCTGAGACTTGCTGCCTCTCCGTATGTCTCCTAAGTTTTGTTTGTGACACGTTGAACATCGTCTTTGGTACAGGTACAGATACTTTACTGCCCGTGTGCGGGAGCGGCCGGCCATAAAGCCCGCACGGACGTCACGGGACAAATAGCTAGAGGCACTAAATACTCAAGCCAGGTTCCTATTAACCAATGGCCAGTTGGAATGTCTCTGATGGACTGTGTTGTTCTGATGTGAGAGCAGTTTGGTCCAAACCAGTGGTCCCCAACCTTTTTTTTTTACCTCACGGACCGTTGTCAGACAATATTTCGACGGAGGGGGGCGGGGGGCGGTAGTAGTCGCGCGCTTTGTGTTTGCTGGTCGGCGAAACTGCCGTGCCGGTAAAAGGACAAGAAAAACGCCTTGTGACGCGTGGGGAATATGTCAGAGGGACGAGCACACATTAGGAGAAAATCCGGTCAATTTTCCAAATAAAACATTTTTCAGAGAAAAAAATATATATAAGCGTTCTGTGGTGCCCACAGACCGGTGGTTGGGGACCACTGGTCCAAACCACGAAAACCCTGATAAATCCAAAAGTCTCCGGCAGAGGCAACCCAATTTACTCCTCTGAATAAAACTCACCTCTCTCAATGGCGTTGCTTTCGTCTCTCTTCCACAGGTCTGCCACATCATTTGCGAGGGGATCATCTGGATTGGGAGCACTTAATAATGCCTGGATGGATAGCAACACTGTGCGGATCTGCAGCGCTGGAGACCACTTATCTGGGAGAAGTGAGGTTCAGAAAACAATAAGCAAAAAGATAAGGGAGAGAAACTGCTTCAAAAAGACGAGGGGGAAACTCCAGGGTATGTTTATGGTATTAGTGGATAAAGACGGGCGGGGTGCAGTAATAACATCGCCGTGTCACATGGCAACGTGGCGAAGGAGCAGGAATTGCTCTTTTTCTTATTGCTTCTTAATGAAAGTCACAACTCTGCCTCTAGTAGAACCAAGGAATCAAATATAGGATAGCTATTAATTGTTAATTATTAGAAACTATTGCTACTGGAAACCTTCAAATATAACAGGATGCTTTTGATCCATCACATATTTAAAAAGGAGGTAATTTTGGTTATTTTACATTGTCAGTAAAAACTGAACCTGTGAATCTACACACTGCTGGAGTGTAATAAAGACGGATTCCCTAATCTGTCCCTTCTTGTGTCAAAGATGCATGAACCTGTTGTCAGAAGTAAGGCGACGTCTATTGTTCCACTTGAATATTAACCATCAGATGGCAGCTAATGTGAAGAGGAAAAAAAATGAATATATATATATATATATATATATATTCATCTTATCCACATAACTGTCCAAATGTTCCACTAAACTGGTATTTTTAATGCTCACTGAATCACACGGATCATTGTGATGTTAAACTTTTGAACGGGCAGATTCCACCGCTCAATTCAACCCTGACTGGATGTTCGGGTTCACCAGCCATCTTTGACAGCAAGGTAGCGTCTCAACAGCTCTTAGCTTCCTCAGACTCATCACAAACCTGCAATATGCATGGTGCGGCACTATATATGTCCTTACCTTTCAAGATGTCTAAACATATTCTTCCAAGTTTGTCAACATTGGGGTGGTAGATTTTGGTGATGAATCGCACTTTGGGAGCTGCCATGGGATACTCTTCCGGAAGAAACAGTTCAAGTTTAAATATGCCTCCTTCGAAGGGGGAGTCTTGAGGGCCTGCGATGATCACATGGAAGTAGCGTGCGTTGGCTTCATCTGGCAGTGCGGTGATCCCTGGAACGGGCTCTGCCATCAACCGCTGTGTCTCCTGCGTGTGGTCGGGGTGAGAAACACACAACACGATTGTTGACATTTCCGTAGGTGCACACTTTCAAGTATGCAAATGGGCAAGGACAAACAAATTTGCCCTGCTTAGTCACACACACACAGTAACCCACATACAAAATCACATTCCATAACATACCGTTGAACACTAAAAGACAGCCAGAGCCATTAGGAAGGGCTGCACGCTGACTTGGTGTAATCACATTAACCCCCACTAATTCATTCAAACATTTTATTTGTACACAAAAATCATGTGCATTAAATAGCCTTTATTCTGCCTCTTTCATATCTTGAAATGCTAACTAAATCAGAATGTATTCACATTAAAGGAATACGCCTCTTAAATGTGACTAAAATGGCTCATTATCAAAAGGACTTGTGATAATTTGATAATTTTAAGATCCATTTGATCACAATAACTTTTTTTGTTTTGTCTGATGCAACTACGCTTATACAATGTTTATTATTGTTATTAGTATATTATGTTATTAGCGAAATCGGAAGAATGAGTTGTATTGCGCGTCATTAAAAACTAAAAAGATGGTGCGACACTAAGGGAGAGTCAAAAATAGAAATCAAAAGCAGGAAGTGGAACAGTTTCTGTCTGCGTTTGGTGAAGCAGGTGCACCAAACATTCCGCAGTAATCGTGCTGCAAAGATTGCATTCGTTAAGATCGTGGCAAATCATCACGGGCAGGGTCCATAATGGACGCGAGTGTCGTGTTTTGCTGCATCGACGTTGCGACCGGCAGTGAAGAAGAAAAAAAACACACCAAAACCCCCGAGAAAAATAGTAGCAGGAGGTGGCGGAACAGGCTGATCGCGGCCACGGAGGAGACGGGCCCGGCCCGGCCAAGTGGCGACGAGGCGGACGGATGAGACCGCGACGGGCCTCAAATTCCGTCACAATTATGGTTAACGTTGAATACACCGGGAATCAATACAAAACACGTTTGGCTAACTACGCGCATTTCGCTGTTTCGAGGCCGTTGGCATCGTCGCCAGGCATGTGAGCCGATCACCTAAGCTAACGTTAAAGCTGCTAGCGGAGCTAACACAGCGAATCCATTCAAATGGCGACTAAAGACAACTGGTTGTGATTTGCTGACCCGTACTGCAAAATAGTCCGATGGGGGTTGTTGTTCTGGATTTTCAGAACAACGACAATGTAGTCGAGTTTATATGAAACCGCCGTTAGAACGGACGTGTGCCAACGGAAGTGGCAAACAAAACAGTGGCAGACGCAGAGCAGCGAGCTAACTCGATGGCTAGCTAGATGAGAGCTAATTGTGCTAGTCGAGCTAACTTCGGTTGGCAGTAATTGTACATCCATATTCCCACCGAACGCACTCAACAATACCCGCAGACGGCCTAGTTAAGAGATATACATGTATACACATATATGTGGACAGAATCGGGTGTGGAGTGTACCTTTACAATCCTACGAGGCAAACCGGTCATCTTGTGTTAGCTATTATATTTTTAGCCGTGGACTCGCCTTCTCTTCAGTTGGGATCGACTGAGCGGGGCGGAGGCTCGCGGTTCTCTCTTCCGGTGGCTTCCGATGACGTAAGCAAATACGCTGGTGTATAAATGTTGTCTCTGTAAAGCAGATCGTCACGGTCGTTTTATAGAGAGATTTTAGTAGTTGCTGGCAACATTATGAACAACGGATTGATATTTTCTAAAAGAAAGCATTTTTAAAAAAAATATATTTTTTCTGAACATTTTCCTGGAACCCTTAAAGAGAATTGTATACACATGTCATTGTATATTCGTGTCTTACACGGTGCGAACTGCTTTCATTGCAAGTGTTTGTTTTGCTTGGGTCATCCTTTGAGTTTTGCATTTCCTTTTATATTTAATTATATTTTCTATGTATTCCGTTCCAGTCTTTGACATGATAAAAGGGACATCTTTGGTATATTGAAAAACTGCCTAAATAAAAATAAATAGCTCCGTAAAAAAAAAAATCAGGAACTAGCTTTTAATTAACATATGCAGGGATGGGTATAGCATAAGAAAGTCTGTTTGTACAGCACATGCAGTTTTGAAAGGAAATGTTAAATTATTAAAATTAGAAAAATATTTAATGTAGTCCATTTTGGAGGGTCAACACTTTCAGTCACAATGCTACACCTTTTTATCATTTTGTAGACCAAATGTGTTGAATGGAAAAAATCGAGGTATATTTTGTTTTGATTCATCATTTTTCTAAACCTGTTAGGTGGTTAGTTTTGGTGTGCCGGACCTTCCTACAGTGTGTTTTTTTTGTTGCATTAACAGATGACGGTATGAATTAACAGATATGAAAGCTCAACAAAGCCTTGTATACTCTAGGACAATCAAGTTCAGATAGAAAAATCCTAAGAATGCACAACTGACAATTATGTTTTGGTACAGGTTTAGCGTTAGCAAAATTGGCACACAAAGAAAAAGAAAATTCCCTGGTGCCAGCCGTTTTGGTATATATATTTGCACCTACGATCAGCACCTACAATCCAGGCAAAGTGTGTAAATATATAGTACATATATAGCAGCACTGGGAGTAAAAAGTCATGACAATCTACATAATATTCAAGAGTTTATTTATTATACATCATGACAAAAACACAAACGTTTGCTGCTCTGTAAGTTTGGCCTTCAACTATCTGTCCTCTGGGGGATTCTTCTTTCTGCGTCTCTGGTGGTACCTGTAAACAGTGACAAAGAAGAAAATTCCTTTGGGTCAATGTCAATCTGATATACTTTTACTTTCAGCTTTTACACTCTAGTTACATGCTGCAGTTCGAATATAAAAAGTCTACAAAAATTAAATGAAGGGTAATTATCCAAATTGACAAATGATTTAGTCTTAATAGGCCAGCATTACCCCCATACTAAACCAGACAAAACAAGATAATATTATGTGTGTACTTACTGTCCTACCGGATACCACCGGTGTTTGGTAGTGAAAAACATCTTGCTGAGCTCCTCTATTGTGGGCCCTTTCTTGTCCCTCAAAACCTCCTTGCTCAGGTGGGCCTTTAAAATCTGGTCGTGGGTCTCAACCGAGTTGGTCAGAGGGTCCGGACGTTCTATAGGCTGCAAAGATTCATCATCATGAACACGCTTCCCTTTTATATAATTATAAAAGGTTATGCTCATTTCCAACACCCCTGTAATAATTCCTATACATTGTTTTGTACCAATTACTGATACTGTTTTACCATAATGCAGCACGCAGTCATCTTTACAACACTTTATTAACTTGTTTGCAGTTCTAAATTGCTTGAAACCACTAAAGTGACAACACATGTGTGAACTGTGTTATATTACCTGGGTAAGCTCATAGGGAACGTCAACAGTGGGATGGTGGCACACTATGGTTCTCCCATCTGAAGTCACACCAATTTCCACATTACTAAATCCAAGAGAAATGGAGGTTATTATCCTCATCAAAATAATGGGAATAATTTTACAATGACATGTCCTTTTTTTACATTTAATTGGTTTAGTCACTGTAATCATTTGCAGACGTCTTAACATACCAGTCAGGGGAATCAAGCAAAGGACCACCGACACTGGACTTCTGTCGCATTGGAACCAAACATGCTGCAAAATAAATAAAAGAGACACACACCGTCACACTTAGCAGAACCTCTCAGCTTCTAAACGAAAAAACGGAGGTAGAACCAATAAACTATTACACATTATTTAGACAAATCCAAGAGTTTATTAGTAACCATATTCTCAAGGTTAGCTTCCGTTAGCTTTGATACCCATCAGTACGCTAACAACACGGTGTACGGTTTCGTTTAAAAAGCGGAGAGAATGACGACCATGAGCAGATGCGTTGATAATGGGCTAACGGAACTTACTGTGTACATGTCGTAGTTGGTTGCCGTTAGAAAGTCGCGTTAGGAGACCGTGGAGCTTGCACAAATAACCCGACGCCATGTTCAGCACGGATGGCCTGTATGGCGTTGTGCACCACTATAATAGTTCCGTCTTGTTGTGCAGGCTCACTCTGTTTAGTTCCACTAAGCTGGGTTACCAGTCATACAAATACAAATCTAGCCTTTCATCCATTCCTACCGCAGTACGTACATTTATGTGCACTATACGCTTGGAAAAAGATGATTTCTTGTGTATTCTTTTTTTTAAACTATTTAATTGAAACACATTTTAGACTTTTGACCGCTCTTATTCTGTAGGGCTGGATAAGGTTTTAATGACATTACATCGATACCAAAGGTCATGTGCCCTTCACAATGGTTTGAAAGTGCATCACAGTCTAGTTAGTGAGTTAGTTAGTTTTTTAACACTGGCTGAATGTGCGAGCGCAGGCTTCTTCCTTTTACCAGGAAACCAAGTTACACACCTTTAATGACGGTAATTAAATGTGAAATAAGGACCATCTGCCTTTTCTTTGTACATTTACATCTGTAAATGTACAAAGAAAAGGCAAACTGAAAATAATGGTCAAACAATTCAAACATTTGATTAATTTCTCTCAAATAAAAAGCCAGAATATATTTTTAATACTCACTAGTATGTATACAAGACAAATACTCTTATTTTGTTAACACAACTTTGAGTGTACAAGCTGCTGCTGTTGTTGTTGTGGTGGTTGGGACCAGTCCAGGGAGACAAGCTCAACAGGTTTTTCCGGTATGTTCAGTCCAGTATGAATTCAGGGAAACCTTTCAAATCCTTTAGGAGTGCAGCTTCATTTGTTTGAATCCTTTTAACGTGAACTACCGCAGGATGCCGAACACGGCAACAAGTTTATTCATGTTTACAAATTGTTGGCTCGTCACTCAGAAACTTCCATCTCTGCTGCAGCTGCACTGGTGGATGCCCGTGATCCGGTGTTCGGCACCAAGCGTTCTCGGCTGCCAAAAACCTCAGCAACTAAAGGCAAACCAAATAATAGATTACAAGTTTTGGGCTGTTTAAAGACAGTTATTTAACTTATAATATGCTTTCAATGAACAGCATTTATTATGCAAAGTGTGTGACACAAACAAAAAAGGAATAAAAGAAACTATACCTGCTGCAACATCACTTATATCCCAAACCCGCAAGCCTTCTCTTTGTCCCCCAAAGGCATAGACGAAGGGCATATCAGGGCAACATGACGCACAGAACAGTACACCCTGTAAAAAGTGGAGAATTAAGTTATAGAACTCCTTTAACAACCACAAACTAAGTAACTTTGACCTTGAAATGGGTCGTGGTGGAGGAATCTGAGACGTACATGCTGTGTAAGTAAGTTCTTACCATTTTCATGTCTCGTGAGTGCACAAGGTTGGGCTTATTGCCCAAAATGTCCCAAATCTTAACGTGTTTGTCAGCTGATGAGGTGACCAGGCATCCTTTGATCTGGCTGCTGAGGTTCAATCCTGCAGAAGATTTTTATATTGTACAGTCAATGTGCCTTCAAAATAGGAAATGTATATAGAAAGAACATTTATTTCTGTCGATCCACACTCACAATACACCCAAATGCAGATTAGATGGTGGAGGACATGTAAGAGGAAGGACCCCCGCTGGTTTGATTTTGTGATCCTCCCTGTGCTCATCAAATTGTTTTCCAAAACACATCAGCCACAAGTTTCCCCACTTATGTAGCAACAAGGCCAACCCATAGTTGCATCCTTCCTAAGTGACTCCCGACCAAGTATCTCAACACGCACTGCAGAACAACAAGTGGCGAATCATCCGTGACCCGCTTAAATGACGGCTGTGGTGCACCGATGCAACAGTTCTACCTCCTCTTCTCACCTGACACTTCTTCATCGTGAGCCTTCAGTGTGAAAATCGGTTTATCCGAGCGTGCGTCCAGGCAGTAGATGAAGCCGTCCTCTGTGCTGGCCTGAAACACAACCACAGACTCGGGTTAACCGCTGAGCTTGTGAAATAAATAGAACCAGAGGGATAAACCAGGTCTATTGCACAATGAATGGTGTATACACACAAGGTGTGTTTGTAGGCATAGTTTGCAACCGCTGAAAGTTAGAAAAGGAACTTGGATAAATGATTTCCTTTAAAATGCAGCAGAGGAATTTGAGCACCTACCAGGAAGTTGTATGGTGAAAAGTGGTCCCAGGTCAGCCGCTCCACTTGACCACTAAACCTCCAGGTCCGATTGCTGTTGTCTGGACTGCGGCAGTCATACAGTACAGCGGTCCTGAAAAGAGAAACACTTGCGTCTCAAACTCACCGTTAACCAAATCTGTTTATCACCTCATTCTATCGTCTCATGACAATCAGGGATTACACGTACTTGTCAAATGATCCTGATATCAGAGTCTGTGCTTCAAATGGGTGGAATGATACTGTCTGAACCTGAAAGATTAAAAAAATGGGTTTTCCATGAAGCTAGTGCTTGCAAATTGTGAAGCAACAACAACAAAAAACCTAGTTTCATTCACCATAATTGTGTTTCTAATTACTTGCCTTGTCAGTGTGGCTGTGCAGAGTTGTGGCTGGTTTGCCTTGAGTAAGATCCCACAAGATAACCGTGTCATCTGCTGATCCACTTGCCAACACATTTCTATGGAGGAGAAGGACGATTTGCTTTAGGCTAAACAACGATGCTGAGATGCATGACTGCACACATACACAACCAAGGACCACAAACAGTTAGGAAATACGTCTGCACATTTATTATCTCCCTCCCCCCTCCTTTTTGCTTAAAAAAAACCTAATAGCTGTAGAATACAAACCTGATCAGTTTGTTCCAGGATAAATCCAGCACTGCATCTGTGTGTCCCTCGACGGGCTCTGCTGCTGCAGCCCCCTGGCGTCAACAAGAAACGACACCATTGTGTTATTGAGATAGAACAAAGCAGGAAATGATGCAGGTGAGCAAGACGAACAAGTCTACTATCAATGGTGTCAAATATTAAAAAAAATAATCCTCACAGGAATTTTAAAAAGGCACAACATGTCAATTGTTTCATTATCAAGACATAAAACCCCATCTCTCCACGACAGATTATCCAAAGGACAAAGTTATTAAAGATATACAATTTCACCTTAAAGTAAATAAACGTAACCCCACTCTCATCATACCGATGTTGTTTAAGGCAGAGTAAGAACAGGCTTGTACCTTCTTAGCCTTTTTTTTCTTCTTGGTTGCCTTTTTACTCCCTAAAGAAAAGACTGGCTCCAAACAGTCCACCACATCCAGGTCCCACACATCTATCTTATGTGTCATGTTTCCCACGGCAGCATAGTTTCCTGTAATGAGGAAAGAGAACATGGTGAAATGCCGTACAATGGCACATTTACAGATTAGTTTCTTTTTAGTTTTTGGCTAGCTGAAGATTCAATAGGACGCTGAGAACTATTTATGTCTAAATGTCTTTCGGTTGTTAATGTCAATACAAAGTACATACAAACCGAGGCTCGGTAGGAAGAGGAACAGGATTTTAGTCAAGCTTTTTCAAAGCAAAGCTGAATTTTCTTACCGGGTTGTTCTCCAGGACTGGGGTCAAAGTTTAGCCACTCCACACACAGTGGGTAAGCTGGCAGAAGAATATCATGATGAACATACAGAGAGTCCTCCTCGGCGTTATAAACTGGAAAGCAAGAGATCAAGTGTTTAATATGGATTCCAGGGTTCTATAGAATTAATAGTTTGTTTTCTACATGTAGTTTATATTCGATAACAGAATCCAAACAAAGGAAGATGTTTTCATGTTTTTCAGGAAACTCTCTGTCATCACGTCATGTCATGAAAGGTTTACCATGGATCTCCAAGTTGCAGCAGTCCTTATCTGCCCTGCCTGTGAGAATGAGATTATCACTGGGCTTGATTTGGAAGTCGTCTCGCTCATATTGGTCCTTGGGGGAAGAACAAAGTCAGCTGAGCAATTTAGCTTTGACAAGATATAATGGGCATCAACATTTTACATCAAGCACTGGATTTTTGTGTTTTGTCAAATTTGTCCAAATAAATAGTGTGCACTCCCCTTCAATAACAGAGCTGACACATCCAAATTACATTTTTTTTTTGTAATTTCATGGTGTTTTTTCATGGCTCATTCTTGCAATAAAATAGAAAAAATTACTTCAACTGAACTGCATTCATACATGTTCGTGGTGGATATTAAGCTTTAACTGCAACTTGAATTGGGACTTTACTGAAATCTGATTTCAGGTAATCATGGAGTGCGCTTACTGTGTCTTTGAGGGTGATGTAAGGATCCTCCTGGTTAGAGCTGAACACTGTAAGCCCAGCCAGACTGTCGCCGAGACTGGTGGTCACTAAATTGAGCACAAACAAACCGCAGATATACAGTCAGACTCAGAGCTCCATTGATAAAAACACAAGCGAAGTGAACACAGTGAGCAGAAATGTGTGTCTACACACACACACACACACACAATCTTCATGAGCATCTCCCCACTCACCTGCATCCTCTTCATCATATCTATCCAGGCCATACTCGGCCAGCTCGTCGTCATCTTCCTCCTTTCCATCTTCATCGTCATCCTTTGGAAGTCCAGGGTCATCCGCTGTATTGGTATCAAGATTGTCCTCACAAGCTATACCTTCATCATCATCATCATCTTCCTCCTCCTGGGCTGCTAGTTCCCTGGTTTAAAAAAGGAAAGAATATTTTTAAAAACCACCAAACAAAAACAACACCCGCTTCAGCTGTCAAGGGTTAAACTGTAATATTCTATTCCTATTGAGTTGGACAATAGATCAGTGCAGTAATTAGTTGTATTCCAACATACCCCAGCTCTTCTTTAGCTTCATTAATGATGCGGTGTAGCTCCTCTTGGCTCAATTCAACCTGGAGTGGAATAAGAAACTTGGCTTAAACATAATAAGACATTGATAGATATAAGGAAGAGGGGAGTTGGTTTTAGCATTTTTGGGTTAAATACTTGTACTATGTATACTGTAGATGTACAAAGAAATACAAAATAAAACAATTGTTAGATCATTTAATTATTTTTTTAAATGTTGAAATACGTTAGTGTATCAACATTTTTGGTGATTCATTTTTTCTTACAGTCTTGAGGGACATATCATCTTTAAAGACATGTAGAATAATAAACTACAAGTTTAGGTAGCAGATCGTGTACGGCCTGCCATGTTGACAAGTTAGCTGCCTGTAGGCTAACATGAGCTAGCTGAAGCATGTTTACAACCTACTTTTTCTGGCGTTTCTTTAGCGAAGCCTCTCCCCACCCATCCGACACAAGTGATCTGGGCACTCATTTCACAGGAACAGGGTAGTTTTTTATCGATTCAACAAATATATACACGTAACTTTAGTCAAAACCTTTTCACCTCGGCACGCAAACAGAAAGCGTACATGTGAGTTGACACAGGGGCCTGTGTCGCCTTTAGATGACGTACTTAGAGCGTTGGAGAAAATGCCTGATCTAAAATGTAGATAAAGTCACCCACTGAGCCGCTTGGTATTAAAGATATGCAGTGATTCTTTATTGATAGCTATATATTTTTTAAATGTTTCAATATCTGTGGAAAGTAACTGTAAATACAAGAAGCAGCAGCCTAATATATATGGCAAATAAATATGTAGTTTCGAAATTCTTAGTTTCGTAATTGCTGTGGGTTATTTCATTTCTAGTATTGGCACGAACCACGTCAAGGCCAATTTTGAATACTTGCACAATGCAGCTGGCAGGCAATGGAGATTTTAACACCATGACATCATATGGTTTCATGCTGGAGAGGTATTCGATCTGTTTTTATCTTGCTGCAGTGATAAGTTAAGTTATAAGTTATAAGTTAAGAAGGCCGTACATACTCTGTGACATCACTTATCGGTTTTTATTTCAGGTGCATCAGAGCACACTTCTGAATAAGTCCAAGATGAAAGGTTGAGAGGTTTAATTAAATGAAACCCATAACGGTGAAACGTTTTTTTAATCCTTGGACAGCTTTAAAACACATTTTATGGCACCGACAAAATAAATCAAAAATACAAGATAGACACCCCCAGATAATGCTGGTATATGACACTGTTTGGTACTATATTGATGTATGGTACATTGATTTTAATCACAAGGTGAGGCAACAATACAGCACAGTTGTTGATCATAGAGTTCAGCAATAACACAGGAAATACCAAAATAATGTCTGTCACAAGACAAAACTTGTACCTTAAAATGTTGTGCGTCACATTGCATGGCACAGGAGTAGAACTCTTTAAGTACAAAGTGCATAAACAGTACAGGAAATCAGAGTACGTGAATAGAGAAGGAAACTGTACTTCACAAGACTGCCATTAATTCCTTTTACTGAAAAATATTTGCCAAACTGAATAGCCATTCGGTGTAATGCTGGAATAGCGTTCAGCTTTAAATTTATTTAAAAAATACATATTCATCATCAACAATGTATTTGAGAGTAGTGGCTTTTTGTATATAATAACACTGATATTTGATGACAGTATACAACCAAACCGGTTATGCAGACTGATGCATAGCAGTGCCGATATATCCAAGTTAAAATGAAATATAGTAATTAAACTAGAAGCCAATGTTGATAAAAATATACATAAAATGTTTTAGACAAAAAAAACAAGGTCTACACAATAGCTTTTTAGCTTTTTATAAAGCGCTTTTGACCATTGTTCAATGTCTTCCTTTAGACCAACACGGTCCTATAAGTGCTAGGGACACAATTTCCATCTGCGATTGAAGACCTTGGGATACTAAGTCCTGGAAGAGCGAAGCTAAGATTGTTTATATTTATTTGCTCATCCACCAAATAGTTGGTGTTACTAAAGTTACAAAGTGTGTGGCACTGATTTAAGAAAGTGTTTGCTGCAACATCAAAAACAAGTTGCGCAATAATCAATGCATGAATCAAAGGCACTCTTAGCGGTGATTGAGGTTAGATGCACTGTTCCTTTTACCACGGGAGTCCAGCGTGTGAGGACATTCGACGAGTAAGTGAATAAGTGGTTACTTTGTTACTGGTTCACAAGGTGTTAACACACGTGGCTAAGTCCCTCAAAAAACTTTGTAGTCATGTGTGTAACTGTATGGTCTGATGTCTTCGTCCATACGGGCTACTTTCAGAAATCAAGTTCCATCTCCTGCCCGGTCAGGGTCACCTTCCCGAAGGTGAGCGTCCCGTCATCGACTATTTTCCGACGCTTGGTCACCAGCTTGAGGTTGGTCTCGTGGAGGACAACCTGGGTCAGGTACTTCTCTCGTTTGATCTGTTCTCTGACAGCGTATGGGACGTCCGGGATCACGTAGGACAGGATGAACTTGGTGAGGTAAACAATGTGCTGCGAGAAGTGGAAGAAGACACCACCATTAGTGCGTCTTGATGATAAAAGATTTTTTTTTAGTGTCAGAAAGATTTCATTTTTCTGTTCCACTTACCTCTACAACGATAATAAAAGCCATCTTGGCAGCGATCACGTGCCAGTAGTAGATTGTGTACTCGTACTGCCTCGGGTGCCCGGGACCGTATCGGAAATCTCGATACCTACAAGGCGGAAACTTGACACTCAAACATGACTGTTTTAAGTTCATCGAGAGGTTTCCGTTACACAATTAACTCTGATCATTTTTGCAAGTTATATAAATACATTTGAGAGAGAAAGTTTGGAAGCATTTGGAACATATTATCGACTAATGTTCCATTCATACACCAACAAAGAACATTTGAATTTGTCCCATACAGACGGCCCGTCTTGGTACCTGCAGGTGGTGATGTTGTAAGGCGTCATCAAGGGCTTGCTATAATTGGAGAAGTCGTCTATGTTGAATACAGACAGCGAGCTGTTGATGTACCCCTGCATGGTGTGGTTGGAGTGATCTCCATACGGGTACACAGAGAAAGACCAGTAGTAGACCAAACGTGGAATCATATCGGATGTGAAAGCGATGATCATCGCCTGTTGAGACACCGGGTAAATATAATGAAATCAGGAAATGGATTGGCAACGCCATTTTCGCAATTCTCGCCGATGTGACTTATAAACAAACTCAGCTCAAACAGCATCTCACATTTGTCGCAACGGCCAATATAGCGATGCCTTGAAGAATGGGCTGCCAGGCGCCGATGTCCTGCGCCTTCTCCGGCACGATGCGGCGGAACTGGGTGGTGATTTTCCAGGCGTCCACTCGGATCTCGAACACGTTGTTGACCAGAGCCAGGATCGGCGCCAGAGGGAAGGAGGCAACGAACAGGGTCACGAAGCCAAACTGGATGACTGAAGGAGACACGCATACATCTCGGTGTAGTCGAACCCAGCGTTGTAACTAAGTCTGGATTGAAGAACAGCTCGTGCAACTGGCTCCAGGGACTTACCCATCTCCAGATACTCATAGAACAGTCCTAGTTTTGGGAGGGGCTGCAGTCGGTAGTCCTGCTCCCAGCGAGGAATCGCCGCCTCTGAAGCCCCACGCGTGCAGTGGCGTAAAATCAAATTCTTCACCCACCTATGGAGGTGCGGAGGAGAATACACAGTAACAGGGAAGTTGGAGGATGATTAGCTAATAGCCCCGTTTCAAGCAATAAGTTCACTTCTGTTCACTCCAGATTTGCTGAACCTAAAACATTTGTTTTTGGACTCTTACGGTAGCAAGACTTCTTGGATGTTGTTCCAGATGGCTTTCCCGCCCATGATGATGGACAGCTGAGTCGTCAGCTCAATCAGACAACCACCGGGATCGCACTGCAGGACAGCGAGACACCAGGTGTGAGCGAGCAAGTCAGACACGTAACAAACTGCCCATTGGGACCAAACTGTACCTCCTCGTTCCGGTATTTTCCCAAGAGGTAAACCGGATCCCCGGGATGGCCAACCGCCTTCCCTTTGAAGAAAGCGATGTAGAAACACGAGGAGTAATAGTTGACGAACTGAAAGAGGAACATCTTCATGGTCAAGCTGTTCTCGTAGTCGGTCTTGGTCCGGGGCAGCTCTGTTGTTGTGTCAGAACAACAACAAAGGGATATTAGTATTCTCAACCACATGCAAACAAGTGAATGATGGGGAAAAGTACAATTGAAACTCACCAAAATCTGTGATCCAGATGGCGACGCGCTCATAGAGAATGTTGAGGATCATAATTACGACAAAGCTGATGAGGGAGGCTGTGACAGAAGTGGCCATCTGAGGCGTCACATACTCCTTTAAGGGCTCCAGTTCCTTCAGGTCCTGCGCTCTGAGTTTAGCCGAGAAGGCGAAAAAGGCCGCCAGGCGGTAAACGATGATGGCCACAATGGACGCCAGGATCAACAGAATCTAAAGGACAAAAAAAAGTTGAGGAAACAAAACGAGAAGTGCTTTTTTTGATGCGTCCGTGGTTTTTGAATTCTGTCCTAATCATTGTAATTTATCAAGTTTTTAACTAGTAATTTAACAAGTTTACTGGGAATAACTATTAATTTGGTCATTATTGTAACTAGTGAATCATTAAACTTCCAATTAATACAATTAAAAACAACCTAAGAATTCAACGCTCTCTAAGTAGATGGAATTTAAATTTCCAATGAAAAAGTAATTCATGATTCATGTACATTACCCAGAATAAGACGGTGCCAATTCCTATTGACACCCGAACACATCGTTCACAGGCTGTGTGGGGCACGAGTTCTTTGACCTAAATCACAAAGAAACACCGTAAAATCCTGGGCTTAAAAAACAACAAAGCCAGACGTAAAACCCATTATGTTCACATAGTTTACACTTTTAATATCTCTCTACTTTTTTAAATTATTATTTTTGTTCCAGCGGGATTTTTCGCCGGGCTTGTGTAGTTCTACGTCATTAGAATATAATCCAATGAGTTTTACCCCTGTGACGGGGTTCTTCCTCTCATGGATGCACTTTGCTTCATATTCTGGGCGCGGTGGCTCTTCCTGCTCCAAAAACTCCACGGTGTCCCACGTGTACTCCAGCTCCGCCTGGTAACGCTTCCAAAACTCCAGGAACAAAGTGACTAGTCAGGAAATGAACATGAGCAGGGAAAAAAAGATGAAGCGCATAATGAGAAAGAAGGAAACATCGGAATACACTCTGTACTGTCAGTCACTTCCTGTGTCTGTTTAGCCTTTAATAATGCTGAGAGATGAGGACATGATATGGTTAAAATATTCTGTTATTAAAGCCAATGGGAAACTTGAACAACTTACCCCAGATTGACATAAAAACTGCAAACACCAATGTTCCAAAGTTATCAAATATGCAAAGTTTCTAAAAGAAAAAGAGGAAAAAAGAAACACAGACCGTTGTGCTTATATGCAAATCAGTTCCAGACATAACCGTTTTTGTACGGAAATAGCAGCATCCATCACACGTGCAAAGTAGGTTCTTTCTTTTTCTTTGCATATTCTGCAACATGAGCAGGGGGACTAAAACTTTGAACAAACATAGAACGCCTAACTCACTTTCGAAGCTTCGCAGGTGCTGTTCAACTTCCAGTAGTTGCATTCTCTGTCACACTGCGGACACATCACAATATTCCCTCCAATGTCAGGACTGCACACCTCCTTGCTGCGGTTATTAAAACATAGGACAGAGACGATCAGACATGGAAATATCCCAAACATTATACGTCATCTAATTATAAGTTAATTCATTGTAATTAATCGAAAATCCACAAAGCAGATGTACCTCCAGGTGCTGGTTTCTTGAGTCTTGTATCCATAAATGAAACAGCTGAGTCCCACAACAGCAGCCAGAGCCAGCATCCTTGTGTAGAAACCCAACCAGGCAAAGTAAATGCCAATCTTCTCTCCATAATACTTCCTGCGAAAACAAGAAAACAGTTTGAATCTTCGGCGGATCTGCAAGAAATATCCTTCAAGGACAAAGACGTCAGAGAGATTTTAATAGGTTTGCGGTTCCAAAACTTTTTCTGGACAATACACGGCACCAAAAGCATTTCAGCTTCAGCTGTCACGAGGGCGTCCTACATGCATTTGTGATGAGAGCGTGAGGATTGTGTTCACCGAATGAGGTTAAGTGGTTGCATCTTGTAGAAGCTTTTTGGATGAGCCCATTCCTCATAGAGCAGGAATCTCTCGTTGGGGCAGCTCTCCTCTTTGGACGTGACGTTGAACCTGCACTGAAATAATAAGAACAATACAAAAAAACAAAGAGGAATTTTCAGTAAATTCATTAACTTACATCAGGAATCAGGAATCAGGAATCAGGAAACATTTATTAGCCAAAATATGTCAAACATACAAGGAATTTGTCTTGGCGGTTAGTGCGTCATCATGCTACACACGGCTGCTACAAAACTAGAAAAGGCCTGAATCACACGTGTATGACTGTAACATGTAACTTACGTCATGGAGGGGATAGGCGGCTTTGTACACTCCTCCATCCAGCAGTTTGGTGATGCCAAACTTCTTAATCTTCCCTCGTATTTCATAGGGAGCACGACTCAGGATGTAAAATGCCTAAAAGAAGAAGACATTTTTAGTCATTCATCTGTTTACGGACAAACATATAACAATCTTATGATGGTTTCAGCATGAATTTGACTCATCTTCTGAGCACAGGACATTAACACCCAACCAAATAAATATACAATAATAAAGAAGCTGCGAGTGGCCCGACGCGACCCCCACGAGACAACTTGCCATTCTGCTCCTCATGGACGCAGTGAAGAAGACGTCTTTGTCCCTCACGTAGAAGAGATCCAGGCGGTCCTTCTCGAAGGGGGCGGTAAAGAACTCTGCCTCCTTGGTGATCAGGTCTTCGTTGGGGTAGAAGCGCTTGGTGATGCAGGAGAAGAAGCGCAACGGGGAGGGGCGCAGGGACTGGTCGTTGAGCTGGATGGGAAGCTTGATGTGCAGGACTTCGGCGTAGGTGCACTGCACGTCCCACGGCATGTGGACTTTCACGAATAGCAGTTTGTCGTCTATTACCTGCGGAAGGACAAATGAGGTCTGCGTTTAATATTAGGCCCAGTCAGAGAAACCTTCTGAAAAGGGTGATGTACCTACAGATTTAGTCGCTTCCAGCTCCATTCCCATCTCCATCAGGCTGGCCTCAAAGTACTCTCGCCGCCGCTACGGGGAACGACACAAGAAAAGTTTTGAAGCTCCCTGATTTAAAGCTCCCACCCGCTCTCCGGCCATTATGATTCTGTTTATTTACCGGGTGAGACCATATGCATGTGTGTGCCAAACTGGCAGTGTAAATACTGAGTATTTGTCGAAGGACTTCAAAAAGAGATTATCCTTATACACAAAAGTATTATTTATTACTATTATCCCTCTGGTAAATGTTCATGTGACGCTAATTTATTTTGTATCACATTTCCATAACGTTCCACTGCACACTGCGGCAAAAAGATGACAATAATGGGAGCAAGTCCAAGCGCGTTCTTGAGTGGTGGCATGTCAAACATTACAGAGAACAAAATCCCGGACACACAGAACCGCCACACAACTTTTACTTGGACCAAATGCACGCAAAAAAAAAATTCAGGATGAAAAAGTACAAGACAAGTCATGTAGAAAGGGGCAACTAATTTTTCATTTGGTGAGTTGGAATGAAATTTAATGTAACGCCGTTGCACGTATTTTCACGCGGTGCCAACCCTGTTGAACGTTTCATGACGTGGAGAAAATACATCCACTACATCTAGACAAACGAGGGGAGTCATTTTTGAAAAAATGTATTATGATAACAATTTAGACAACACTCTCTGAACCGGGACACACCCTTAAAAGATAAAGAGCGTGCCGAAAAAAAGATTCAGCAACTTGTGTTTGACCCTGGTTCAGTTCTGGGATTAAAAACAAAGCACAGGGAGTGCCTGGTAGAGACTGTTGCTCTTCCCATCACTTTTTGGCTTTAGCTTGCTTTGGGTCGATTTCGAATGACGGATTGCCTCATCTGTGAATCTGTGGCGAACGAGCTCATGAGCTGTGACTTTACCAGTCGGCCTCTTTTCTAAAAAGGAACTGGGCAAAACTTGCTTACACGTATCGCGTCCATTCACTCCAGAAAAATAACGTGAATGATTTTCGCCGTCTCCGTTTCGAAGAATACAGTTGCAACACTTCAGACCTCAAAGGTCTGTGGATCTACACGCATTATATGACACAACCTTCACACTAAGTCTATCATGAAAGACGCTGGTAGCAACAAAACAACACACCGGAGTATTTAAACACGTCCCAGTGTCCTTCATTGATGATGTGTTAAAAGCAGGTAGCAGGTTGAAACACTTGTCCAAGGTTAAATTCAGTAAAAGAAGACGTACAACCAAAATAATCGGATTTTGTTTTGTTTTTTATTACGGTTCTTTGGAGGTTGAAGTGGAGCAGTGATGCTCTTCATTTCCACCACTTGCCCGTGAGAATCTAGTGACCGAACCACCGAGTCGCTATGCGCGTTGAATGGTTGAGAGATAAAGTGGAAGGGAAGCTCGAGAACAATGTGAGCCGAGCTGTTCTTATTTCCAAGATTATTAAAGTGTTATTTAATGTACTGTGCTTATTATTCACTAACACTTAATTCAAAGTGACAAACTGGCATCCTGAAAACTCCCTTTGCAAACAGGCACGAAGCAATAGATTTTATATGTGTAATTAAACACACAACATTACATCACCCGAGGAGGACGCTAGATGTTTTTATGAGAAAACTACCACTTAAATAGTATGTTATCCACTAAGAAAAATTATGTGCTACTAAATCTTAGACTAAAAACACTTGAGGAATCTTAAAAATGAAAGGCTGACCTTGTGCCGCTGAAACGTGTGCCTCTTCTCAAACTCCTTCTTATCCTCATCTTCGTAGACGAGGATAAAGTCGATCCTCCGCACGCCGTCGTTGAAGAACAGGGAGTCGGGTTTGTCGTTAAACTCGACCTGAGGGCAACAAAAACGCAGGCCGGGTAAGTCCACCTGCCGGAACTCGTACTCCTCTTCCTCCATGGTCCCGTACATGGTGCACACGGAGAAGAGAGAGGAGATCCGTGTGCGTGAGATGTTGTCGGGTACTGACATTGACCACACTTTTTAACGTGTGATGTGTAAAGCAAACATTAGGAGATCCGCCCTCTCTCTCTCTCTCTCTCTCTCTCTCTCTCTGACCAAACAGACTTGAATACTAAGCTCTTACAAGCACATTATATCACATGCGTGGTTTCGTATATTAACACGTTTGATCTCTGCCATCTGTGTCGTATTCATCAGAATATTCATATGAATCATCACACATTCAGGTACGGGTCTGCTGCTACTGAAACTGACACCAACATCACTGTGTAGACTCACCAGCAGCGCTTTGGTGATTGTTGCTCCTTCTTTAATACTGTGATACGTTGGTAAAAACTCCTCGGGGTAAACTTTGAAAATATGAACAAAAGCATGAATGTGAACAAAGACGTAAAAATAAACACATTTAGTTGAGCTCAAAACGCTACTTTGGCAGGCTGATATCACCGTGTTATGGGCATTTAAAAAGGATATGAAACAAGCTGTAGAAATTTCAATGGCCGCAATTTTATGCATATTTATGTATAATTGGGGTGTCAAAATATACCGTTACAACTTTGAAGAATCTCTTTTTAATCCTCAACTCTGCAGTGGTAAAATCCAATCACAACACTAATCAGGGTAAATGGCATTTGGCTTCTAAATCATCTACACAGTGTGCACAATATATAAAGAAATATTGATATCATGTAAACAATACAGACATTAATGTTAATTATCCCACGCATCTTCAATCAGACTTTTTGTACAGTCAGGGTGTCAGACACCTCGCTACACACACATTCAGTGTAATTCATTTGCCAATAAAGTTAGCAAACGCATAATTAACAAAGATGGGTTCATATACCATTATGTTGTTGTTGTTTTTACCAAAGGCTTGCCTGAACTGAGGTCGGTTCAAAAAATACTAAAATATATTTTAGAGATCGTTGATGTTGCCCGTGACCATGAAAATCATTTAAATGTTTGAAGTGGAAGAAAAAGAAAGATGACCGCTAAAACCTTTTTTGGAGGAGGAGGGGGGGGGGGGGGGGGGGTCGCATGCTATCCACCACAGGAAGTACGACACAGTTACGTTGTATGTTCCCATAACGTAGAAACAACAGCAGCTGACTTTCTGTTATCTGTGCGTACTGGCTGAGCTCAGCCTTGGTCGTCGTGGTTAGAGAAGGTGTGCTGGGAAGCACAAGGTTGTTGGTTCGATTCCAGGCTGCCCCATGTTCCATGTCGAAGTGTCCCTGAGCAAGACACCTAACCCCTAATTGCTCACCGGGCAAAAATGTGAAAAAGCCATGGGTTTAAAGTGTAATGTAAATCGTTTTGGATAAAAGCGTCTGCTAAATGACCTGTAATGTAAAATGCCTGTCCGCCTTCTTAAATCTTCCATTTGCCAGTGAAGGTGCTGCTGACCTCACAGGTACTTCACGTCCCACAAAAATACCTCTGACCGGGACAATGTCCGTGTTCCACCTCAGTGGCGCCCGCTGAAGCAGCAATGGCTGCTACTCATTTGAAATTTCCAAAAGCAGAGACCCTCCTAAATCAAGGCCCGCCAAACCCATGCAGTTTCTTTTGTACTGCTTAACTAGGTCACCATGTGGTCAAAGGATTGAAATCTGCTCTTGGCGTTCACACGGCTGACAGCATCGGGCGACATTGCATGCATTTTCATATGCGTCAGAATTACATCATACGTAACTTTTGCTTTCTTTTTAGATGACACTGCATCCAGTAGGGAAAGCCCTGCAATCTTTCCATGTAAAGTAGAGGGCGATGACAAAAACTAGCCGAAGACAGATGTTGTTTTCAAAACACTGGCCATGGTAACAATCGGGGAGGGGGGGGGGGGCACTTCGTTGTGGAATAACTGTTCACCATATTATCCTCTGACAGGCCAACTGTCCAAACCAGTAACAAACTGTAAACTCTTAGGAAACCCTGACAGTCAGTCAGTGGGTAGGATTATTTTGAATAGCGTGTTTAATGCCCCCAAGTTGTCTGCTTTCGTGTCGCAGCCCACTTCCTCTCTAGAGAACATCCTCCGTGACAACACGCGTAAAACAAATGGAGCAAAAAACTTGTTTTTACAGCATGAAGCTGCATTTTGTTTGACCAAAAGAACACTTGACTTACAACAGAAGAGAAATAAATTCTGATCTTTGATGGTGTTTCTTATGTTGTAATGGCAGCATCACAGGCTGCCTGATTAAATGGAGTGAACTTTGGCTTGTGCTTTGTGCTCCACAGTGAAAACTATTAGCCATGTAATTTGTCAGGGCCTTCTGCATAGTTTCTCACAACTATTTGAGTTAAGCCAAAGGACCAATTGTCTCTCAGTGAGCTGTAAGGGGGCCAAAGCAGGCCGTACCAGCATGTCATAATTGCACAGACGGGACTCAAAGGAAGTCACCGGCTACGTGACGCCCGTAAAAGTTAAGTTCAGTTCAGTTTGTGGCGTCGGGGGCGTTAGACTTTCGTAAAGCACGAAAGAGTGTGAAGAGATGGGAACTGTTCTAGTTTGAGGCCTTCCAAAAGGGCACATGAGACAAAGAAAACAGGGAATCCAGATGTGTTTTCGGGGGGCGGTTTTGTCCAATAGGGAAATCACAACCCTTATACTTAAAGCTGGAATCATTAGCACTAAAATGTGCCAAAGGTAAAAACGATGCAAATGGTACACAGCATAAGTGGCCTAGTAATAAAGGGCAACTGTTTTTTTAATTACCGTACCTAAAGTTCACATAAGTGGGTGTGTTTAGAAATAGTGTAATTTCATCTAAAATGTAGAGAAGTAGAATAAAGATAGAAACGTCTCAAAATTGCACCTAATCGCAGACGAGATACTGCGTGCTATTTGATACCTCTTTTTACGTGATTTTAAAACACTTCGAGGCGGTTACGCCGATCAGAGCTTCAATGTTTAGACGACAAACAAATGCGCCTCAACTACCACATGTGGAGAGCGGATACATCCGCAAAGCGCCCGTAAAGCCGCGCAACGTGCGCATCCAACACAAAACTCTTACCGACTTCCTCTTCTATTATGGCCGAGGAAGAGCCCCCCTCCAGGTCATCATTCACGGGGTCCATCTCGTAGATGTCGTTGGTGCTCATGGTCCTCGTCCGCTCGCATCACCGAAAGTAGAAAACTACTTGTTTTACTACTAACTACTAACTGTGTTACAACAGCGTCACGGCGCAGGCGCGTCCTCCACGCATTCTTACTGCATTCCTCAACAGGATAAAGTTTTGCTCAAGTGGTGACTTGAGAGAATGGAAATCTCACGGGTGGGGTCGGCGGAGGAGGAGGAGGCTGTTGTTGCGGTTGTTCAGCCCCCATTTGACAGATCAGGTTGCGCCCACTTCACTCCTCCAAAGTTAACCCCGAAGTCTTATCAAGTTGACTTATGGACACACTTGGTTTGGGTGGAAAAATGTATTTCTGTTTTTTTTTCCAGATGTTTGGTATTCGGGTCTCCAAGGCAACGGCGCGAGCCGATGCGTTGCGTGTCGCTCCGAATTCATTCCACGTGATTCATTCACACGCTGCGTGCGTGCCCCCCGCAGTCAACCGTTACCCGCCGTGCAGATGCGGGTTTCTGTTTTGTTAATCAGAGGTATCATCGTAAACGCCCTGATGTGTGCCCGGAATAGTCTGATTGTACCCGTATCTCCTGCGGCCAAAACGGCGACTGAACCCGTTCCAGACTCACAAATACTAAATGCAAAGTGTTGGGTTGGGAACCTTTCAACAGTGCGACCCATCATTCAGGGGAAGGAAAAGGGCGACGGAACACTAATAGAGCCAACGTTACATCCGCCAATAACAAGTTGCTAGCTTGTCACGATTCAAAGCGTATTGTTTATTCTAACTAGTTATTCCAAGTGTCTACATGTTTACTAAATAGTCACTTGCAGGTACATTACATGGGAAAACATTCAGTTTAGACACAAACGGCCCAGTGGGTGAATGTGTACGTCCGTGGTAATAAACGCGAATCCGGAAACAAATGATTCCAGCTAGTTGTAGCTAAGAGGCTAACGCAATGCTTAGCGAAATGCTCCTTTAGCCAGCAGTCATGTTAGCCTGCTGACGATTTGGAGTTATCGGCAAATAACATATTCGGTGACTGGTTGGGTCTCAGTTTGGTAGTCAAAACTCGACCCAGAACGAGCACCCTCGACTTTTAACCGGTTCAGATCGTTTTCTGACCGGGAAAAACGTTCCGCAGACGAGGTTTTCACCAGGTGAGTTGACGCTGCTAAGATTTGTTGTCAACAGAGACTGTCCCGTCCACCACCAGCAACCGTTAAATAATCCTATTTATATCGTGGTAAAACGAAGAGACATATACGTTGCTTAATGTTTAAATTTGACAGTTGTTAAACAGAGATCACTTAACATACATACATTATACTGCACAACAAAGGCTTTGTTTTGTTTTGATTTGGGTTTGTGAATGCCTCGACCTGCTGTCCCTACAGCTCGGTGCACGCTGGAGTTCGCCAAAATGAAGATGTTCTCGGTGTCTCACAAGACGGTCTTTGTGGTGGACCACTGTCCCTACATGGCAGAGTCAAGTCGTCAGCAGGTGGAGTGTGACGTGCTGACGAAGAGTCGGGCTCAGGGGGTCATTCCTTTGGCCCCCGTGTCCAAGTCCCTGTGGACCTGTGCCGTGGAGTGCTCCATGGAGTACTGCCGGATCCTCTACGATGTGTATCCGCTGCACAAACTGGTCAGCTTCTCTTTTGATTTGATTTTTATCTCTTGCTGAAATACTTTTGGCAGTTTCTCCAACGTCTGGTTTCAATTTTCGAGATATAACGTTTGCTGTAAATGAGTGTGAATTTTGGTATTATTGAAGCTATTGTTGAAGCTGATGACGACCTAACGAGTGAGCTTTAATCAATGTGGTTACTAGTTGCAGTGCACCTGTTACTTTAACATCAAATCAACCTCTTCTGACTCCTTTTGGTTTTACAGATCAACTACATTGTGAGTGATTCAGAGTTCCACATCTTGAATAGCTGGAGGCACGAAGACCAGAGTACTCATGAGGTAATCCACTGCTTACAAAACTCGGTGAAGCAGTGACAATTCTAACCGATGTATAATACGAATGTTGGCCTACAAAAGGTCCTGGTGTTGCCACGGCGTCCACATTTTTGCAGTTGTTCATCAGAACCGCGATATGAGTATCCCCGTTTGTCCTCTCTGGCAGCTCATGTCGGCTCTTGCGGCTGTCGGGCCGCCGAACCCACGCGAGGACCCCGAGTGCTGCAGCATCCTGCACGGGCTGGTCGCTGCGGTGGAGTCGTTGTGCAAGATCACAGAGCTGCAGCACGAGAGGCGCACCTCTCTGATGGACACGGCGGAGAGAGTCGCCAATAGGGGTCGTATAATATGCTTAACCAATACTAAAAGGTAAACCCTGATCAACAAGTGTTGATACTTCTGTTTCCCTCTCAGCCACTCTGCATTAGTTCTGTTTTTTACTTTACATGTATTGTATGCGTACATGTATGGGCTTATCTTGTGGTCGTCATTTACCCCCTTTCGTTTGTACGCGCTAAAGAAGCTTTTGTTATATTGTTTCAGAGAATTCAAATGCAGGGCTCTCTCTCTGTTCTATCATACAGTGACACCCATGTCCGGATGTTGGAAGACTGCATCCAGGAAACTATTTTAGAACAGAACAAGCTGGCAGCAGGCTCGGACAGGTCAGTGTCCCATGGTAGCGATTGAAATTACTCCGAGACGTGTTTTCTGGTAGCAAAGTCATTTTTTGTTTGTTTTTAGGCTGATGGCCATCCAGCAGTGTGACCTGGTCCTCGTTCACATCCACCCACAGGGAGAGGACACACTGGTGTCTGACCGGCCGAAGAAAGAGGTGGGTGCTAACGAAGACGCGCGGCCGCTTAGAAACACTGCGCACCATAATGTCACAGCTGTTAGTTCTCACCGGCACACTTCCTCTCTGGTCGTATCAGATCTCCCCTCTGCTCACCAGCGAAGTTCACAGCGTCCGTGCCGGGCGGCACCTTTCCACAAAACTCAACATTCTGGTCCAGCAACATTTTGACTTGGCCTCCACCACCATAACAAACATCCCTATGAAGGTAAGAGGCTTCTTGCCCTTTGTTTTGTCCAAAATTAAATCTCACATCCACTTTAAATGTTTAATTTCTTTCGCTAGTAGACCAATGTTGTCATGTCAAGAATGCAAAACACTCCCTCTTTTCTTGCTTTTAATTAATTAATTTTTTAATTTTGTTCTCATACAGCCGTCACACTACTTCTTTTGCTTGCTTAATCTTTGTGTATGAGCCCTTCCTCACCTATAACTACTCATGAAACTTTACAGTCTCATCTTTTTGTTTATCTCATTTGCATGTTGATTTGACTGTGAATCTGCTGCTGGTTTCATGCTGTATTTTCTGTTTTGCTAGCCCACATTAAATGTTTGCGACCAGGTTAGTACTCTTATCACACACACATCAAAGTGAGGAAGGGTCAGAGTTTACACCACGCAGTGTGCAGTACATGTTTGGAGTTCTACTGTTGCAACAGGCTTACGGTGTCTTTAATATGTTTTGATGTGACAGTTGGGCCTTAAGATTTGCCGATGAGGCTCCAGCAAAGGACAGGCAACTCTGGTCTCATGTGGACACCCAGGGAATGCAGAGGTTTGGCTTCTGCTGGAAAAGTGAAAGACTACTATTTTGGCTCCCATACGTTTTACGCTAATCTAAATTCTTCTTGGAGAATGAAAGTCGTTTGGTGGTTTCAGCATTTCTGCTAACGGATGATAAAAACTGCAGCATATGAATGTTTCATTCGAGTAATTTAATGTCGGAACCTCTTTGACCAGCGTTGCCTCTTCTGAGTTGTCAAATACTGTCAGTGTCTGTCAGGTGTTTACACCTTAAAAGTTGCCTAAACTGTTCCCCTGGTCTGTTTCCCCCATCAGTTCCCAACCATTCCTTTAGTGTCATGTTGTGGTCCATTGTGCTGTCTGGATAACTTTTTTATTAACCTGACCTTTAGCTAGTCTTTAAAACTGTTATTTCCCATTTTAGAAAGTTTGCAAATTTAAAGCTTGTGATTAATTGACAAAAACAACATATGTTTGTTCCCATTTTCGGGCTTGGGCCTAAACTTATAGAGCGCTCTCTATCAGCGTTCAGGGGTCCATGATTTAGTCCATGAAGTATAGGCTCAGTATTGTGTGAACTTATGTGGAAATTTGCATTAAAGTGCTTAAGTCACCCAGAGAGCTTTTATTTTTTATTTTTTTTACTTTGGTTGTTTACATTATCATTTACCCTTTGGAACATGAAATCAGCAGTGTTCATTTGTGTGTATGACTTTGCACGTTGTGAGAGCTGGCTACATGCTGACCCGTATGTGTTATTGTGTCTGCGGATCGACAGGAAGAGCAGCACGCCAACACGTCGGCCAATTATGACGTTGAGCTCCTGCATCACCGAGATGCTCACCTGGAGTTTTTCAAAAGTGGTGAGAACTCGAGTTTAAAACAAATGAATGTATTAAGAATGAGGTTTTTGGATGTGTGGTAAGGAGACATCTTTCAAATAGTGCTCAGAGTAGCTTTCGTTGTTCTTACATGCACTGGAGAAGGAAATCTTTTTGTAGATTCTTGGAGATCCTTCATGATTTATGCATGCATGTTATGTATGTTTGATACATAATCCGTCCAATCTATCAGGAGAAATGAACGTTTGGTGGGACATGTTTGTGTTGTGCAGGGGACTTGCACATGGCCGGCTCCAGCACTCGGGAAAATGGACTCAAGGAGACGATCACACTGAAATGGTGCACCCCACGAACAAACAGCATAGGTGGGTCAAGATGTTCTGTCCGTTCTTAGTTATTTTGAATTCCCCCTCCTGGCATTATATTAAGACAAAAAAGGTGGTATTTTACTTTAATGATTCATTGTTTCAAGGAACACTTCAACCCTGAACACATTATTTGTATTTTGCACAGAATAATTATTCATCCCTGCAATGCCTGATTATTATTATTATCTTTTTGTGTTTTTTTTCCCCCCTTAGAACTGCATTACTGTACAGGAGCGTACCGCATCTCCCCCACAGACGTGAACAGTCGTCCCTCATCCTGTTTAACAAACTTCCTCCTCAACGGTAAGCCGGGTAAACCCTCCCTTTTTTTTCACCCATCTCTCAAACGACTGCCACTGATTGGTCCGTCGGTCGCTTACTGCTCCTTTTTGGATCGACCACAGGTCGGTCGGTGCTTCTGGAGCAGCCGAGGAAGTCGGGGTCAAAGGTCATCAGCCACATGCTCAGCAGCCACGGGGGAGAGATCTTCCTGCACGTGCTCAACAGCAACCGCTCCACCCTGGAGGACCCGCCCTCCATCAGCGAGGGCTGTGGAGGCCGAGTGACCGACTACCGCATCACTGTACGTTCAGCTCGCTCCACCCGGACGCACAACAAGAATCATTCAAAAGGGTGACTGTATTTAAAAAAAAAAAAAAAATTGTGGTCTATTTCAGGATTTTGGCGAATTTATGAGGGAGAACCGGCTCACTCCTGTTTCTGAGTCTTCCCATGATCCTTCGGGGAAGCTACCAGTCGAACGGGCCAAAGCTCAGCTGGAACGCCACACTCGATACTGGCCGATGATCATCTCCCAGACCACCATCTTCAACATGCAGGCTGTGAGTGAGCAAATACGAGATGATCTGTTTCCAATGTTACTGCATCATTATCCTCCTTCACTCCTGTGTCTGTGTCTTCTTGTTTCCCTCCACTAGGTGGTTCCTTTGGCCAACCTGATAGTGAAAGAGACATTGTCCGAGGAGGACCTTCTGACCTGCCAGAAGACCGTTTACAACCTGGTGGACATGGAGAGGAAGAACGACCCTCTCCCCATTTCCACCGTGGGCTCCAGGGGCAAAGGTCCCAAGAGGTATTTATTCTAAATTCAAAATTCCAATTAGTGTAAGTTAAACACCGGGGTCACTGATGTATCGCTTTGTTGTTGTTGTTGTTGTTCTCAGGGATGAACAGTATCGTATAATGTGGAATGAGCTCGAGACATTAGTAAAAACTCACGCCGGGGCAACTAACCGACACCAGCAAGTGCTGGACTGCATCGTCGCCTGTCGCAGCAAACCCCCTGAGGAGGAGGAGAGGAAGAAGAGGGGGAGGAAGAGGGAAGAGAGGGAGGACAAAACCGAGAAGAATGGCACCAAGGAGACCGATGACAAAAGCTGGCAGGAGTCGGAGAGGTCAGCGCTGCTCAGATGTGAATAATGACCAGCATTTGGTAGCAAAAAGGAATCTGTAGCTTTTTGCGTGGGATATTGGTCCGTAAACTTGGTGCCCTTTCTCATGCTTCACTTACTTTTGTGTTTGGAACCGAAAGACTTAAAGGTTTGCTCGACAAAGAGGAGCAGGAGCCGGAGGTGATCAAGGATTCCCCAGACTCTCCAGAGCCGGCCAACAAGAAACCACGCCTGTGCACGGAAGAGGTTCAGCCTGCCGAGAGAGCAAAAGGTACCAACCGTAGTCTCTGTTTAGAAGAGAAATCACTGGCAAAACGACCAGTGAGCAAATGAAAGACAATTCCGGCAAATGCCACTCGATTGTTGTGGTTGTGTGTGATTTAATTTTGATCAACGGCTTTGTTTCGCTGTTTGTTCAGGTCCGGTCTCGCTCCTCACCATGTGGAGCAACCGCATCACCGTCGCCAATTCCAGGAAGCACCAGGAGTTTGTCGGAAGAGTGAGCTCCGTCAACAACAAGTTTGAGTTGTACCAGCAGCTCAAAGACGAAAACGGGTGCGTGAGAAAAATCAATCATACGGGTGTAATGATCCTCCAGAGTTGAACGTGTTAATCAGACATCCCTTTTTCCCTCCTGACAGGATGGATGTTCACGAAAACGGTAAGGCCTCCAGATGAGGTCTCCACGGATCCGCTGCTCCAGCCCTGCCAAGAATAGAGATTTGACACGAACAAGGGTATCAAATAACATTGAACGCTTCAACGAGGAATTTCTACTGTTTGCTTTTTTTACTCCTGATTTTGTAGATATGCTGTTCACATATTGTGCGACACAATAAAAATTGTCAATAGAGAATTCGTTGGATATGAAAGCACTGTGTTTTTATGTGTCATTCGTGGGTCAAAAAGTAATATCGCATTTGGGTGAACTAGGATCACTAAATAACAAGATTCATGCTTAGTATCATTTTTACGTGTAAAACTGCACTGAAAACATTTTAGTCACTGAGCTTAATACGAATTGAAAATGTTCAACAGAAATAGAAACTTAGTAATCATGAACCTGATTCCTGTTTACCTCCTGGGTTTGTTATAGATCATCAATTATTATTATTGCTGAGCACTTTAAAAGTTGGAAGAGACCATCCCGCCTGCAGGCCAAATGTTCCTGAACTAAAGTGACCTTTGCAGCTAATAGGTTGAGCAGAAATATGAAATATGAAATAACACAAATGTCTGTAAACAAAAAACACATGTAAAGGGTCCATTCCAGATGGATTTGTAGAAGAAAACTGTTGGAAATCCATTGTTGGACGTTAAAAACACTTGTAGCAACGCTTTGATTAATCACAGGTACTTTTGATACGGGTTACAATCAATTACATAAACATGATTGCGCACCGTAGACTCGCCACATAACGTGAGACGAGAAAGACTCAGCATTTGATGAATGAAGGGTTTGGTGAGGCCGCTGAACAGCAGAGGGAGCACTCGAATGCTCACCAACATTGGAAAAGGAACAGAACGTCACGCCAAGGCCTGCTGCTGTGTTGAAATGCATCCTTTGCTATGAATGATTTGCAATGACTAAAAACATAAATTAAAATACATTTCTTAAATAATTCTTGCAAGGAGGCATCAGCATTGCATCTCCGACTGTTGCGTCACTGCCTCAAACCCTTCCGTGTTTTCAACAAAGATCTGTTTAGTCTCCTCCACGCCGTTGTTCTAAAGAAACGCCTCTGCATATCTGCTCCCGGAGTGTCTCATTGTCGCACTCATTTCAGTGCATGTCTCCGATTTTATTCTTTTTAGACAGTTTGAAGAGTTACTTCATGAAATTCCTTTAGCTCCTGTGTAACTTATTATCGACCTCTTATAGTTAAACCAAAGTTGAGGTAATAGCTTGTTAAGTTAGAAACTATTTCTTCTTTGGAGTGTGAATATGCAGTTGGAAGATAAACAGACTAACGGCACCACTATCGGTGCAGACTATCGGCACCACGAGATTGAGGCGCAGACGTCTTACTATCGTTTGACCCAAAACACAGTGTCTCTCTCCGTGTGAAAGAGCAAAGACATCATGTTGTCTACGTAATACTGATTCATGTGAAACGTTGCAGTTTTTCCAACAGTCTCCAAGACTATTTTGCACAGCGCTCAAATAAGGACGTCGGGAACGAAGGACTCTGATTCTGTCCGTCCGTCTGTGGTCAACGACACTTTCTGAGTCGGTGCATTTAGCCGAGACGTTGCACAAGGGTTAAAAGTCGTTTAAAATGTCTCTATTAGTAGATAAGACGTGACACATCTGGAAAGAGCCAAGAGGGCATATTGTGGGTTGATGGTGTTGGTGACTGCATTTTCTTTAATGTGGGATGTAATTCTGCTGCTTGGAAACGAGTCCATTGACCATGTGCATATTCCAGTGACGTGGGTACATCACTTTGTCCCTTGACGTGCATATTGTTATTTGAAACAACTATCTATGCCAACTATACAAAAACACCACAGACAGCTGAGGGGAACTGCAGACACCAGAAATAATTTTCTGAAGGCTTTTCTCCTTTCACGTTATATTTAGCCACGCTTTCTATTCTTATTAAAACCCAAATATATAATTATGAAGCTTTAGTTTCTTATGTAACCCTGAACTGAAAAAAACATACAATTACTCTGCTATTGTTAGCGTGAAACTACGCTGATTTGCATTTATTAGGATTTCTTACTTTCTTTTTTTTCCAGCCGTAGGAGCCGTGTTGTTGCTGCATTGTTATTGAACACAAGAAGTAGAATGTGTGGCTGTGAATGTCATCGGCGTCATTACTTCTGCTCTTGTGAGCTGCCATGTATACAAGCCATGAAGCAATTAACCGGTTTTTGTTGTTTTGCAGAAAAATAAATTGCAGCACTAAACAAATGAATGTTGTCTCACTCGTTTTTCTTGTGAAAGACGTTATTTGAAAGCGGCCATGTTTAGTCTGTGGCTGGGCGGAGGTCTTCCGATTGGCTCGATCCGCGTGACGTCATTCGAAGCAGATTGATTGAGCAATTGATTGCAATTTAAAGTTGAAAGGCATTACCTTTAGCTTAGCTCACTCCTGTGATGACGCAATGTATTATAACAGCAATATCTATATATGATATAATATAATCGTGCGTACTTCAAATAGAGAGTTCCGAGATCTGTTTGAGATGGTGTTGGAAATGAGTCATTAGCAGCACCACAATGAGCTCCAACTGTGGTCAATAAGTAAGTTCAGAAAGCTCAGAGCCACCGAGCGCTGTGTTCATTCGAAGCCTGAACCACTGCTAGTATCAAACATACCCTTTATTCATTGTTTAATCTCGTGATGTTTATGTACCATGAATCTTCTCTTGTACTTGATGAGCACTTGTGTTGTGATCTGTAACGGAGCGGTTTATTAATAGCGACCCCATCATTGTATTAATACGAGATACCAAATGAAGAGCCAGAAAACAATCGCAGATGTTTTATTATCGTGGTGTCTTTGTTTCCTGACCAGCACATGCATACCTGGTGTGGCTGAAAGAACACGCACAACTCGTGCATGTCTGCAACCAGAAAAGCCGCTGAGCTTCTACCAGCAGCCAGAAGCACAAACACACACACAAGTCTTTTACAGCGTCTAAGACAACTAAATAAAGCCATCTGGACTATCCAAGGGTTCTTAAGACAAACCCAGTTCATGTTCAAAATCTAATGTCATGTGTAACATTTCCAAAAACAATGGAATGTTTCACAGCACCAATTGTCGAAAAATATTTTAACACCAGGAAAATGGTCGAAAAGCTCAAGATTCCACAATAAAACCACAGTAATATCAAATGTTCTGAATATTCCTTTTATGAGCATTTCAAAGATGCACAAGCAAAGCGCTCATGTCCTCACGGTCAGTGAGGATTTTCTCTCGGCCTCCTCCTCGTGCGTTCCGACCGGCGCCGTGTACTTCATGGCCGTGTCGGCTTCTGCGTCACTTGCTCTCGCCAGCAGCCCCTTCTCAGACAACCACGAGGCAAGGCGCGAGACCACCAAAACAGTCGCCATGGTGACGAGCACGATTGCAGTGCGGAAAGGGGAGCAGGCGGTACCGGTGCCCGTCCACCGTCTTGTCCCACGGCAGGGGCAGGATGTCGGGAAGGCCTATCAGCGGTTCCCCCACCAGAGCCCGCAGCAGGAGGGACAACACAAAGCCGGCACAGGCGCCGTAGTGGTTCACCCGCCGGGACAAGTAGAAGATGCAGATCACCTGGGGAGCCAGCATTGAATAAAGGACGTCCGCACTGACGATCCAGAGCAGGTAAACGGACTTTGTTGTCATGGCCAGACCTGCTCCTATTGTTCCACAAAGGAAGATTGACCCTTTGACCACGGCAAGGATCAGTTTCTCCGAGGCCTGGAGCAGAGGAAATCATTTTAACTCAACAAGTCTTTAAGGTACTTTTATGAAACCAAAATATGGATTGCACTATTTGTTGTCTAGGTACCACATTTAAGTCATCGTTATATGTGAAACACTTCTTCTCTCATGTATTTTCTACAATCTTGCTTTAATTCACCCTCTCACCAAGTGCAGGGCGGACTTTTACACGCCTCCAAACAAAACAAAAAAACAGCATTTTGTCTCGCAGCCAAAGGGTCTTGGGTGGTTTCGGGTTTCAAAATGTTTCAGTTAACTCGTGCCTCAAAAACTAGTTAGAATGTGCCTGCGGCGACTCACTGGCTTTCATGTAAACGAGGTGCTTGCGAGTCCTAAAACACACTCACAGTGCCACTGCCACGGCTGTAAACCCGCCTTTTTATCAGAACAAGCTTCCAAAGAATCAATGCCACAATAATGGTAAAGATGTTACCCCTTTGTAGATGACATCTGAGATATTCGCCAGTGGAGCGACAGACAGAGGCAGAGTCAACCGATGACATCACAGACGCAGCAGCGCTCCATGCCGATCAGCGAGACGTAAAATGGGCAAAGATGCTGAAGGGCGATTGGCAAGATCATGCCGGCTTTGCCTTGTTGGTACGGGCCGGGGGAGCCGTAGCTGGTCTCGTTCCAATCTGACATTGAACAAATAAAATGACAGCAAACATCGTAATCGCGGGGTTGTACAGGTCTGATCTGCTGAGGTTGTGTTTTGATGTGTTAGAACATATTACTACCTATTGTTAAGTGTTTTTTATGGATTCAATTTGAACATAACAGTCATCATCACAGCTACAATAACACTAAATACATTATCACTCCAAGGCAATAAGAGGGTAATTCAATCTAGATACTTGTAGATGCAGCTGCTGCCCCAATGATGAGTGACGGGATGGCAAGAATTGGGCATAGAACTGCTGCAACATAGCAGGTGAGTTTTGATTGCGCATCAGTGGCAGTGGACAGGACTCTCTGGTAGAAAGCCTGGTAGCAGATCCCACCGATTGCCTTGGAGGGGAATAGAACCCAAGTTCACACTACGTCTTGCATATTAACTACACATGAGCTTTAATAGCCGTTTTAAGGTATGTGTTTTGGGGGTGTCCATTACCAAAAGCAGTAGGTCATCTACCCAGCGACCTGCTTCTTCCAGCTCCAGGCTGCCGAGCCACGGCTCCTGGTGCAGCTTGGTCACTGCAGCTACCGTGATGTTGGCAGAGGAGGGGTTCGCCAATATGAAAGGCACGCAGAGCCACTGAAGTAGGGAGGAAAGTATGCTACAGATTCACAAAGTCCTGCACTATAGCTGGGGGGACTGGGGTTAAATGCTTGGAATTTCCTTAAAAATGCAGTGTTTGTACCAATCCAACTAGCATCAAGCTAAGCTGGACGACGTCAGTGTAGGCCACAGCGTAGAGTCCTCCCATTAACGTGTAGACGATAGCCACAGCGGCGGAGACGCACACGGCGAGCGCGGAGGAGATATCCATGACCACGCTTATCGTCCCTCCTGTGACCACAAACAAATTCACTTTTTATTTTCTCAGTGGTATAATAATACACGTGTGTGTATATAAGACTTATATAATTGAGAAGGATTTTTGTTCTTCAAGTTGTGGTTTCTGACTTACCCAACGCACCAAGGATACATGCTACCCACAAGATATCGCCGAGGAGAGCGGGAATGAAGAGAACAGCCGCTACTTTGTCGCCGTATTTCTCCTGAAATGGGTCCATCAGGGTGACATAATTCTTTGACCGAATGGGTTTGACAAAGAAGAGTGCACCTGAAGCCACACAGACAGACGTAGACATCGTATTTAAAATCAGCGTACTGATGAGAAAATATTTCCTATTAAAAATGTGCTTTTCACCACAACAGTAGGCAGTTGTGTTACTCACCTAAAACTAAGTTCATGAAAAAGGCGAGGGGTCCAGTGGCCCACACCAACCCCTTTGTTGGATCATAGACCACTTCAGCATTACCCAATATATAGCCTCCTCCCACCCAAGTGGCTGCAAAGCATCCGGACACAATACAAAAGACAAGTAATGTTACCAGATTTTCAATCTATTTAATAAATGGCTATAATGTGTAGATTACATTCCGGACAAATTGGGAAAATTATGGAATTAAAGAGATTCAAACTAAACATGTCAAAATCTGCTTTGAGTACCCTACTTTTAAAATAAATGTACCTGGATGGTTTTCTCTTACAAACCTCATTAGGCCCCATTCCGTGATTACGACAATCTACGGCCTTATTGTTGTCCTTATTTTTTTACCTGTCATGGTGCATATGCTGACCCAGATGTTTAGGTTCCGCCCCCCAACCATTGTAACTTCACTGCGGTTGCCAGTGCATTTCTTCTCCTCGCGTTTGGACTTCCTGGATGCCCAGATACCCATGGCCAGTATCATCATGTAAAACACGCATAAGGACAGCAGTCCTGGCCAGTTAACCGCCATCGTCCGAGTCTGTGGGGAGAGGACACAAACATAAATCCCTTTATTACCTCAACAGATCCGAGTTCCTGCAATCTTCTCGGAATATCATAAATATTATTTTTGTTACAAAGAAAAAAGACAATACAGTCCCGACCATCCCATATTCAGACCGCTGTAACTGCACTTAACACTATCAACCATTTTTATATATGACATCATTAAAAGCAGTATGGTGGAAGAAAACTAACACAAGGAGCCACAAATATACTCACTCACTGTAGCCTTCAAACTTAGAAGTGAAAGAAATGTGAGCAAAAGGCATGAAGGCAAATCAATGTCAAAATCCAAGAGAGCTTAAATCGACTTTCTATCCGTTATTGTTGTTTTATAAAGTGCGCAAATGGGCTTATATAGTTCTCGGAACGCATAACTCTCAACAGAGATAAAATCAACCAATCAAAAGACGAGGTTTGTAACCAATTGGATGTAGAGACCATGGTGACTGAGTCTTCCCCCGTTACTGTCAAAAAGAAACGCACGAGCGAGCAAAGAGCGCGCGAGACGGACCTTTGGCTCGCAGATGTTTGGTTTGCGCGCGCGCATTGGACCTAATTGGCGCTCTCAGCTTTTAACATTGATTTGCCTTCATAAAGCGGACAAGGTTCTGAGTCGGAGGTCGACCTTGAAGAGGTTGCGAATGTGTAACCCACTTCTAATGGTGGTCGTCCTGCTGCCACAGCGTGAATACACTTTATTAAACGGCCGCTCACCGGAGACACACACACACACACACACACACGCACACACAGCTGAGACTGAACGCCTGTAAGTTAGTTGGTACGTAACCACTGCTGTAGTGGTAAAATTAGAGGTGGGTAAACTCTGAATTGTGTGATCATACAGACCTCGACGCGATGCGAACCAACGCAACACAAAGCGTCGCGACTCTGTAAGGCTGTCCTGGCTATATTGCATTATGTTATCAGTAAAAGTCATATACAATCAATGACAATGAATACATGTGTTAGTAGTTTATTACATTTAATAAAACAGTAAAGTATGTCAACACAACAACACAATTGCAGATTAAGAACTATCTCCTTTTTACAGTAGTGCCCAGAGGGCCTCCTTGTCCTCCACGTCAGGTCCTGTCTTGCACAGAGGAGCCATGAACCCCAGAACACATTCATGGCTCCTCTGTGCTTCTCTCTATTGGACCTGGTGTTTCTCCTCTCCCTGTGCTCTCTGCATCATTGCCTGTCCTCTCACTGCCTGAAAAAATATGTTGAATTTAAGAGTTAACCAGTTAAGCAGCCTGTCAATTACACTGACAACATAAGTTAAAGGAACACTCAGCATGTTTTTTTTCACATTGAGAACTGACTTGTTTTCTAATCTACGCGTAACCAGGAGTTTTTCTTTTACCGTGCACGACCAGCGAACACAGAGCGCGCGACTACTACCCCCCCGTCGGTCGTTCCGCCCGCAACGACTACTACCCCCCCACGTCGGACCTTCTCGACCGGTCCGCGAAATATTGTCTGACATCAAACCGGTCCGTGAGGTAAGAAAGGTTGGGGACCACTGGGCTGATCCGTGTGTTTACACACCTCCTGGATCCTGATTGGTCGCTGCTGCAGCCGCAAGGCACTGATTGGATGCTCACAGACTGTAATGGTCCGCCTGAAGCAGCGCTGGAAGCCGCAGTCATCCAGACGCGCCTCCTGGAGGAGTCGGTGAAATTCAAGCTGTGTGCCATTTATTTTAAAAGTAGGGTACTCAAAGCAGATTGACATGTTTAGTTTGAATCTCTCCAATTCCATAATTAACATTACTTGTCTTTTGTATTGCCCGTGTGTGTGTGTGTCCGGATGCTTTGCAGCCACTTGGGTGGGAGGAGGCTATATATTGGGTAATGCTGAAGTGGTCTATGATCCAACAAAGGGGCTGGCGTGGGCCACTGGACCCCTCGCCTTTGTCATGAACTTAGTTTTAGGTGAGTAACACAACTGCCTACTGTTGTGGTGAAAAGCACATTTTTAATAGGAAATATTTTCTCATCAGTACGCTGATTTTAAATACGATGTCTACGTCTGTCTGTGTGGCTTCAGGTGCACTCTTCTTTGTCAAACCCATTCGGTCAAAGAATTATGTCACCCTGATGGACCCATTTCAGGAGAAATACGGCGACAAAGTAGCGGCTGTTCTTTTCATTCCGTTAATGGGAGGACTCTACGCTGTGACCTACACTGACGTCGTCCAGCTTAGTTTGATGCTAGTTGGATTGGTACAAACACTGCATTTTTAAGGAAATTGCAAGCATTTAACAGTACTAATATGTCCCCCCAGCTATAGTGCAGGACTTTGTGAATCGGTAGTATACAGTGCATCCGGAAAGTCACAGCGCTTCCCTATTTTCACATTTTGTTATGTTACAGCCTTATTCCAAAATGGATTAAATTCATTATTTCCCTCAACATTCTACACACAACAACCCATAATGACAAAGTGAAAACTGTTTTTTGCTAATTTTTGCAAATCTGTTAAAAATAAAGAACGAAAACATGTACATAAGTATTCACAGCCTTTGCCATGACACTCAATGTAGCTGAGGTGCATCCTGTTTCCACTGATCATCTTGAGATGTTTCTACAACTTGATTGGAGTCCACCTGTGCTACATTCTGTTGATTGGACATGATTGAGAAAGGCTCACACCTGTCTATCTGAGGTATCACAGTTTCGACCATTTTCCTGGTGTTAAAATATTTTTTCGACAATTGGTGCTGTGAAACTTTTCAGGTATTCATATCAACATTCCATTGTTTTGGGGTTAAATTATATTTTGGACATAAACTGAGTTTACCATAAACCTGAACTATCCAAGGGTTCTTATTTAATTGTCTTAGACGCTGTAGAAGACTCGGGTGTGTTTACGCTTCTGGGCGGCTGCTGGTAGAAGCTCAGCGGCTTTTCTGGTTCCAAAACAAATTGTGCGTGTTCTTTCAGCCAACACCAGGTATGCATGGGCTGGTCAGGAAACAAAGACACCACGCTAATAAAACATCCACAGTCGTTTTCTGGCTCTTCATTTGGTATCTCGTATTAATACAATGATGGGGTCTTAAACGCTCCGTTACAGATCACAACACAAGTGCCTATTACGTACAACCAGGGCTGTAGTGGCGGGTAAACGGACGTAAACGCCGTTTACGCACCTCTGGAATTTTGGAAATAGCGTTTACGCACCTCAAAGTTCCCTGCGCCTGGTATTCTTCCGTTGGAATAATCCGAAATAAACTTGGTGTAATTTTAAAACAGCTAAGACTACGTTTCCTATTGTTGAACATATAAACGCCATAGTCTGAATTATGTTCATCTGCGCTGTATTACGGTCTGTGAGCATCCAATCAGTGCCTTGCGGCTGCAGCAGCGACCAATCAGGATCCAGGAGGCACATACACGTTGTGGATCAGCCCAGTCGCCCCAAGCTTTCTTCCTCACGGACCGGTGTTACACCCCTACTGGTTTTTCCACCTACTGGTTTCCCTACGCGTGCGTGTTTGTGTTCACTCCAAAGCTGCAGATGTGTCCGCCTCAGTTCCCTGATTCGTCACACATTCACAAACATATTGCTGAAAATCTTCAAAACGCATCACAAATCCATTGCAGCGTTTACGATTGTATAAGTGAGCACCACATCACGGCCACGTATGAAAACATTTACATAAAAAAATATATTAAAAGAAAGATCGGCACAACCTGGATTCGAACCCGGTGGATCAAAACATTAAAATGTCAATCAGGTGGCAGCTCTTAGCAGTGCACCACGGAAACGCACAGCAATTTATTGACCCTTAGTATAATTTATTCATATTGTTGACGTAAATCAGCATAAAGGAAACCTTTTGGTGTCGTGGATCTAAAACAACTGGTTACCTTGGGCGTGTCTTGGAACACTTCAGGATATGTGCAACGCTACTTCTTCACGAGGCTGCGTGACGTAAACCACAGACACGAACATAACAAAGTTTAGAACAAGCTCTGTGCAAGGCAGGACCTGACGTGGAGGACAAGGAGGCCCTCTGGGCACTACTGTGAAAAGGAGACTCCATATGTAGATAGTTCTTAATCTGCAATTGTCTTGTTGTGTTGACATACTTTTCTTTACTGTTTTCTTAAATTTAATAAACTACTAACACATGTATTCATTGTCATTGATTGTATATGACTTTTACTGATAACATAATGCAATATAGCCAGGGCAGCCTTACAGAGTCGCGACGCTTTGTGTTGCGTTGCTTCGCATCGCGTCAAGGTCTGTATGATCACAAAATTCAGAGTTTACCCACCTCTAATTTTACCACTACAGCACTGAATAAAGGGTATGTTTGATATTATCAGTGGTTCAGGCTTCGAATGAAAACAGCGCTCGGTGGCTCTGTGCTTTCTGAACTTACTTATTGACCACAGGTGGAGCTCATTGTGGTGCTGCTAATGACTCATTTCCTACACCATCTCAAACAGATCTCGGAACTCTCTATTTGAAGTACGCACGATTATATTATATCATATATCGCGTTATTATAATACATTGCGTCATCACAGGAGTGAGCTAAGCCAAAGGTAATGCATTTCAACTCTACATTTCAATCAATTGCAGTGAAAGTGGAGGTTCTTCTTCTTTCCCTTTTACCACCCGAATGACGTCACGCGGATCGAGCCAATCGGAAGACCTCCGCCGAGCCACAGGGGTGGTGAGCTGAGCGCACGCCGTCGGTTAAGTAGCTGATGACACCTACGGGGCCAGTGGATGCTGAACGGGAAGCACTAAATACCCGTTGTGTTTCGACAAAGCGTATGCTATGTGATTTATCTCGGCTCTTGTTTTTACTTTTGAGGCCCCCGATAGCAGGAGTGACTCCGCATTTCGGACTCGTTTCAGGGCTCGTTGATCCAGGCCGCTTTCAAATAACGTCTTTCACAAGAAAAACCAGTGAGACAACATTCATTTGTTTAGTGCTGTAATTTATTTTTCTGCAAAACATCAAAAACCAGTTAATTGCTTCATGGCTTGTATACATGGCAGCTCACAAGAGCAGAAGTAATGACGGCGATGACATTCACAGCCACACATTCAGCAACAACACGGCTCCTACGGCTGGAAAAAAAAGAAAGTAAGAAATCCTAATAAATGCAAATCAGCTTAGTTTCACGCTAACAATAGCAGAGTAATTGTATGTTTACAGTTCAGGGCTACATAAGAAGTGAGTGATACATGTAGGCCTCTACAGCCTCTACAGCTTCTAAACAAAAATAAAATGTTTCCTCGAGACATTACATCCTGTTACATAATACAAATTCTCTAAAGTCACATGCATTGAAATATTCTTTACTGTATATAGTTGACATGATGCACATTTTTTTAAAATTTGGCTACATTCAGACCAAACAGCTCAAATCATAAGGGGTGTCTTTAAAACTGGTGATTGAGAAAAAGAAAAAGAAAGAAGGTTCTAACATCATTCTAAATGTGTGTTCACTACCCAGAAGGTCGCGGTAACCTAAACTCTACCACAAGCTAAGAAATGAGTTCCTCTTGATTACGTCAGTCGTCAATCACTGCTCAATACAAAACCCGTGTCGTCGACTAATAGTCGTCGCTGCCTTCGTCCTCCTCGTCGTACTTCCTCTTGAGCGAGTGCTTCTTGTGCTTCCCCCGGTGCCTCCGCTTGCCGGCGAAGTCCGGGTTCGCGTCCCGCAGGTGCAACTGCTCGTGCTTCTTCAGGAGGCCGGGGACGGAGAAGCCCTTTCCGCACGTTTCGCACGTCCAGGGCTTTTTGCACGTATGAGTCCTTTTGTGGACGTTCAGGTGGGACGCCAGCTTGTAGGTCTTCCCGCACACGTCGCAGCTGAACGGGCGCTCGTTGGTGTGCAGCCGGATGTGCACCTTCAGATTTCCGACCTGGGTGAAGGTCTTCTCGCAGATGGAGCACCGGTAGGGCCTCTCCCGCGTGTGGATCCTCAAGTGGACCCTCAGGCAGTACTTGCTGGAGAACTTCTTCTGGCACACGGGGCACGGGATCTTCGCCTTGGGCACGTGGTCCTGCTGGTGCCTCTTCAGGTCCGAGAGGTAGACGAAGGTCTTGCCGCACTGCGAGCAGAGGTACTGGCGGTCCCCGATGTGGTAGCCCATGTGCCTCTTCAGCAGGCTCGGCACCAGGAATCTCTTCCCGCAGCGCTCGCACATGTGCGGCCGGTCCCGGGTGTGCCAGCGCTCGTGGTTGGTCAGCTTGAACGCCGTCGGGAAGCTCTTGGTGCAGTGCTTGCAGGGGAACGTCATCTGGCTCGTGTGGCACTCCATGTGCCGCTTGAAGTAGGTGGACTGCGTGAAGCCCTTGTTGCAGATGTTGCAGTAGAAGGGCTTCTGGCCGCTGTGGGCCAGCATGTGCTTAGTCAGGCTCTGGAGCTTGTTGAAGCACTTGCCGCACTTGCCGCAACGCCGGTCGGCGTACGGCCGCGCCGTGCTGTGGGTCTTCAGGTGGTTGTTGAGGAACGCCTGCGTTCGAAAGCTCTTGCTGCACGCCGGGCACGCGAAAGGCTTCTCCCCCGTGTGGATGCGCTCGTGGTCCATCAGCTTGGACTGGTACGGGAAGCTCTTGTCGCACACGCCGCAGGTGAACCGGTCCGCCGGGGGTCGGATCTGCTTTTTCCGCCGGATGCTCGGCTTGGCGTCGTCTCCGCCTCCAAACCTGGCCGGGGGCAGCGGCGGCAGCGGCGGGAGCGAGAGCGAGTTCGTCGCAATCTGCGACACCCACTGGTGCAAGGTGACCCGCTGGGTGTGAGGCTTCTGGCCGTCTTTGGTCCCCGCGCTGCCTGCTTCCCGCGAGGCGGGAGCGGGTTTGACCGGCATCTGAACCACCCGGAGGGGGATCGCTTTCAAGGGGGGCCGCTGGGACTGTGGTTTATCTCCCGCTTCCGGCGCTTCACCTTCCGCTCTGCCGTGGAGAGGTGTGGCGGGCTGTTCCTGTGCACCACTTTTTTCCCGCGCCGGATCCTCCCCCCGAACTGCTGCCGGGACCTTCTTTTCCTTTTCAACATACTGATTCATGTGAAACGTTGCAGTTTTTCCAACAGTCTCCAAGACTATTTTGCACAGCGCTCAAATAAGGACGTCGGGAACGAAGGACTCTGATTCTGTCCGTCCGTCTGTGGTCAACGACACTTCCTGAGTTGGTGCATTTAGCCGAGACGTTGCACAAGGGTTAAAAGTCGTTTAAAATGCTTCTATTAGTAGATAAGACGTGACACATCTGGAAAGAGCCAAGAGGGCATATTGTGGTTGATGGTGTTGGTGACTGCATTTTCTTTAATGTGGGGTTCAGTCATGGGACAACTTTTTAATCCTGTCAGAGGGGAATGAGATAGGAGGTTTTAGAGTGTCATGTTTGATTTGTTGGGTTGTAGACAACGTGACCTGTGAAAGAGGAAAAAACAACAATTCTGTAAAATGGTCAAATGACATCCTGTACTGTGTTTTGTACACTGCAGTGCACATTATGTTTGGCTTATTCCTCTCATGCTAAACATTACTCTGTATTGAGGACAAACTCAAGCATGCATCGTTCCATTTTAAATAGGAAAACCGGTCATGCAAAGGCTAGTATTGAATCTTGTAACTGAAATCGCCGCCTTTTGGGTGTTTTGTTTACAGCATTTCTTAAAACAACATATCCATGCGGTAAAAATGCTGTACTTTTACAAGTTCTTTATAGCGCCACCAAAAAAGCAAAAAAAGAAACCCAATGAATGCTAACATAGCGAAGGAAAAAGAGTAAAGGATGTAATTCTGCTGCTTGGAAACGAGTCCATTGACCATGTGCATATTCCAGTGACGTGGGTACATCACTTTGTCCCTTGACGTGCATATTGTTATTTGAAACAACTATCTATGCCAACTATACAAAAACACCACAGACAGCTGAGGGGAACTGCAGACACCAGAAATAATTTTCTGAAGGCTTTTCTCCTTTCACGTTATATTTAGCCACGCTTTCTATTCTTATTAAAACCAAAATATATAATTATGAAGCTTTAGTTTCTTATGTAACCCTGAACTGAAAAAAACATACAATTACTCTGCTATTGTTAGCGTGAAACTACGCTGATTTGTATTTATTAGGATTTCTTACTTTCTTTTTTTTCCAGCCGTAGGAGCCGTGTTGTTGCTGCATTGTTATTGAACACAAGAAGTAGAATGTGTGGCTGTGAATGTCATCGGCGTCATTACTTCTGCTCTTGTGAGCTGCCATGTATACAAGCCATGAAGCAATTAACCGGTTTTTGTTGTTTTGCAGAAAAATAAATTGCAGCACTAAACAAATGAATGTTGTCTCACTCGTTTTTCTTGTGAAAGACGTTATTTGAAAGCGGCCATGTTTAGTCTGTGGCTGGGCGGAGGTCTTCCGATTGGCTCGATCCGCGTGACGTCATTCGAAGCAGATTGATTGAGCAATTGATTGCAATTTAAAGTTGAAAGGCATTACCTTTAGCTTAGCTCACTCCTGTGATGACGCAATGTATTATAACAGCAATATCTATATATGATATAATATAATCGTGCGTACTTCAAATAGAGAGTTCCGAGATCTGTTTGAGATGGTGTTGGAAATGAGTCATTAGCAGCACCACAATGAGCTCCAACTGTGGTCAATAAGTAAGTTCAGAAAGCTCAGAGCCACCGAGCGCTGTGTTCATTCGAAGCCTGAACCACTGATAATATCAAACATACCCTTTATTCATTGTTTAATCTCGTGATGTTTATGTACCATGAATCTTCTCTTGTACTTGATGAGCACTTGTGTTGTGATCTGTAACGGAGCGGTTTATTAATAGCGACCCCATCATTGTATTAATACGAGATACCAAATGAAGAGCCAGAAAACAATCGCAGATGTTTTATTATCGTGGTGTCTTTGTTTCCTGACCAGCACATGCATACCTGGTGTGGCTGAAAGAACACGCACAACTCGTGCATGTCTGCAACCAGAAAAGCCGCTGAGCTTCTACCAGCAGCCAGAAGCACAAACACACACAAGTCTTTTACAGCGTCTAAGACAACTAAATAAAGCCATCTGGACTATCCAAGGGTTCTTAAGACAAACCCAGTTCATGTTCAAAATCTAATGTCATGTGTAACATTTCCAAAAACAATGGAATGTTTCACAGCACCAATTGTCGAAAAATATTTTAACACCAGGAAAATGGGCGAAAAGCTCAAGATTCCACAATAAAACCACAGTAATATCAAATGTTCTGAATATTCCTTTAATGAGCATTTCAAAGATGCACAAGCAAAGCGCTCATATCCTCACGGTCAGTGAGGATTTTCTCTCGGCCTCCTCCTCGTGCGTTCCGACCGGCGCCGTGTACTTCATGGCCGTGTCGGCTTCTGCGTCACTTGCTCTCGCCAGCAGCCCCTTCTCAGACAACCACGAGGCAAGGCGCGAGACCACCAAAACAGTCGCCATGGTGACGAGCACGATTGCAGTGCGGAAGGGGAGCAGGCGGTACCGGTGCCCGTCCACCGTCTTGTCCCACGGCAGGGGCAGGATGTCGGGAAGGCCTATCAGCGGTTCCCCCACCAGAGCCCGCAGCAGGAGGGACAACACAAAGCCGGCACAGGCGCCGTAGTGGTTCACCCGCCGGGACAAGTAGAAGATGCAGATCACCTGGGGAGCCAGCATTGAATAAAGGACGTCCACACTGACGATCCAGAGCAGGTAAACGGACTTTGTTGTCATGGCCAGACCTGCTCCTATTGTTCCACAAAGGAAGATTGACCCTTTGACCACGGCAAGGATCAGTTTCTCCGAGGCCTGGAGCAGAGGAAATCATTTTAACTCAACAAGTCTTTAAGGTACTTTTATGAAACCAAAATATGGATTGCACTATTTGTTGTCTAGGTACCACATTTAAGTCATCGTTATATGTGAAACACTTCTTCTCTCATGTATTTTCTACAATCTTGCTTTAATTCACCCTCTCACCAAGTGCAGGGCGGACTTTTACACGCCTCCAAACAAAACAAAAAAACAGCATTTTGTCTCGCAGCCAAAGGGTCTTGGGTGGTTTCGGGTTTCAAAATGTTTCAGTTAACTCGTGCCTCAAAAACTAGTTAGAATGTGCCTGCGGCGACTCACTGGCTTTCATGTAAACGAGGTGCTTGCGAGTCCTAAAACACACTCACAGTGCCACTGCCACGGCTGTAAACCCGCCTTTTTATCAGAACAAGCTTCCAAAAGAATCAATGCCACAATAATGGTAAAGATGTTACCCCTTTGTAGATGACATTCTTGAAGATATTTCGGCCCAGTTGGGAGGCGACAGACAGAAGGGCAGAGTCAACCGATGACATCACAGACGCAGCAAGCGCTCCCATGCCGATCAGCGAGACGTAAAATGGGCAAATGGGACCATGTGCATATTCCAGTGACGTGGGTACATCACTTTGTCCCTTGACGTGCATATTGTTATTTGAAACAACTATCTATGCCAACTATACAAAAACACCACAGGCAGCTGAGGGGAACTGCAGACACCAGAAATAATTTTCTGAAGGCTTTTCTCCTTTCACGTTATATTTAGCCACGCTTTCTATTCTTATTAAAACCAAAATATATAATTATGAAGCTTTAGTTTCTTATGTAACCCTGAACTGAAAAAAACATACAATTACTCTGCTATTGTTAGCGTGAAACTACGCTGATTTGCATTTATTAGGATTTCTTACTTTCTTTTTTTTCCAGCCGTAGGAGCCGTGTTGTTGCTGCATTGTTATTGAACACAAGAAGTAGAATGTGTGGCTGTGAATGTCATCGGCGTCATTACTTCTGCTCTTGTGAGCTGCCATGTATACAAGCCATGAAGCAATTAACCGGTTTTTGTTGTTTTGCAGAAAAATAAATTGCAGCACTAAACAAATGAATGTTGTCTCACTCGTTTTTCTTGTGAAAGACGTTATTTGAAAGCGGCCATGTTTAGTCTGTGGCTGGGCGGAGGTCTTCCGATTGGCTCGATCCGCGTGACGTCATTCGAAGCAGATTGATTGAGCAATTGATTGCAATTTAAAGTTGAAAGGCATTACCTTTAGCTTAGCTCACTCCTGTGATGACGCAATGTATTATAACAGCAATATCTATATATGATATAATATAATCGTGCGTACTTCAAATAGAGAGTTCCGAGATCTGTTTGAGATGGTGTTGGAAATGAGTCATTAGCAGCACCACAATGAGCTCCAACTGTGGTCAATAAGTAAGTTCAGAAAGCTCAGAGCCACCGAGCGCTGTGTTCATTCGAAGCCTGAACCACTGCTAGTATCAAACATACCCTTTATTCATTGTTTAATCTCGTGATGTTTATGTACCATGAATCTTCTCTTGTACTTGATGAGCACTTGTGTTGTGATCTGTAACGGAGCGGTTTATTAATAGCGACCCCATCATTGTATTAATACGAGATACCAAATGAAGAGCCAGAAAACAATCGCAGATGTTTTATTATCGTGGTGTCTTTGTTTCCTGACCAGCACATGCATACCTGGTGTGGCTGAAAGAACACGCACAACTCGTGCATGTCTGCAACCAGAAAAGCCGCTGAGCTTCTACCAGCAGCCAGAAGCACAAACACACACAAGTCTTTTACAGCGTCTAAGACAACTAAATAAAGCCATCTGGACTATCCAAGGGTTCTTAAGACAAACCCAGTTCATGTTCAAAATCTAATGTCATGTGTAACATTTCCAAAAACAATGGAATGTTTCACAGCACCAATTGTCGAAAAATATTTTAACACCAGGAAAATGGTCGAAAAGCTCAAGATTCCACAATAAAACCACAGTAATATCAAATGTTCTGAATATTCCTTTTATGAGCATTTCAAAGATGCACAAGCAAAGCGCTCATGTCCTCACGGTCAGTGAGGATTTTCTCTCGGCCTCCTCCTCGTGCGTTCCGACCGGCGCCGTGTACTTCATGGCCGTGTCGGCTTCTGCGTCACTTGCTCTCGCCAGCAGCCCCTTCTCAGACAACCACGAGGCAAGGCGCGAGACCACCAAAACAGTCGCCATGGTGACGAGCACGATTGCAGTGCGGAAGGGGAGCAGGCGGTACCGGTGCCCGTCCACCGTCTTGTCCCACGGCAGGGGCAGGATGTCGGGAAGGCCTATCAGCGGTTCCCCCACCAGAGCCCGCAGCAGGAGGGACAACACAAAGCCGGCACAGGCGCCGTAGTGGTTCACCCGCCGGGACAAGTAGAAGATGCAGATCACCTGGGGAGCCAGCATTGAATAAAGGACGTCCGCACTGACGATCCAGAGCAGGTAAACGGACTTTGTTGTCATGGCCAGACCTGCTCCTATTGTTCCACAAAGGAAGATTGACCCTTTGACCACGGCAAGGATCAGTTTCTCCGAGGCCTGGAGCAGAGGAAATCATTTTAACTCAACAAGTCTTTAAGGTACTTTTATGAAACCAAAATATGGATTGCACTATTTGTTGTCTAGGTACCACATTTAAGTCATCGTTATATGTGAAACACTTCTTCTCTCATGTATTTTCTACAATCTTGCTTTAATTCACCCTCTCACCAAGTGCAGGGCGGACTTTTACACGCCTCCAAACAAAACAAAAAAACAGCATTTTGTCTCGCAGCCAAAGGGTCTTGGGTGGTTTCGGGTTTCAAAATGTTTCAGTTAACTCGTGCCTCAAAAACTAGTTAGAATGTGCCTGCGGCGACTCACTGGCTTTCATGTAAACGAGGTGCTTGCGAGTCCTAAAACACACTCACAGTGCCACTGCCACGGCTGTAAACCCGCCTTTTTATCAGAACAAGCTTCCAAAAGAATCAATGCCACAATAATGGTAAAGATGTTACCCCTTTGTAGATGACATTCTTGAAGATATTTCGGCCCAGTTGGGAGGCGACAGACAGAAGGGCAGAGTCAACCGATGACATCACAGACGCAGCAAGCGCTCCCATGCCGATCAGCGAGACGTAAAATGGGCAAAGATGCTGAAGGGCGATTGGCAAGATCATGCCGGCTTTGCCTTGTTGGTACGGGCCGGGGGAGCCGTAGCTGGTCTCGTTCCAATCTGACATTGAACAAATAAAATGACAGCAAACATCGTAATCGCGGGGTTGTACAGGTCTGATCTGCTGAGGTTGTGTTTTGATGTGTTAGAACATATTACTACCTATTGTTAAGTGTTTTTTATGGATTCAATTTGAACATAACAGTCATCATCACAGCTACAATAACACTAAATACATTATCACTCCAAGGCAATAAAAGGGTAATTCAATCTAGATACTTGTAGATGCAGCTGCTGCCCCAATGATGAGTGACGGGATGGCAAGAATTGGGCATAGAACTGCTGCAACATAGCAGGTGAGTTTTGATTGCGCATCAGTGGCAGTGGACAGGACTCTCTGGTAGAAAGCCTGGTAGCAGATCCCACCGATTGCCTTGGAGGGGAATAGAACCCAAGTTCACACTACGTCTTGCATATTAACTACACATGAGCTTTAATAGCCGTTTTAAGGTATGTGTTTTGGGGGTGTCCATTACCAAAAGCAGTAGGTCATCTACCCAGCGACCTGCTTCTTCCAGCTCCAGGCTGCCGAGCCACGGCTCCTGGTGCAGCTTGGTCACTGCAGCTACCGTGATGTTGGCAGAGGAGGGGTTCGCCAATATGAAAGGCACGCAGAGCCACTGAAGTAGGGAGGAAAGTATGCTACAGATTCACAAAGTCCTGCACTATAGCTGGGGGGACTGGGGTTAAATGCTTGGAATTTCCTTAAAAATGCAGTGTTTGTACCAATCCAACTAGCATCAAGCTAAGCTGGACGACGTCAGTGTAGGCCACAGCGTAGAGTCCTCCCATTAACGTGTAGACGATAGCCACAGCGGCGGAGACGCACACGGCGAGCGCGGAGGAGATATCCATGACCACGCTTATCGTCCCTCCTGTGACCACAAACAAATTCACTTTTTATTTTCTCAGTGGTATAATAATACACGTGTGTGTATATAAGACTTATATAATTGAGAAGGATTTTTGTTCTTCAAGTTGTGGTTTCTGACTTACCCAACGCACCAAGGATACATGCTACCCACAAGATATCGCCGAGGAGAGCGGGAATGAAGAGAACAGCCGCTACTTTGTCGCCGTATTTCTCCTGAAATGGGTCCATCAGGGTGACATAATTCTTTGACCGAATGGGTTTGACAAAGAAGAGTGCACCTGAAGCCACACAGACAGACGTAGACATCGTATTTAAAATCAGCGTACTGATGAGAAAATATTTCCTATTAAAAATGTGCTTTTCACCACAACAGTAGGCAGTTGTGTTACTCACCTAAAACTAAGTTCATGAAAAAGGCGAGGGGTCCAGTGGCCCACACCAACCCCTTTGTTGGATCATAGACCACTTCAGCATTACCCAATATATAGCCTCCTCCCACCCAAGTGGCTGCAAAGCATCCGGACACAATACAAAAGACAAGTAATGTTACCAGATTTTCAATCTATTTAATAAATGGCTATAATGTGTAGATTACATTCCGGACAAATTGGGAAAATTATGGAATTAAAGAGATTCAAACTAAACATGTCAAAATCTGCTTTGAGTACCCTACTTTTAAAATAAATGTACCTGGATGGTTTTCTCTTACAAACCTCATTAGGCCCCATTCCGTGATTACGACAATCTACGGCCTTATTGTTGTCCTTATTTTTTTACCTGTCATGGTGCATATGCTGACCCAGATGTTTAGGTTCCGCCCCCCAACCATTGTAACTTCACTGCGGTTGCCAGTGCATTTCTTCTCCTCGCGTTTGGACTTCCTGGATGCCCAGATACCCATGGCCAGTATCATCATGTAAAACACGCATAAGGACAGCAGTCCTGGCCAGTTAACCGCCATCGTCCGAGTCTGTGGGGAGAGGACACAAACATAAATCCCTTTATTACCTCAACAGATCCGAGTTCCTGCAATCTTCTCGGAATATCATAAATATTATTTTTGTTACAAAGAAAAAAGACAATACAGTCCCGACCATCCCATATTCAGACCGCTGTAACTGCACTTAACACTATCAACCATTTTTATATATGACATCATTAAAAGCAGTATGGTGGAAGAAAACTAACACAAGGAGCCACAAATATACTCACTCACTGTAGCCTTCAAACTTAGAAGTGAAAGAAATGTGAGCAAAAGGCATGAAGGCAAATCAATGTCAAAATCCAAGAGAGCTTAAATCGACTTTCTATCCGTTATTGTTGTTTTATAAAGTGCGCAAATGGGCTTATATAGTTCTGGGAACGCATAACTCTCAACAGAGATAAAATCCAGCCAATCAAAAGACGAGGTTTGTAACCAATTGGATGTAGAGACCATGGTGACTGAGTCTTCCCCCGTTACTGTCAAAAAGAAACGCGCGAGCGAGCAAAGAGCGCGCGAGACGGACCTTTGGCTCGCAGATGTTTGGTTTGCGCGCGCGCATTGGACCTAATTGGCGCTCTCAGCTTTTAACATTGATTTGCCTTCATAAAGCGGACAAGGTTCTGAGTCGGAGGTCGACCTTGAAGAGGTTGCGAATGTGTAACCCACTTCTAATGGTGGTCGTCCTGCTGCCACAGCGTGAATACACTTTATTAAACGGCCACTCACCGGAGACACACACACACACACACGCACACACAGCTGAGACTGAACGCCTGTAAGTTAGTTGGTACGTAACCAGTGCTGTAGTGGTAAAATTAGAGGTGGGTAAACTCTGAATTGTGTGATCATACAGACCTCGACGCGATGCGAAGCAACGCAACACAAAGCGTCGCGACTCTGTAAGGCTGTCCTGGCTATATTGCATTATGTTATCAGTAAAAGTCATATACAATCAATGACAATGAATACATGTGTTAGTAGTTTATTAAATTTAAGAAAACTAAGAAGAAAAGTATGTCAACACAACAACACAATTGCAGATTAAGAACTATCTCCTTTTTACAGTAGTGCCCAGAGGGCCTCCTTGTCCTCCACGTCAGGTCCTGTCTTGCACAGAGGAGCCATGAACCCCAGAACACATTCATGGCTCCTCTGTGCTTCTCTCTATTGGACCTGGTGTTTCTCCTCTCCCTGTGCTCTCTGCATCATTGCCTGTCCTCTCACTGCCTGAAAAAATATGTTGAATTTAAGAGTTAACCAGTTAAGCAGCCTGTCAATTACACTGACAACATAAGTTAAAGGAACACTCAGCATGTTTTTTTTCACATTGAGAACTGACTTGTTTTCTAATCTACGCGTAACCAGGAGTTTTTCTTTTACCGTGCACGACCAGCGAACACAGAGCGCGCGACTACTACCCCCCCGTCGGTCGTTCCGCCCGCAACGACTACTACCCCCCCACGTCGGACCTTCTCGACCGGTCCGCGAAATATTGTCTGACATCAAACCGGTCCGTGAGGTAAGAAAGGTTGGGGACCACTGGGCTGATCCGTGTGTTTACACACCTCCTGGATCCTGATTGGTCGCTGCTGCAGCCGCAAGGCACTGATTGGATGCTCACAGACTGTAATGGTCCGCCTGAAGCAGCGCTGGAAGCCGCAGTCATCCAGACGCGCCTCCTGGAGGAGTCGGTGAAATTCAAGCTGTGTGCCATTTATTTTAAAAGTAAGGTATTCAAAGCAGATTGACATGTTTAGTTTGAATCTCTCCAATTCCATAATTAGCATTACTTGTCTTTTGTATTGCCCGTGTGTGTGTGTGTCCGGATGCTTTGCAGCCACTTGGGTGGGAGGAGGCTATATATTGGGTAATGCTGAAGTGGTCTATGATCCAACAAAGGGGTTGGCGTGGGCCACTGGACCCCTCGCCTTTGTCATGAACTTAGTTTTAGGTGAGTAACACAACTGCCTACTGTTGTGGTGAAAAGCACATTTTTAATAGGAAATATTTTCTCATCAGTACGCTGATTTTAAATACGATGTCTACGTCTGTCTGTGTGGCTTCAGGTGCACTCTTCTTTGTCAAACCCACTCAAAGAATTATGTCACCCTGATGGACCCATTTCAGGAGAAATACGGCGACAAAGTAGCGGCTGTTCTTTTCATTCCGTTAATGGGAGGACTCTACGCTGTGGCCTACACTGACGTCGTCCAGCTTAGTTTGATGCTAGTTGGATTGGTACAAACACTGCATTTTTAAGGAAATTCCAAGCATTTAACAGTACTAATATGTCCCCCCAGCTATAGTGCAGGACTTTGTGAATCGGTAGTATACAGTGCATCCGGAAAGTATTCACAGCGCTTCCCTATTTTCACATTTTGTTATGTTACAGCCTTATTCCAAAATGGATTAAATTCATTATTTCCCTCAACATTCTACACACAACAACCCATAATGACAAAGTGAAAACTGTTTTTTGCTAATTTTTGCAAATCTGTTAAAAATAAAGAACGAAAACATGTACATAAGTATTCACAGCCTTTGCCATGACACTCAATGTAGCTGAGGTGCATCCTGTTTCCACTGATCATCTTGAGATGTTTCTACAACTTGATTGGAGTCCACCTGTGCTACATTCTGTTGATTGGACATGATTGAGAAAGGCTCACACCTGTCTATCTGAGGTATCACAGTTTCGACCATTTTCCTGGTGTTAAAATATTTTTTCGACAATTGGTGCTGTGAAACTTTTCAGGTATTCATATCAACATTCCATTGTTTTGGGGTTAAATTATATTTTGGACATAAACTGAGTTTGTCTTGAAGCCACCTGAACTATCCAAGGTTTCTTATTTAATTGTCTTAGACGCTGTAGAAGACTCGGGTGTGTTTACGCTTCTGGGCGGCTGCTGGTAGAAGCTCAGCGGCTTTTCTGGTTCCAAAACAAATTGTGCGTGTTCTTTCAGCCAACACCAGGTATGCATGGGCTGGTCAGGAAACAAAGACACCACGCTAATAAAACATCCACAGTCGTTTTCTGGCTCTTCATTTGGTATCTCGTATTAATACAATGATGGGGTCTTAAACGCTCCGTTACAGATCACAACACAAGTGCCTATTACGTACAACCAGGGCTGTAGTGGCGGGTAAACTGACGTAAACGCCGTTTACGCACCTCTGGAATTTTGGAAATAGCGTTTACGCATCTCAAAGTTCCCTGCGCCTGGTATTCTTCCGTTGGAATAATCCGAAATAAACTTGGTGTAATTTTAAAACAGCTAAGACTACGTTTCCTATTGTTGAACATATAAACGCCGTAGTCTGAATTATGTTCATCTGCGCTGTATTACGGTCTGTGAGCATCCAATCAGTGCCTTGCGGCTGCAGCAGCGACCAATCAGGATCCAGGAGGCACATACACGTTGTGGATCAGCCCAGTCGCCCCAACCTTTCTTCCTCACGGACCGGTGTTACACCCCTACTGGTTTTTCCACCTACTGGTTTCCCTACGCGTGCGTGTTTGTGTTCACTCCAAAGCTGCAGATGTGTCCGCCTCAGTTCCCTGATTCGTCACACATTCACAAACATATTGCTGAAAATCTTCAAAACGCATCACAAATCCATTGCAGCGTTTACGATTGTATAAGTGAGCACCACATCACGGCCACGTATGAAAACATTTACATAAAAAAATATATTAAAAGAAAGATCGGCACAACCTGGATTCGAACCCGGTGGATCAAAACATTAAAATGTCAATCAGGTGGCAGCTCTTAGCAGTGCACCACGGAAACGCACAGCAATTTATTGACCCTTAGTATAATTTATTCATATTGTTGACGTAAATCAGCATAAAGGAAACCTTTTGGTGTCGTGGATCTAAAACAACTGGTTACCTTGGGCGTGTCTTGGAACACTTCAGGATATGTGCAACGCTACTTCTTCACGAGGCTGCGTGACGTAAACCACAGACACGAACATAACAAAGTTTAGAACAAGCTCTGTGCAAGGCAGGACCTGACGTGGAGGACAAGGAGGCCCTCTGGGCACTACTGTGAAAAGGAGACTCCATATGTAGATAGTTCTTAATCTGCAACTGTCTTGTTGTGTTGTGTTGACATACTTTTCTTTACTGTTTTCTTAAATTTAATAAACTACTAACACATGTATTCATTGTCATTGATTGTATATGACTTTTACTGATAACATAATGCAATATAGCCAGGGCAGCCTTACAGAGTCGCGACGCTTTGTGTTGCGTTGCTTCGCATCGCGTCAAGGTCTGTATGATCACAAAATTCAGAGTTTACCCACCTCTAATTTTACCACTACAGCACTGAATAAAGGGTATGTTTGATATTATCAGTGGTTCAGGCTTCGAATGAAAACAGCGCTCGGTGGCTCTGTGCTTTCTGAACTTACTTATTGACCACAGGTGGAGCTCATTGTGGTGCTGCTAATGACTCATTTCCTACACCATCTCAAACAGATCTCGGAACTCTCTATTTGAAGTACGCACGATTATATTATATCATATATCGCGTTATTATAATACATTGCGTCATCACAGGAGTGAGCTAAGCCAAAGGTAATGCATTTCAACTCTACATTTCAATCAATTGCAGTGAAAGTGGAGGTTCTTCTTCTTTCCCTTTTACCACCCGAATGACGTCACGCGGATCGAGCCAATCGGAAGACCTCCGCCGAGCCACAGGGGTGGTGAGCTGAGCGCACGCCGTCGGTTAAGTAGCTGATGACACCTACGGGGCCAGTGGATGCTGAACGGGAAGCACTAAATACCCGTTGTGTTTCGACAAAGCGTATGCTATGTGATTTATCTCGGCTCTTGTTTTTACTTTTGAGGCCCCCGATAGCAGGAGTGACTCCGCATTTCGGACTCGTTTCAGGGCTCGTTGATCCAGGCCGCTTTCAAATAACGTCTTTCACAAGAAAAACCAGTGAGACAACATTCATTTGTTTAGTGCTGTAATTTATTTTTCTGCAAAACATCAAAAACCAGTTAATTGCTTCATGGCTTGTATACATGGCAGCTCACAAGAGCAGAAGTAATGACGGCGATGACATTCACAGCCACACATTCAGCAACAACACGGCTCCTACGGCTGGAAAAAAAAGAAAGTAAGAAATCCTAATAAATGCAAATCAGCTTGGTTTCACGCTAACAATAGCAGAGTAATTGTATGTTTACAGTTCAGGGCTACATAAGAAGTGAGTGATACATGTAGGCCTCTACAGCCTCTACAGCTTCTAAACAAAAATAAAATGTTTCCTCGAGACATAACATCCTGTTACATAATACAAATTCTCTAAAGTCACATGCATTGAAATATTCTTTACTGTATTTAGTTGACATGATGCACATTTTTTTAAAATTTGGCTACATTCAGACCAAACAGCTCAAATCATAAGGGGTGTCTTTAAAACTGGTGATTGAGAAAAAGAAAAAGAAAGAAGGTTCTAACATCATTCTAAATGTGTGTTCACTACCCAGAAGGTCGCGGTAACCTAAACTCTACCACAAGCTAAGAAATGAGTTCCTCTTGATTACGTCAGTCGTCAATCACTGCTCAATACAAAACCCGTGTCGTCGACTAATAGTCGTCGCTGCCTTCGTCCTCCTCGTCGTACTTCCTCTTGAGCGAGTGCTTCTTGTGCTTCCCCCGGTGCCTCCGCTTGCCGGCGAAGTCCGGGTTCGCGTCCCGCAGGTGCAACTGCTCGTGCTTCTTCAGGAGGCCGGGGACGGAGAAGCCCTTTCCGCACGTTTCGCACGTCCAGGGCTTTTTGCACGTATGAGTCCTTTTGTGGACGTTCAGGTGGGACGCCAGCTTGTAGGTCTTCCCGCACACGTCGCAGCTGAACGGGCGCTCGTTGGTGTGCAGCCGGATGTGCACCTTCAGATTCCCGACCTGGGTGAAGGTCTTCTCGCAGATGGAGCACCGGTAGGGCCTCTCCCGCGTGTGGATCCTCAAGTGGACCCTCAGGCAGTACTTGCTGGAGAACTTCTTCTGGCACACGGGGCACGGGATCTTCGCCTTGGGCACGTGGTCCTGCTGGTGCCTCTTCAGGTCCGAGAGGTAGACGAAGGTCTTGCCGCACTGCGAGCAGAGGTACTGGCGGTCCCCGATGTGGTAGCCCATGTGCCTCTTCAGCAGGCTCGGCACCAGGAATCTCTTCCCGCAGCGCTCGCACATGTGCGGCCGGTCCCGGGTGTGCCAGCGCTCGTGGTTGGTCAGCTTGAACGCCGTCGGGAAGCTCTTGGTGCAGTGCTTGCAGGGGAACGTCATCTGGCTCGTGTGGCACTCCATGTGCCGCTTGAAGTAGGTGGACTGCGTGAAGCCCTTGTTGCAGATGTTGCAGTAGAAGGGCTTCTGGCCGCTGTGGGCCAGCATGTGCTTAGTCAGGCTCTGGAGCTTGTTGAAGCACTTGCCGCACTGGCCGCAGGCGTACGGCCGCGCCGTGCTGTGGGTCTTCAGGTGGTTGTTGAGGAACGCCTGCGTTCGAAAGCTCTTGCTGCACGGCGGGCACGCGAAAGGCTTCTCCCCCGTGTGGATGCGCTCGTGGTCCATCAGCTTGGACTGGTACGGGAAGCTCTTGTCGCACACGCCGCAGGTGAACCGGTCCGCCGGGGGTCGGATCTGCTTTTTCCGCCGGATGCTCGGCTTGGCGTCGTCTCCGCCTCCAAACCTGGCCGGGGGCAGCGGCGGCAGCGCCGGGAGCGAGAGCGAGTTCGTCGCAATCTGCGACACCCACTGGTGCAAGGTGACCCGCTGGGTGTGAGGCTTCTGGCCGTCTTTGGTCCCCGCGCTGCCTGCTTCCCGCGAGGCGGGAGCGGGTTTGACCGGCATCTGAACCACCCGGAAGGGGATCGCTTTCAAGGGGGGCCGCTGGGACTGTGGTTTATCTCCCGCTTCCGGCGCTTCACCTTCCGCTCTGCCGTGGAGAGGTGTGGCGGGCTGTTCCTGTGCACCACTTTTTTCCCGCGCCGGATCCTCCCCCCGAGCTGCTGCCGGGACCTTCTTTTCCTTTTCAACAGAGTCGTCGGGCGATTTCGGATTTCGCCCCTGCGGTGCAGCGGCCGGTTCTGCGGGGCTGGCTGGATGGTCCGACATCCCTCCGAGGTCTTCGGTGTCACTGAGGGATTCTCGGCCGGTTTCAGCGGCCTCTAACGGCTTTAGTGGTTCTTGCGGCGGCGGCGGGGGTTCTACTGGTTTGGGCCGGAAGGCGAGTGAAGACAGCACACAGTTTCCCACCGAGGACGAGACTGTTGCTGCACAAATGGATGGATTCATTTTCACTGTGTTAGATTATGTATATTTAATGATCGCCATTTTATTTTTGTGTCCAATCACAAAGTATTGAAGTATACCTTTAACACCAAGGAGTCCCTTGGCCTGCTGGTGCAGGAGGAGAGTCTTCAGGTCTCCAGTGTCGGGGATGAAGCCCCCGCACGCCTCCAGGAGAGCGAGATCTGCCGAGATCATGGCCCCAAGCTGAGGTGAGGAGAGGCAGGAAAGGGAAACCATGAATGTTCATTTGACCTCTTGAGCTGTTCGATACGGACAACAAAACCTGTTCTTACTCAAGTTTATGTCAAAACGCGATGCGTGCATGCTCATACCTGGGAGAGATTGGGGACGGGAAGAACTTGCTCCAGCTTGCACACCAGACAGGCGGTCAGAGCCTGCAGCGCCGTATCAAACTTTATGCCGTACTGAACAGGAAACACGTCCTGCAGGGAGACAATGTGGTTTGAGTTGAACGTTTCAGGGACTCAACACTTTGGTGAAATGAGTTAAAGCAACTCAATGTGCTTGTTCTCCGCATGCTCTGTGTTTTAAATCCTAATCAGCTGCGAGTGTGTGTGTTTTTCAAATAGAACACGTCTCTTGTGTTGTAACAACCAAAACTAAGATACTATACTACGATACTGTCAATATATTATTATTAATAAAATATATTATTAGCCGTTAATAAAATAAAAGCACACCATTTGGAATAAATTCAAATAAAAGTTGCCGTACCTGGAAGAAGCGCTTTCTTTCAACTGGGTTTTTCAGCAGATTCTGGACCAGTACCATGAAATTTGTTTGAGATTTCTCCACTTCTGCGTCCTTCTGTAACACAGGAAGGTTTACAAAAGGTTACATTGAATAACTTAACTCACACATTAGGATTCTAACGTCTAGTGTGATGAAGAGAAGTAAATGCAAGACAAGAAAAAGTTCCCTCTCTTACCCCTATAGATGAAGAGACCTTCAACTTATTTATCAGAGTTTGGATAGCTCTGGAATCTGGTGGTCCGTCTTTTTGAAGCAAATCCAAAATGATCTACGAGAGAATATACAGGTTATAAGAAAAAACATCAAACTTCAAATGAACATAAAGTAGAATTGCAAGTATCTGCTTTCCTTATAGGAATCAAATACCTTGGCTATGCTGAGAGGCACAATAACAAAAGCTATGACTTCAGACACACTTTTTATGTGTGTGGTTTGTATTGACAGGAAACAGTTCATTCATTCATACACACGTTTGATAACAACAACAAAAGCTCCCACCCTTGCTCTCAGCCCCAGGACGAGCTGGGCAGTCTGCTTGAAGCTGATGAGCTCAGGAACCGTCTGCGTCACCATGGTCACGAACTCCTCCACTTTACCGTACTGCTTCACCTTCCTCTGCCGTATGACCTGCCAGATGTACGAGTACGTCAGCTGCAGAGGGGACGCCATCAAGCGGAGGGAGGACAGGGGGAGGGAACCGCCGACACCTGTTTGGGGGACGAGGGGAGAAAAAAAGGAAAAGGTTTTCAGCTTGCCGACAGGTTAAGACAAAGCTCTTCTCACATTGCGTTGCATCTGCTGGTATTCTCTGCAAAATTTGTATTATTTGAGTACCTGCAGCAAAATCACAGACACTAAACAGAAAGGAAGTTTCTTGCCGTTTTGATAATGCAGTTGACCTTTCGTCAGGGATGTAAATGCCCCCCTTTATTAGCGGTAGTGACAAGGACCATCTGGTTTGTATAATGTTGTTTATTACGAACTAACAACAAGGGGACGTGCTGTGCAGGCTGAGCTGCTGTAGGGGGCGCTGCATCGCTTGGATCGCTGCAGATAAACTGTGCACGTTTTGCGTGTGACCGAGAAGTAGCGGAGGGAATGAGCGGCAAACTGTAACGCAGCCCGAGTTCGGTTGCAGAGTCGCAGTCGACGGTGACAGTCGTGACCGCTACGGCTTCATCGCAGCTGATATTAAACGCGACGGAGCCCACGACGGGGACATCCGGATGGGGAGGATGGTCTAATTTTAAAAAATCGACCCCCCCCCGCCATTAGCTAAAGCTACTGGCTAGCTACTCGCCAAACCACCAAAAAAACCCCCAAATGACTTGGAAAGGCGCACGTTGACTCGTGGTTAAAATCAAGCAGACCGTTTACGGCACCAGATGTCTTTCGTTGCGGCTCATTTTCCGTCCAGCGTTCTCGGGAGGGAGCTACTGTTAGCGTGCTAACGTTAGCTTAGCAGCTTACCTGCGGTGTGGGATCGTTTCTCCATTCTGGGCCCAGGGCGCGGAGCTAATTCATGAAATAATCAAGCCACTGCACGAATGGGCCGACAATGTTGCCGTTTACCCCGCAAAATAATGTTTAAAAGTAAATAACCGTGTTTCCCCCGACAGTCAAGCCAGGAAGAATAATGGCGACCGCTGGGGAGCGGCTTTCCAAAACAAAAGCTTTAGTGTTTCCGGCGGATATTAGTCTATAAAATAAAAGCACGGTCTTGATGTTTTTGGGAAGGCGCGAAACCACAGAAGATCAATCGGCTGTATGAATTGTGATGGTTATCCCACGATTAATTGTCTATTTGACCTATAATGTTCAGGGGTGTAGTGGATGCTCGTTGATGTCTAAGTGAAGTTTGACTAAAAATAACACTTTAAAACTGTAGTGAAACTGTAGTCAAATTAAAATGAGTCCCTACGTGACATAGCAAACACAAATACAGTTATAGTATCACCAAAGCATTTTATTGATGCTATTTATTCTTCATTTGTGCAGTCAATAACAATGGCAATGAAAACAATGCATCTTGGTCCCTGTTCATCTGTCATGGAGATCAGAGTCTATGACCTGACAACCATCCATTAATGTTTGATCTCTCTTCTGAGATTTGTATATACAGAATTATGTCATTACAAAACCAAGCATGGAGCCTTCTTATCATGTGAACTGAACTAAACTTTTAAAAAAAGATTTCTATTTTTTTAATACAAATGATATAGCACACATTCAGACAGGACATTACATATGTTTTGACAATAATATGATGCACCAATATATATTGTGTATTTTTCTATATGGTTGAATAAATATTCAATGGCTGAAAATATACATATAGAACTAAAATTATTTTTCTCAAGGGCCATTGACAGGGGGTGGACTAAATAATGTAAACATTTCATGCAAAAGGACCTTGACCAAATTGCCATTGTGATCTGCTACTGTAGCTTTGTGACGTGAATTTAGTTACTTCAAGGTCCAAATGTGCTTCTACCAAATATCAAAGCAGTTTTTCCACCCCGTCACATTCCTAACTTGAATTGATCTATTATTTATGTGCAACATTATAATTGTAGAAAGAGATGAATCAATTGTGTATGTAATGTATCTTATAACAAAATAACTTAAATATCTCAAATACAACAGAAATACACATTTCCACCAAATGCCAACATTCAAATTATTTACATTGGTCACCAGAATGACAAGTAAACATGGCTGCAGACCTGCTTTAAAACCTGAAAACATCTGAATAAAAGGTATATCGTCCCAGATTACAGTTTTGGATATAAATCACTCGAATACAGAAATCTGTTATTGAAATACGAACCATCCTCTGCAGATGAGGCTACATTGCCTGCGGTCTGGGGAGATTCTTAGCCTGTTGATTCATAGGGATCTGCCGACATCAGTCGTGTTTGTAACTGGCATTTCCTCCAGCCTACGGCCACTTCTTTTGTGGCAAGAACAATCCCTCCTTATGCTTCTCGCTGAGCTCATCCATCTATCCATCCATCTATCCTTCGTTCGGCCTGCCCGTCCCTCGCTCCCTCTCTCTGACACATCACAGTAGTCATGTTCTCATGACCGAACATGATTGACTCAGTGAATAAGGCATTAAAAAACACACCCGCTGTGGCCGAGCAGCAGCTATAGATCACTGGGCAACAAGCTTCGAGATACAATGGCAGGGATTCAAGGGGCCTCTGCTGGTGGCTATCAGCCATCTGGTCAGATCTTTGATACACAAAGCGGAACGCTTGTTGAAGCGCTCGGGGTGTCGTTTTGTGGACTGGAAGGTTTGGTCGTTTGCGCCGGATCAGGATAATGTCAACTAGTAGCAGGCGAGCTGGGGTAGATCGCGTGCGGCTCCTTTGACTCCCGCTTTTACCTTTTGAGGCATTTACAAAGAGCAGTAGTGATATGAATGCACTTCTTCAGTAGAACCCGGAGCCCGAGAGCAGGTTGGGATCGCTGTGTGTTGACTCCTGGTTCTACGACAGTGAAAGGACTGAAGATCTCGTTAACCACCGGGACACGGCCAATTGACGACGGGAACCTCATCCTAGAAGGAAATCTCTCAAACAGTCTTGATATTTTTGGGTCAGAGGCTCCGGCGGCACATTTGATCAAGGCTCAAAACTGCGGAATTGGCAACACCCAGAATGGCAGCGAAGAGAGGAAAACTCAGAGAAGGCAAGCCAGATGCTGCTAAACACCGGCCAAGACGAGACAATCAATGTACTTCACCAGCCACTTTGGGGCATAACCAGCCATTATGTAGTGAGTTCTTCCTCTGGTTCCACCCCCCCATCCCTCCTCCTCCCTCTTTGGATGGTTAAGTGCTTGAAGTGCCTTCACAGCAGGTGAGTTTTCCCTCTGGTAGCCCGGGTCCACGCACTCAGATGAGTGAAAGCAGAAGAAGGGTGCGAGACCGCTGGGTTATCCACTAACACAATAACCTGCAGAGCGTGTTGTTACCGTGCGGTCCAGATTTCCCCTCTTCGGTTAAATTGTGCTTCATCCGCTCTCATGTTCGGGGATCGCCTCCCCCACCGGCTGTGTGTCAGCAGCGTGGGTGAGCGTCTGAAGCGGGATGGAGACGGACACAGTTGCGATGGTGTCAGAAGGGGCCATGTGGCTATTTTCAGTGTTGCACACTGGCAGAAGCCTCCCAGACTTGAGCTAAAGAAGAAGAAAAAAAAAGATAGAAAAATTACACTCGCAATGTGAGCAGGGTTCTTAAATCCTGTTTTCTAGGATGAACAAATAACATCTAATAGATCTCCAAAGGGAAGATGATTACATTAGGTAACAATAGCCTCAAAGTACTGCTGAATATTTGATGAGCACTTGTAAATTTGACTTCCTTCCTGGAAGTGCTCACAAAATTGAAGGCTCGTAATCACGCAGGCTTTTTTGGGTTGACCCACAGAACGTAAAAGGCACAAGGGAGTGTAGTTGATGGGAAAATTACTACCAAGGACGGAAATGTTGAATAAAGGCTCTTAGCCATTCACTTTTAATATTCTGAGAGGCGTCTCGTTGGAACTATACACAAACTATACCAACGATATGTTCATCACTGAATAACTTATTTTGAAATGGCTCCAAGCTGAATCTTTCCTTCATTGTTGAAGAGCTTGGAGGCGGTGGTGAAATGGCGAAGTTTATAGGTTACAATAATTGTTTGACAGTATTGCCCCTTGATACATACATGTGATTATCCGCCTCAATAGTGTGATAACTGAGTACCGATGGACTCAATGAAGCAACACATAAGGAGCTTTTACAGTTGCAGGAAAGAACCGTCTGCAAACACGCCAGCGGCTCCGTGCTCACAATAACAATGCTAACGTGTTAACAAGTTGTGTTATTCCCGTCTTCTCCATCTTAGTCTAGTGTAAACAAACCTTTGCTTATTAGCTCCAAACAGCATGAAGTCAACTATTGGAGCTTTTCATGCTACAAGGAAATACTGGATCTGGCTCTCTTTTAAAAGCAGTATTTCAGTCCGAGTTGGTTCACCTACCAGGTACACTAGGACCACAACACAAGCCATGAAGGGGATGAGAGCAAGCAGCAAGGGAGTTCTCTTGGACCAGCTGGTCTCCCTGCCCTCCTCCAGACCCCCTGCAAGACAGAAATACGATTGGAAATCTCCCAACGCGACATTTGCTCTGCACAGATCGGATGGTGGGATCGCCAATCCTCCTGAGGTTTATTTATCGAGCGAGTAACCCGCAATCTGACGGTTCAATCCTTCTTGCTTTCCTTCCATTTTGAGAAAACCAGAACTTATTCAGTGCAAGTATAAGCCCTGGCTCCGTCGGATCAGCTATTTATGATGACACATTTCCTTCCTTGATCTGAATTGACTGTATGTGTGCAAGGTTACATATATGTGGCTCCTATCCCCAGCGGTGTGTCGCTGACCCACGGATCAATACCTGCCCACTGACAGGCCATTAAGCAGCCTTCGCCATTAAAAATGCAAATGAATGGTTCTACCTGGCGTTTGTCGTGGATTAAGGCACGATGGCGGCTTGCAAGAGAAGCCGGATGCTCCTTGAGAGGCGGCATGTAAGACGTCTTTGATGTAGTCAAAGTAAAGACCAGACATCAGGCGCTCCTCCTGATAGTGACACTGGAAGACTTGCATTGTTGTTTCCTGCGGGAATCGAGATGACAAGCGGCCCTGAAATAACTCAAGTATGCAGTTACATGCGCCCAACAATATTGCGCACTCCTTCCCCCCAAAAGCTGAAGCTGAAGCGCCTTTTTTGCACAATCCACGAGGATTGCTTACCAGTTCTTCATGGTCAAAGGTGAAGCGTAGACTCTTCAGCATTGCAATGAAGACAATCGTGTTTTCTCTGTTGGACGAGACGGCACCGAACCTGCTGGCCAGCTTCCGAAGACTTTGCTCCAAAGGATAGATATTCAGCACCACCCAGCAGGGGCCAGCCTGAAGAAGTGGGTACCAGAGACAGGTGCATTCTTCTGTTCAAAGTTACGTGTTTCACAATATTTCTGTTTTCACATCTTCATTTACGTACCACCTCTTTGGGAATGTAACTGACAGGAATCTCATAGTCGGAGGGCATGTTCTGCTTCTACAACGGAGATCAAGACAGAAGATTTCTGAGACCCGTCAGTGACACAAGTTCTTAGCATACGGGCACACAAATCACACGGCAAACATTTGGATTTGATACATGGATTTGATGTGTATGATGATGCATGAAGTGATTCAGTAATCTCACCAATAATGACAGCTTGCTCACATCATCAGTTATCGGTGTCCCAAATTTTCCGAAGCAGATATTCAAACTCGTGCACAGACTCAAGAGGAGACAAGTTGCTTTCAAGATCTGAAAAAAAACAAAAAAACAAGTATATTTAATCTCTTAGAAACTGTATTTCTCAATTAACTTGAAAGTACTAATACTTTATTTACAAGTCAAACTACTTCTCAGTTTCACGTTATATTAGTTGGTTAATTGATAAGTCAAACAATGTATTACCACTACTTTGATAATCTATTTTATTTGGTAAATAACATTTTTTTACTGGCAGATGAAAAGAATTGTTAATTGCAGCCTGAATCCTAAATAATAAATAATGTATCTACTTTTATCATAATGACTTTGAAACCACTTCTGAGTAACGCACCTTTTATATGCAAAGAAAACAGTTACTAACTAACAGTTAATGTGTTTCTCCCCCCCCCTCTGAAAGACCATTGGTTTAAAATGCAAAACATGCAATGAGATCAAATCTGTTGAATCAGACTTTTTAGTTGCCGGGGCGACAGGCAGGAATGTGGTTTGCTTCAAAAGAATGGTCATTCCCATTAAAACATATTCCAGCAGCAGGATGAAGTGAATATGCAGATGGATTCTGACGAACGTGTTATTCTTTGTTATTCAGTATACTGAGTGAAAGCAAATTGTGTCCCTTTAATCAGTTAACCATTAGAATTAAAGTAATGTTTAAAGGAATAATTATTCAGTACTTTTCATTTTATGCTGAAGAGTGAATTAAAGTTTTCAGAAATTCAATAGTTAACATCGGCACCATTAAAAAGTGGAGTGAAAACACGATGAGATCCTTTGCAATCTTTCCTGAAAGCATCCTGACTGCACATCAAAATAATCATGCATCTATTTAACAAGCACTATGTGGGACGAGGGAAAGTGGTTATTGAGACATGGGCTACAGCTGCATCAGTAAATACAATTACATAACACATATTAAAAAAAGAAAGCAACACAATTATACTACTTACTTTCTTCCTCATATGGAGCAACGATCTGTGGTTGCTCAAATCCGCTGCCTGAGATGAAGTGTTTCCAGCTCAAAGACAGAGCTCATTGTGTGCACGCGTGTGATGTCCGAGCGTGTAGTGAAACCTGGCGACGGGCTGGCAGTCTGCTTCCAGTCCAGACGGATCTGTCGAGACGCTGGAGAGGCCGCCTACAGGCTGAGTCACTGTGTCACACACAGACTTTTTCCATAAACTCCCACGTTTCAATTTGTTCGTCAGGAGAGAGTGGGCGCTTGTTCTCTCGAGGGAATATTGCGCTTAGAATATGTCAAGGTTATTCCCACAGCTGTTTACAAAGTGGTGGTTAGATAACAGTTTTATTTTATGTTGTACGATTATTTGGAGCACGAATTTGAGGGTAGCTGATATTCAGCCATCATCTGCTTTATTATTTCAGCATTTTATTTATCATCCAGAGCTATTTATATTGACTTATGCTTATTTCCTCAAGCACACTCTTATTGTTAAAACGCAGTTATTTTGGATTCATTGTTTTTATTTTATTGCTGCTATTTATAACTGTTTTGATTTTGCTTTTGACTACTTCTGTGTGCACTTTACCCCCTTTGCTGCTGTAATCCTCTACATCTCCCCGCTACAGGATTTATAAAGTGTTCTTATCTTATTTAATCTGTATGTGCAGAGAGTTCAGTTGCACAATATGTTTTCCAAAATAATTCAATATTCCTTATTGAGTTGCATTATCAAATCAATGCCAGTCACAAAGGAAAAGACTGTCCCCACATGTGCAAGAGGACCTGGTTGGAATAAAGTCACACTGTAGCCAATCGGCAAAAGAAGAACTTTGTACACCCACGAGTTAGACAACGCAACAGTCCTGCCATCTGGAACAGAGCCCTTCTAAATATAACACAGACAGTTTAGGAACCCCACAAAACAAAAACATACGAGCTGCGAGCCGGCGTGCACTTTCAGACCGTCACCCGAGATGTTACGATATGAGTAACTCAATTTCAACACCATTTTGTGCCGCCATCTAAGATGTGAGAGATTCGTACTTAAGGAAATCACATGTGACACGGTGCTGATAAATAGGTTGCATGCCTGCAGCCGGGGAGAAAGCGTCGAGCGCACAGATGTCACCTTTATAGAAATGGATGCCTTTGAGCAGGAAGGCCCAAATCACAAACTTATCAAGTTCGAGATGCCCACAAGCTGCCGGGTTTGATAAAAGGTATGAGAGTCAACAATGTCCAAAATGCTTTTACTCAAACTGTTATGATTGAAGTTGAAGCGGTTTAATTTCTAAATGTTCCCCTACAAATGAAAACAAATGTTGGTTTTCATGTTCACGTGGATGAACTCGCTGTATTCACTCCATGAATATTGAAGATGTTCCCCTGGGAAATCCTGCATGGATCTGTGTATCCACAGGTGATGTGTGTGTGTGTGCGCGCTGCAGGAGCTCTCAGATTGTGCGTCTGCAACGGCCTGCTGCCTCTGCACGCAGCCAGAGATCCTGCATGTGCTGCTGCAAGGTGAGAGTTGGGCTTATCCAGACAACGTTTTGTTATTTGCACTCTGAAAAGAAAAAGAAGAAACTATCACAACAGAGTCGGACTGTACAGGAGTTACGCATTACGTTATTTTTCATGTCGTACCCTCGTGACTCCGGCAGCAGAGGCAAAGTCAGGATGCTGCTGAGAAATGAGTCTCAATCCTCTGCTGAACACACACACACACACACACATCTTATTGATGGGCTGAGTATATACTCAAAACAGGGCTATTAGAAGATTTCCTCCTTTAGAGTTTGGTTGTTATATATATATAATCTACATATCTACATGATATATATATATCTACATTATATCTACATTATATCTACATTATATATATATATATATATATATATATATATATATATATATATATATATATATATTGCTGGATGTCTTCGGTTAAAAATGATCCTAATCAAGTTTTTAATGGGAACTTTAATGTCGAGAAAATAGTAATAGTTCATTATTCTCGTTATTGTGTAAATTTCCCGCATCTTGTTTGGTCTCCATTTTGTAGCAGTGAGACAGATCGTAGGACATTGGTTGTCCCGCTGGTTGTGGGCGGGGCCTACGACGAGCAGGTGTGTCTCACTGTGAGGCCGCAAAAGGTGACCAGGCTACAACACCAAGGAAAAGGTTCACTCCTTCCCTCCTCTCATACCACCTTTCCTTGACAATATATGCCTTTATATAAAAATAGAAGCTAAGCCAGTTCCAGAGGGAAGGAGTCTAATTAACATTCCTTTCCTGCCAATCTGATCGAACTAGACTGTGACACTTCGCTCTCTGCACCTCACAGCTCGGCAGCGTTGTCTCTGCAGTCGTTTCCACAAAGAGCCCTCTGTTTATCCCCGTTTTGCAGCTCTGGTACTGAACAACACTGTGGCTCAGACCGCCTGTTCCTGTTACCCCCCCCATCCCTCTCCCCTTGAAGAGTCTTGAGGGCCGTCATCCCCATCACCACGAGGAGAGCCCTTCGTTTTCTCGGGCCAGGACGGCGTCCACTCAGCGGCTGACGGGGGGACAGGTCGAGTGTCTGGAGCTGCTTATAAAAGACACGGCGTTGACGCCTTGCCTGGCACGCACAGCTGTGGTGGGGCACAGCTGGATGTTAAGCCGAACCTCACACATGCTGAGTAGATTTTTCCGATGTGGAGTAACACATCCAATGTCTTTTTAAATAGCAATGTTTATAACAATTCTTGGTGTTAAAGGTAAAAAAAAAAACAAGGTCTCAAAGATAAATAAAACATCATGACTGAATCACTTTTTAAACTGGCCCCTGATGGACTGTACATCCGGCTCCGGAGGACTACAGGAACAGCGCTCTGTGCATCGCAGCGGGTTCAGGTCGAGCTCCGACCACTCTTGTGTTTTCAACGGTCAGCATGAACGCTCCTGCACAGGTGAATTGGTACTTCAGAGGGATTACCAACACAACGTTCCTCGCTGCCTTGCAGTACGGCCTGACGAACCCTAACCGCACTACGGATGCCCCATAACAGCCGATATCAAGCTCTCAGGTACTCGACCAACTGCAAAATGAAATATAATCTGCCGATTTCTGCTGTTTAAATATACTTTTCTCATTATAAGGAATTTCAATACAACACATTCAAGGACCGCGTGGATTGAAGTTGCGTGTCATCCATTTTCCAAGTTTCATCCCTGCAACAACGTTTATGGTGGCGCTTCCATTGTCTCCATGGTAACGGTGGAGCAATGGATAGTGGATACTGGATTTCATATCAGATTTACAGTCAACCTGACGTCTCAGTAAGAGCAAAACATGCTTGTATCTGTTGTGGACTCCCCTGTAATAAAGATTAATACGGATTCAGCTCATCATGTGACCAATAACTCTAAATCACACCCTTGACTTTGTTTGTTTTTTTGTCTTTCAGTTTATCGGCGTCGTGGCTCACGCAGCTGATTGGCGATACGTCAGCCACGACAACGTCTGTCCCATCCTCAGACGAAATTCAAATTCTGTGTTTTTAAAAAGAAGTAACACTGTGTTAAGTCACAGGGATTTTCAAGAGTGTGTTGTACCACGTTCACCATCTTAGTTTTACGCGTTCGCGCCACACATAAAGTTGTGTAATTAGTTCTGGTGTGTCCGCTTTGTCTTTTTTGGACCGCTGCGCCGACAGGCCACACAGTCTCTGACCTCACATGCTTTTTGTGTCTCTATCGCTCAGGGCAGTGGCTCCCAAAAAAGACGCTGCATCATGGGGCCCACGCTTTGCTACGTTCCCCTGTGATCCCTCTCTTAAGGCCCAAACAGCAGCTGACGAGATTAGAAGGGAGAGGACACACCGATGCGCACAACACACTCCCAGCAACGCGGCAGGCCAGGATAGAACCAGTTCAGACCGGAGAGGGTTCATCCGAAACAGCTTCACCCGTCAAGGATCCCCTCAACCGGACTGTGGATCTCCAGCCAACCTCACGCGGGACGTTGTCTTTTTCTCTGAACTGCTTTGTTTTTTAGGTTTGTTCTTCTAGTTTCTCTTCTGCGTCAGTTTAAAGTCACGTTGACCGATCTGCGGCCATGAGCTGTTTTGGGTACCGGCGGGAGTTGAGCAAGTACGAAGATGTCGACGAGGACGAGCTCTTGGCTTCCCTCAGCCCCGAAGAGCTGGCCGAGTTGGAAAAGGAGCTGGTGGATATCGATCCGGACGCCAACGTGCCTATAGGACTCAGACAGAGAGACCAGACGGACAAGACCCCAACGGGCACCTTCAGCAGAGAGGCCCTCATGAAGTACTGGGAAAGCGAGACACGTAGGCTGATGGAGGACGAGATTTGTGGAGGAAGCTCCAAAACGGTCAGTATTGTTGTTTAATTGGATCTCCTTGGCATTCGTACAGGGAGTTATTGATAAAATTCAAAAGAGATTGTTAAAAAAGTGAAAAGTAATAGTCATTTGAAATAACTCTTCCACCTTTGTTAGTTAGCTTTAGGATGGAGCATCTAGGAACCCAAATGCTCATAACAACAGCGTTTCATCTGAAAAACGAATTATTTGATCAAAATACAGGATGAAGACCAAGAGGAGTGCGTGACAGAAGAAAACAGCGGAGATGAGGATGAAAAAGATGTTGAAAACGAGAAAGAACAGAGAAAGTATGAAGGGTTAAAGGAGAAGGAAGAGGAGGAAGAGGAGGAAGAGGAGGAAGAGGAGGAAGAAGAGGAAGAAGAGGAAAGTGAGGAGGAGGAAGAAGCTGTAACAGAGGAGGAGGAGGAGGAGGAAGATGATAACGATGAAGAGGAGGACGAGCAGGAGGAACAAGACAATAAATCAAAAGCCGAGCCCTCAAAGGAATCCGGGGCTCAGGCACCGGCCGACACCCCAAGGCTACTGAAGCCGCAGAGGGTGGAGCCTATGAGACTGACCCCTCCCCCTCCACCTGCCGACCCGAATGCGACGGGGAACCCAACCGTCGTCGACGACGCTCTCCAGCGAGCTCTCAGCAACGACCCTGAGCTCTCGGAGGTCAATCTGAACAACATTGAGGACATCTCACAGGTACGGATGCAAACTGTCCAAAGGTTCCTTTACATCGCGGCTGCTCTGTTCATCGAAACATCCAGAAAGTCGATTTGATATTATTGGTCAGGGGCAGACAAGCATCCGGCAGTACTCTTTGATTGTATGCCATCCTATTTTTGGAACTGGGCTGCTTGCCTTGATATTTGGAAGGGGTTGTAGTTATATATTTGGCAAGATGAACAACGTGTTTAAATCATCCTCTGGTGGCTAATGAGTGTGACTTTTATTGTTAGATTGCGGGGTTAGCGGATGACCTTTGCTTGCTAAACACTGGCCTTCCAAATATGTTAGATGTGTCGTTAGATGCGCTGGTGTTGAGTGAAAAGAATAACAACACTCTGTACATTTATGCTGACAATATCATAACATACTTTTTTTAGGAAACCCTAATTCGATTTGCTGAAGCGCTGAGGTCCAACACACACGTCAGGGTCTTTAGCGTTGCGAACACCCGAGCCGACGACGCTGTGGCGCTGGCCATCGCCAAGATGCTGAGGGAAAACTCTTCCATCACCAGCTTCAACATAGAGTCCAACTACGTGAGTGGAAAGGGCGTCATGGCGATGGTTCAAGCCCTCCCCGGAAACAACACCCTGACGGAGCTCCGGTTCCACAATCAGCGGCACATGTGCGGAGGACAGGTGAGTTCTTCCTTTCTCACCTGCCACGTTGTCTTTCCCGTCTGACGGTATAACAACGTCCCCTCCCCCTCCAGGTGGAGATGGAGATGGTGAAGATACTGAGGGAAAACCACACCTTGATCAAGTTGGGCTACCAGTTCAACCTGCCCGGTCCCAGGATGAGCATGACGGGGATCCTCACCAGGAACCAGGACCGCCAGAGGCAGAAACGGCTACAAGAGCAGAGGCAGCAGCAGGGCCAACAGGGGGCGCCAGAGGGGGCGGTTAACCCCCGAACCACTGCGCTGGTATGTGACTTTGCTCCCCTTCGTCTAATAAAACGGTACTATTCTTCCATTGGTCCGGCCCCACAGGGCCGACAGTGGCAGTCTGCTTCTCTTTTTGAAACTCCATTACTGGTTTTAAAGTCCCTAATAGTCTTCTGTGCACTCGTCATGATCCATTTTTTTCCCCTCGCGATTCCTAGAAAGCAACACCTCGTTCATCACCTTACAGCTCACCCAGAGCCTCTCCTTGGTCCTCACCCAAACTCCCCAGGAGCGACCTGGCTAAAAAACAGACTCCTCCCGCCCCACCGCCTCCTCCTCCACCACCACCACCTCCTCCACCCCCACCTCCTCCACCACCGCCTGCCTCGCAGCGGGGGGAGAAGAAGAAGCCCACCAGGATGATCGCGGAGGTCATCAGGGCGCACGAGGCGGGCAGCAAGAAGGTGAGGAAGACGAAAGGTAAGAAGGGCAAGAAGACGGGGAAGGAGACGGGGAAGGAAGAGACGAGCAGCATCCTGAGGGAGCTGAAGAACGCGCTGAGGCCCGTGTCGGCGGAGAGGAGGAGGGCGGGAGAGGAGGGCAGCAGGCCGTCTACGCCCGGCAGGTCGTCCCACGACCAGCTGATGGAGTCCATCCGCAACAGCAGTAGCCGCACACTGAAACGGGTGAGTCCTAAAGGGACGTTTTAAATGATGCTTGTAATCTGATGATCAAAATATGCAGTTTTGTTTCATATATCTTGACGACTACTACTGTCAGATTGAAGCTGAGTTATTCAGAGGTAAAACATTCACAATGGCAACAAGTGCCTCCGGCAAACTGAACAAGAGGGAGGTTTGATTTAAATGAGGATGACACAGAGTCAGGGGTGTCTGAGTCATGCTATGGTCCGTTTCTACACTGGGGTAGCGGGACAACGCGGGAAAGAGGCTGCGCACCACCTGCCAGCACTGTGGCAATAACACAATGAGTTATCAGAGAGAGATACACAAAAGCCGATATATAAATAATGAAAAGCATCCAAGCCTAGCTACGCTTGTCTCGAAGATGAAGATAAACAAGGGATATTGAAACAAAGGGAACAAGACAAAAGCATCCTGGGTTTTCTCTTAGTTCTCTTTAAGCGCTGTGTTACTTTTACTGTGAAGGAAATGAATACATAAGAACAGAGTTCTTTTGCATTCTTGGAATGAAGTAGTACCTCAGCAGAAGCTTTAGCACAGCTTCTAACATCGCTTGAGTGGAAAATCATTGCTGCCCTCAGATGGCGGGGTGCCCTCGCTGTGAAATTCCTGCCACTTAGTGGAGGTATTTATAGAAACTGTCTAGTGGAGCTTCGATAACGACAGATATGACACGTGGTTACCAGAGCGCGCACACACATCCAACAAAAACAGCCCTACCAACTAGTAGGTTGTAACTTTAAAAACACCTTTAACACCGTCATGTCCTTTTCATTGCCTGTGTTGCGACGATGCTCATTTTCCAGGTGGAGGTCCCGCATCATCTACGATAATGAAAGCAGACATAAAACGGGTCTACTTGTTGCCATGGCAATGGAAGAGTCCGCGTGACGACGAAGCTCGAGTGGTCAAAGCGCAGCACGAGAACACGTTGGGATTGCAGAGGAGCCAGAAACTGGATTCTGAATCGTGAAAAAGAAAATCTACGGGAGATTTGCACACATATTTATGCATAATTGGAAATGGTATTTGTATATTCATTTTGCAATTAGTTGAATACACTCGTATGTTTTGTAATACACTATTTTCTTGTAAAATTGTAAATATGATGGGTTGTTGGTTGACTTATGTGTTCATTTCTAAATATAGCCATTTGGTGTTTACAATACTCAACGGTGTACGTGGACTATGTTTGGCCTCTTTGGTTTCTGGATGATTTCCATTTAAAGAGAAAAGGGTCGAGCTGTTGTGCAGCAGTGTGTTTTTTCTCATCAGTGCCTCATCTTACTGGTCAAGTGTCACTGATGCATAGAGCCACTCACAATGCGCCCACGGCAGTCACCGCGCAATACAGCCTTTGGCGCACTTTGTCTGAACAATTCACAATGCATGACAAGTGAAGGGGGAGGACTAGACACCCACTACTAGTACCACTGACATCACAGAGGAGACACCAACTTGAAACAGAAAACACACACACAAGATCAAATAAGACTTTAAACCACGGCCACTGCTGCAGCAGATTAAAATAGCGTGGAGTGATTTTGCACTGTAATCTATTTTTATTAGATGGACAAGACCAGAGAAACAAAAAGATTTTGCCAATTAAGAAATGGGGACACTCGGTCCAGAGACCCATTGACATTATAGAGAGGGGCGAGGGGACAGACTGGGGAGGAGAGACAGAGAGCACGGTCGGGGACGCCCACATTGAGAAACATACTAATTACTACTCATAGTTTTTGGGTGAGGTCCCATGTAAAAGGCACAAGGAAGAAGGCGGGCAGTACTGTGGATATGAGATGGTGTACTGCTTCATATTAAGATGAAAATCCAACCGTAAACAAGACACAGCTGAGTTAAGCTCCCCCAAATGTAGTACACACTCATCAGCCCTGCCGAGTCAAGCAGCTCAGCATGCAAGATGCATTCCTTAGAACAAGTGTCCTGAGAATGAGGCTTCCTACTCGAGCACTGCACTTTGTCACATCTGTCAGACGGTCAATGGGGGACCCTCCCAGAAGATCCTTTCATTCAACGGAGGGACGTTTCCGCTCGTAAATGAGGCCTCTGCATCACGCTCACACGGAAATTAGATTGTGGAACGAGGTTTTGATGATAACAAACAAATGTCAACAAGTTAACACACGTTCCTTTAACACCGACCTACAGTAAATGCTACAGCTCCTCAATCGCAGCTCTCACGCCCTTTGACCTTTACATTCCTCCCCAATGGATGCGTGCTTTGTTACCGATTCACAATATATTCCAGTGCTAATTTTAAAATGACTACAGATCCTATAATGTGATATAATCTATCATACATAAACAGGGCAATTTTGCAATTAATTGACTAATTTTCTACTTAGCTTAAGGACACCTGGCTAAATCGTTAAAGAAACAATATTTTTTTGTCAAATGCCCACAATTATTTAAGGTTTCTATGTGCGAGTGTAAAAGAAGGCATTTTTGCATTAAAGGTAATACAAATCCAACAACTTCCACAAACCGATGAGTAAACAATGAGTTTTTAGTAGTGGCGATTTCATTAATGCCTGTTTGAGTGCAGGTGGGTACCGTTTGTCTCGTTTGGCACTTCTATGGAAGTGAGCTACCACAAGTGGAAAGCGTCATACCTGCGGTTATCCCTCTCACAAAACTGATTCACGGCGTCAGCTGACCATCTGCTAAAAAATAAAACCGTGGAGACACGGAAATGTTGTTTATTGTATCATTATTGTGATGGTGGCAAGTCTTGTGGTGGCTTCTAAAAGGCTTCCAGGCTGCTTCCAGGCTGCCCCATGTTCCATGTCGAAGTGTCCCTGAGCAAGACACCTAACCCCTAATTGCTCCCCGGGCAAAAATGTGAAAAAGCCATGGGTTTAAAGTGTAATGTAAGTCGCTTTGGATAAAAGCGTCTGCTAAATGACCTGTAATGTAATGTAATGTAAAATGATTGTTGAGAGGAGGACGCGCTCATCTCATGTCTGTGCACACTCCCAAAGAGAAACACGGGTGTCCCGACTCCTTTCTACCCGACTCGGTGGATGGACTGGGAGCTGTAAAGGCTGTGATAATCCGCTGCTCAGCTGTTCCCAGATCTGTCAAACTTCCCCGCCTGTCTGTTCATTCCAGTTGACGAGGCCTGTGTTTGTCTCATACTCACGCACACAAGTTGGCAAACAGATGGCCATGTTGGGATTATAAACTTGACACACATAATTTTGCTCTCGCACACAAACGCCCGTGGACGTTAACTATCAGGATCGCAGTCTCTTTTTCTAAAACAAAAATAGCGAAAAGCTTTGGGAAGAAAATTAAAACAAGCTGTGAAGGTAGAACCCAAAACAAAAATATGTAAATATCAACCTTTTATTGGAGTGTACAATGTTCAATGTTGAATATTTGTCAAGCCTCATTGAGAAGGCTTGGCTTCCTCATTTACCAAATCCACTACAGAAGCTAACAGCGAAGACATGGCAAGGTTTCTCGACATTTGACAAGATGTCAGTTCTCAAACAAGTGGCAATTTGTCTCTCAAAGACAGAAATCCAACATTCCTCTTCTGCAACAGTGAAAACAAAAACAGCTCATTTTGTCAAGCCCTTCTTTTGTCTGGATATTAGTTACACCGAGGGTCAGACTTTTCTCTGTTAGCTCTCCTATTAGCCACAGCATGTTAGCCATTGTAGCATGCTAATAATTAGCCCGTGCGAAATGCTAACACGGCCGCCGGCGAGGGAACCTGGACAACCAGGCTTCGCGCTCGACGCCTCCAGGAGGAATTGACACAATTCCATTGTACAAATTGAAAGTAGAACAGAGTAGTGATAAAATGCCTAATCCACAATAACGTCATTATTATGTTAGTGTTAAATGTGGGGGTTCTGCAGCTGTTTTTGTCCTGGTATGCCCAGTTAGCATATGACGGCTAACGTTAGCTGACCTTTGATGGGTAAAAGGACAAACAAATATACATTTTCCCCATTTCTGGTTTGTAGTATTTTTCCACAAATGTCTCTGGTAGTAGCTACTCGTTGGTTGGCGAGCAAGCCATAAATACAGAGTCTCCAGATTAAGTAATAATGCCATAACTGCTGAAGCAGCTGCTTCAAGTAGAAACATTTTTGGTCAGACCTTAAGGGTTTAAAACACAACAGGACAAATCATGCCTCTGTAGTAGTGTCTGTCAAAAAGAAACAAATTTGGCCTTAAAAGTTCTGACCATTTGGTCTTTGTAGAGAGTAAATAACCAGTTATTTCAACTATTCCTATATTACACCTTAAGATTTACTAGTTAGTCAAGAACATGTCGATACTGGTCTGAACGATGCCATGGATCTAGTGTTTGTCCCTAAACTGTGTCTTAGTGTCTCCAACGGGACAAAAACTACTTTATCACCGCTGTTTTCTGTACAGTAACTTAGCATTTGGGCCCATTATAAGCAACAGGTGTGTTAAACTAAAATGTATTTATTACTGAAGCTTAACACGATGAATGACCTGATTCCCACACACAGACATTCATTAATACACGACTACTTGATATTGTAAAAAATAAAATAAAGATAAAAAGCAGTTTACACTGAAAACAAAACAAAAATTTACAACAGATAGACAGCCATAAAAATGTGGGCTACCTCCTTGTATGTGCTGTATGTAGTGTGGTTGGTTAACGGTTAAAAATGCTTAATGTCTGGTGCCTCGTTGCTGAAAGCATATTTATGTCCCATCATGATACACACCCTGAAAATGTCCTGTATTTATGCAGCGAGTCTCCTCTTTCAATCTGTGCAAAAATATAAGACTCATCTCAGCTAATTTACAGTCAACAGCAAATGATGCTATATATTCCAAAAAGAGCATTTTTCTTTTTCTTCGTCTCAGTTTTAAGAAAATATGAGTGCTAAACTAGGTTCATTTGAATAAGTAAAAATAAACTAGAGAGCAATAGGGTATGAAAATAGTTCAATTTTGTTTTCCTCCTGACAAACAATGAAGACACGATTGATGACTAAGTCATTGAAGAAAAGAAAAAAAGATTTAACGCTAAAGGTTCAAGAGACACTTCGATGTGAAATTGTACACATTCATCTGTGAAATTGGAACATGAGAGAGTGACAGTGAGGGAACATGAGTGATGATCTGAAAGATGGCGGAGTGACAGATGGAGGCGAGGGAAGGTGGGAGGACGAGAAAGAAATGCAGATCAATCAAAAAGGCCGAACACCGTCGAAATGAGACATATTGCTATCAAAAGACAAGATGGAGGTGACACAGGAGAGACAGACGTGACGGAGACAAAGAAACGGCTGTCTCACATATGAGATTGACAAACATCTACAGACTAAATGAGGTATTGCACAGATTGAGAAAAAAAAGGCATAAAGGCAACAAACATATACAGCAAATTGATGGAACATTTCATTTAGAATTTTTGAAATGAAATATTTCTTTATAGAGAGACGAATCATCTTAGTGTCATAATCATCCAGGGGTTTGAGAGGGCAGAGAAAAAACCCAAAACAATTATTGCTAGTCTTCCCATTCATCATCATCCTCAAAGTCCTCATCATCGTCATCATTATCGTCCTCATCTGTAGAAGAGATGCACATGAAGAATATCAAAAACAGCAAAAATAATACGACATAATAATATATAATAATACAAAATAGCTAACTAATTACCGTATTAGCAATAAAGCAATATCCATTTCCAAAACGCTTACTTCTCTAGATTAAGTTTGAAATTATGAATTGTAGCATGAATGTCTATAGTTTTTTCCCCTCTGTTCAACAGTTAACTTTAACGCTCTGTGAATCAAGGGAAGAACCCTTTCCTCCTCAGACTCAAAATAGAAAAAAAAAGAAACCACAGGGTTGTTGAGGAGGAAGAATAAACGTCTCCATTTAAAAAACACTTTTGATTAACGCGCCAGCATAAATGATGACTTTTACATTACAGGCCAGCCCTGCGGTTCCCAGCGCACCCTCTCTCTCTACTACCCACCCTCTCTACTTCCACCGTGCATGACAGGAAGATCGTATTTCATATTTCAGGACGAAGTAGATGCTGAATGTTTCGTACCTGAAGAATGAATGGCCTTGCTCCGTTTCTGCATCACCTCCATCAGGGCCCCCACGATGCCTGCAGACGCGGCCGCGGGGGAAGGGGTTGAATCTGTATTGTCGTCCCTCTGCAGAGAAATACCAGCGTGAGTTAAAGCAAAGGGTTAAGATGAGCACATTTCTGATGGGGCGCGTGTGACGAATGTCTACGGACCGCTTTGAGTTTGGTTCCTTGTCGGATTTGGTCGAGGAGGGCGTCCCTGCCCGTGCCGGTGGACGTCGGCCTCTCTTTCGGCTCCACCTTCTTCAGGTTGGCGCCTTCTCGGATCTGACTCAGCAGCGCCCCCGGGCTGATTGAGGGCGGACCGCCGTCCCCTCCGTTAGCCTGTGGGGGCAGCATGGGGCCAGGGGGCGGAGGCCAGGAGGGGGTGGAGGAGGAGGGGGGGGAGGCGGGGCTCTCTGCGCTGGATGGATTTGAAAATGAGGGAGGAGGAGGTGGCGGGGGAGGCGCTCACTGAAATTGAGGCATGGGCTGGCGGAGGGGGCGGCGGGAGGGAGCTGCGGCTGGGCGGGGGAGGCGGAGCGGACATGCCCGGTCCATATGGAAGGGGAGGAGGGGGCGCAGAGATAGGAGCTCTGGAGGGGGGAGGAGGTGGCGGGGCACCTCGGCCCCTGGCTGGAGGCGGGGGCGGTGGGGCAGAGCTGTGGTGTGGGGGTGGGGGAGGAGGGCCGCCTCTGGATGGAGGGGGCGGAGGAGCTGGAGAGAGAGAAAATAATTAATTAAGAGAGCAAAGATGGAATCTTCACTGCGGAGTTCCCACTGCAGCCTCGACAAACATCCAGAATTCATTCCACGTGTTTTATCCAAAGGAACGGCTTCACGAGAGGACGGACCGAATGTCTGGATGTTCACAAAGGAATTCAAAGCACATCAGTCAAACATCTGCATAAATCTGCAAAAATCTTCTCGGCGAATCGGTCAAAACTCATAATCTCAGTTCTTGTTGGTGTCGAAGCATCATGCAGTTATGCAATCAAACCACCGGGGGCAGCCTTCTACCATTCAACTCGAAAGCTGAGTTTTAGTCTCTTCAGAAGATAAAGACAAAAATTCAAATCTTATTCGAACACGAGTAAAAGAGCAAACACTGAACTGAAAAAAAGTCACGTTATAGTCGAATTGTCATGTTGTATTACAGTGCGACTTTGCATGCACGGCTCATGCACAGAAACCTACCGATCCACCTGGGCGGACCTGGGGATAAAACCATCACACCAATTAAATTTATAGTCACCTTTTAAAAGTCTAGCAAAAAGCCAGAATAGTAAAGTCAACTGTGGACCTTTCCAAGCTAAAGTTTTGGATGTTATCTTTTTTTATTTAGACGATTCATTCTTTTGTCCAAAGAAAATAATGTGATAAATCCTTTGCTTCCTCCATTACTCTAGGCTATTACCAAATGCCTCACCTTCTCTCCGCAGCTCGTTTTTGACAGCTTCTACGCCTCCTTTCTTCTCGATGAAGTCATAGATCGCCCTCGAGGTCTCCTTGTCCTTCAGCTGAGCCTCCGAGATGCCGCACATATCAAACAGAGACTTCAGCTCCGGGTCCAAGTTATTCAACTGGAGAAAGAAAACGCTTGGGTTTATTATCCTAAAAAAGGTTGTGATTTCATTAAATAAGGGACATTTAACTTTTTTACATTTAATTTAATGATTATTCTCATTGGGCTGTTGTCCATTCGGGGAAGGTTAGCCATGTAAGAAGTAACTTTTTTTTCTTCTTCATAATCATTTATGATACCACACTCTCCTTTTTAAAGACTTTGGGGCATGAGGACGGCTTGAAATGAGACCATAATATTAGTGATTATTCTGCCACCTAGTGGTGTGGAGTGACATTTCAAAGGAGATAGTTAAAACGTTTATCAACCCAAATATGAATAAAAAGATGGAAAAAGCTTGGCCAAAGGGTTTCTGATTATTATAAAGAACTATATAAGAAAAGTTTCCCCTTCAACTGTCGGAAGAGGAATAGAAATAATACAGCATACTGGTTATTTAACTATACATCGGTGAGATTATGACACTCGCCTTTATTTTTTGCCACAGTACTTATAGTACTGCTTATATCTATTGTTACCACCATGAACTAAAGTGGACCTCACATGTGAGTGTGGTGTTACACTACACTTTGGTGGGTTATAACGTTATCTGCAGTATCTGTGGAGTAAAGAACAATGAGAAACTGGAAAGACTATAAAATACATCCCCTGGACATTTTAGAATCCCATCATCGGTGCTCCAGATCCAAGCCTGAGGATTTTAAAGGTGAGCAAGCCTCATAGAACCGACGTCACCATCTCAAATGAGTCCTGGAAAGCATTCATTTAAGAAACCAAACCACCTGAATTTCATCTTTTTCATTAGCCAGCAGAGTAAGTCCCTTGACCCGCATGATCTCATCCTAATCATCCAGTCCATCATAAAGATTTATGATGCTTTTTTGGGAACGGGTCCATGGATTATGCAAATTAGGGTTCATTCACTTCCCTCCTAAATCACCTTGTGTAACGTTCCTGATGACTTGAGCATTCACAGCTCTGCTCAATATTATGGAGCTGATATAAAAGTAATTTACAAGGTGAGATTATTCTAGATTAACAAAGTGCCATGTTTTAAGAATATCGAGAGGTCACCGAAAAAACAAGGCATTCTTGATTGTACTTACATCAAAACCTGTATTTGGATCCCATCCTACGTGCCCGACGTGCCTGTGAGAGGAGCCAAAAAGAGGTCATGTGAGATCACATGTCATATAAAAGTAAAACAAATAAAAGGAGTAAGCGGAACAGAAATGCATTGTAAGTAACACAAAAGCTGAGGTTCAATAAACAGCTTTAAAAAAAAATGTTTAACCAAGATGGCCCACCTGCAAACTGCAGAATCTCCCAGAAAACTATGAGAGCTACCACCGATTATTCCTGGACGCACAATACAGATTTCCCAGCGTCACCAATCCCACTCCACATTCTCTCTAAGATTATAATTCTCAATAAAACAGCCCGGATTAATATGGCCGAGAGGGAGACTGCGTCAACGTCTACATGACCTCAGAGATCCACAGTCATGCAGCGTTTGCATGTACACAAACATTTACTCTGGATTTGTATCTCGATCCGCATGGACTCACGTCCCAGGAGTACATACAAACCGCTCGGATCGTAAAGGATGAACCCTTCAAGCGAGAACCGGCACCGCCGGTCAGGTCGGTTCATTGTATAGTGCCGCCCTGTGACCAGGTCCCCCACGTCCGTCACCTGAGCTCAGCCTCCCCCACCCCCCCAGAAGAGGCCTGTGCCGACTCACTGGAAGTTGCTCGGTGTGCCGATGTCCGCCTTGGTGAGCCTCTTCTTCTTCGCCTTGCCCTTTTTCTCCCTCTTCTGGAAGGACGAGTGCACGATGTTGTTCACCTGAGAGTTGTGGAAACGTTGCGCATTGCTGATCTCTGGGCTTTTGATGTCGACCGTCGCCATGGGCAACGTCGGGCCTGAAATGTGCACAGAGACGACCAAGTTAGAATAATACAGCACTGCATGGAACCGAACATAATCTAAACTTCCACAAGATCTCAAGGAGCAAGAGGACATTATAAATGTTCAACACTTATATACATATAATATTGTTGTCATATTGAAGGGCTACAAATGACATGTGTGGCACATGTGAAGACGCTGACACGCTATCGGTTGAAAACGTCATGAGAAAAAAAAAAAAAGAACTCGGGTCCTTGTTATTCAGATTTGTAAGCCGTTATTAGACTTTTGGCACGGAGACGTCTCACTTTTTGAAAATGGAATACGTGGAATTGTATCATCATCTTATTACTTCAGGTTAAATACGGAGAAGATACTAAACACCACAGGTCTTTCAGGGATAAATGTACGTATGTATTGTAAAACCTGTTTCGTCAGTTCTGTGAGCGTTGTGCACATCTCAATTAACCATCCAAATTGTCAGAAATGTAAATGCATTGTCTTCAACCTGTATTTAACCTGCCACTCATCAAGATTGTCAAGGTGAGGCCTAAGTTTGCTAACCAACAACATCAAGGGAAAGTAGAAACCAAAATGACAGGATGTCTGGGTAACAAATAAAAAATAAAAAAACAGGTCTACTAAATCCTATTCTCCCAACACACAGGCAGCCAAACAGCGTTGACTTCAGATGGGACGAGGAGCGGTACCGGTGCCTCAGCGGCAGCACGTACCTTTAACACTTTCCCTACAGGGACTTTGGGGCGCTTTGCTCGGCGAGGGCGAGGCCGACCGGCTGCGCCGCCTCCTCACCCGGTCCCAGATGCACCCGCCGTCTCTCGCCCCGCAGGCGCTCGCATTGATGCCGAGAAGCATCCTGCTGACCAGGTTGTGAGCGTGCTCCACGGGGGACACGGCGAGCTGGCAGGGCGGCTCGGCGAGAGACGGGTACGTTTCGTCCTGAGGCAGAACCAGGCAGTGTAAAGAGGACAGGCATCCCGCGGGGCTCAAACCTCCGACCCCTGCGGCTGCTGCTCCTCCATTGCCGTCACAATTAAGGTCCTCGGAGGGAGCAGACAGGAAGGTGGTGCAGAACATCATCGCAGCAGCTGACTGGGCAATGAGCACTACGGCAAGCACCAACTAAAAGGTGGAGGCGCCAGGGGACGAGGTCCTGGAACCTGTATTTGGATGCGGACTCAGAAAACAGCCTCGCTTATGTGTGTCTCTTCTGAGTCAACGGAGAAACGTGGCGTGTTGGAAGCACCGCATCCAGGGGGGGTGGAGTCCCGACACAACACAACTCTAAGCAGGTAGAAAGAGAAATCCTCCTGGTTGTCCAGTTCCCGGCCAGTAAAAAGGCTTTCCTCAAGACGATCCCCAAAAGGTTTCCAAAAGCCAGACGGCGGCGCGGAGGAAGAGCCCGGTGACGGCGCACTTACTGAACTGGCGGCTTTGTCCCACATCCGGCGGGGGAGACGGACACGCTGCGCAAGCCGCGGACATCCAGTGACGCCATTGCGAGAAGACACAGCCGACACTTAGCCGGGCCAAAGAGTTTACCGCTCCGCTCACATTCCTTCCATCACACCAGCAGTTTCCTTCTGTGCAAATCGCTCACCATATTTTGCTTTATCCGCCGGTCTGAGCTCTGCATAGTTTCTACCCGTTTTTTTTTTTGCAATCATCCCCTCAGCCGCTCTCCATCACAGCAGGGCGCAGTCAGATTATCTCGCACGGCGTGGCTCCCTCCACCCCCCCCACTGAACATCTCTCCACCCACCTACACTACCATCTCCTCCCCATCCCGGCACAAAACAACAAAAAATACACACCCATGGATCAAATCCCAGCGAATCATTCTGGATTTAGTGCTGGATTTTTTCTTTTTTTTACGTAACCATTAAAGCCCATCAATGCATAATCCCACGGTAAGCTGCAGGGTTTCTAAAAACATGATGAAGACAAGAAGGAGGCGGAGCCACAAAAAAACGGGGCGAAACCATAGGGCGCCAGAATAATATCTGAATCTGGTCCCAAAGGGGTTACCCGTAGACCTGTGAGTTACGTGGTGGTTGACGTCATGCATGACATCTGACCACGTGTGACCCACAGGAAAAGCATCAACAGGGTCAGTGACGTGAAGTTGCTTTGAATACAAAAATGTGTCAAACGTGTCATCCGCACACACGAGAGAGCTGGATTAAGTGATGCCGTTTTTCAGTCCAGAGCTGCCGCTAAACGTGCCACAAATGTGTGCACATCCACGGACGCCGAGTCCTCCGCCTACCGGCCGATGGTCAGACACGTAGTTCAGCACGAAGACTCCACTTCACGCAGAAATAGATTTTAAAATGCCAAAACAATCTTGTGCTTTCTTTTCCTCCAACAACTCCAGCTGGTTTCTCAATCCGGCATTAGAGGAAGCGATGTGCAGCGGAAGGTCGTCGAATGACGTTTTTACCTTGCCAAGTTTAACCCAATCTACGATCAGCAAGGAGCAGCTTCTCCATTTTGTTTGTGCATTGCGGGACGATAAAATAAAGTGTGTGTGTGCTGCCGGTTTTGTTACAGTTAGTATGCCGTTTGGAAATGGGACACGGCTGATTGGGGAAAGAATACAGCTGTTGATTTGAGACGACAAAAAGGTACCAGATCTTTAATGCCATCTGTTTCCAGGGCACAGTCATTTCCCCCTAAAGTTGCCAATGGCGTCTCTGGCTTCTGTGATGTTCTGAAGCAGTCTAAAGGAAAAAAAAACAGTGGAAAACGTACCATTTGGAGGGTCGCGTCTCTTCTCTGTGAACACACAGACAAATGCAATCGTTACAATGCGATGTGGCGGGCGGCGGCGGGTCGTTAGTGAGAAGCGGGTGTTGAGCGAGTCGGAGAGAGGAAGGGGACGGGGTGTCGGTTCGGCGTGAGCAGAATACAGAGTTATTCGGAAAGAGTGTTTTGGTGAGCGCGTTTAAAGGACGTTAGTTCTTTTACACCCACACGATAAAGAAGGAGGATTGAGATTTGCACTCGCTGAGGGTCAAAGAGAAGACACCGTGTCGATAAGATTAAGCGCCCCATGCGGAGGGCTGAAGGAAAGGATAGGTGAAAGAATGATCCCACTGGAAATGACCCGAAGAAGAAGAAGAAGAAACACGGTGGGAATCAAGCGAGGATGAAGATTTAGGACTGAGGGCCACTAACTGATTAAAGGCTAAATGCTAGATCAGAGCAGCTTAGTGATGTGTTTTCAAATACAGCATAATGAAAAACATCCACTACTGCTTCGTTTAGATGGATAGATTTATAGTGTATCAGGCCAGAAATACATTTTCTTAGATTGCCTCTAAGCGCCATAATCTAAATTGTTGGTGCAGGATGGAAAAAAAATGAAAAAACTGTACATGACACTGCAATGCCTACGCCCCCCCCCCCCCCCCCCCCAGTGTGGAGTGTTCATTCATTAATCGGTCTCCGTTTGAGAAAACTCGTCCATAGTTAAACCAAACCTCCACCAAAGTCTGGCCAGAATTCACTGTAGCGCGGAAGCATCACCTGCTGAATTTATGTTTAATGCCTAGTTCTGTGTGTTTGAGCATTTTCTTTTCAAAATGACATGTTTAGAAAATGTAACTTGTGCTCAAACTAATTTCACCTCTTAAAAAAAAGGCACACAAAGAAAAGCCAACAACATCGATCAATCGTCTGTTGCTGCATGTTATCTTGAACCTTTCTGCATCGCTGTTATTATCATTTTGAACGCAAGATCTGAATTTGCCAAACATGTCATGTTTTTCGGTCAGCGGGTCGGTGTGGAGGCAAGTGGGCAGCAGCAGGAAGTCAGTACCAGATTTCCTCTGTCTTTTCCCCAGGAGGTCAATCACGTGGCCGTGGAAACGCTTGGCCTCCTCCTCGTGGGCAAAGTTCAGACCCACTTGGTACGCCTGTAAACACACACACACAACAGAACAAAAAAAAAAAAATTCATTTCATCATCAAAACACATTTGTTATGTCACACGATGTCCTGTTAAGGGCCAACTGGCTCCCTAAACGTCCTCACTTCCATCATCACAACTGGCCTTCCCGCATACCTCACGGTCTGCTGGAGTCTGAGCCGCTGTTTGGCCCCCAAATGAAAACATCGTTTCACAAAAAGTGCTTCAGATGGTCCATTCAATTGGCTTTCTAGAAATAGTTTAGTTGGAGGCGGTAGGATGCGAACAGACTCGTCTTTTGGTGGCCGATGCTGGAAGTTGACTCACGGGTGCTTCTCTTTCTTCTCTTTCTGGATTTGTTTCATGGATAATATAAGGTCTTAAGACTGTTTGGTTGAACAAAATTCTCTCCCTAAATCAACACACGTTCTGTTATGCTGAGAAGTGGCTCTACTTTGAAATATGAATATGAAATACAGTGTTTCCCCGACCATTGAACAAGGGGGACGACCCCCCCAGAAAGTCTGGAAAACGGCCGTTTCTACAACTGTCCCTCCTCGCCGCGCACGGCAGTTCCACAGACACGCGTGTGCATAGCAGGCCGAGAGCCGAGATCTATGAATCTGAAATCAAAAATGTACCTGCTCCCTGACCCCCCCACATCCCTCCTCCTGCCACATCACCTTATCTAAATAGAAACAACAAAAAAAAAAAAGTACTTGTGACCACATTTGAATACTGAGGAAGAGGGGAAACTCACATCTCCAGCAAATGTGATGAAGTACGCTTTGGTGGGGTTGATGTTGAAGTTGTTGTACAGCTCCTGTTCAAACAAGATCTTCCCATCCTGGGGAGAGGACACACAGAACGAAGCCCGGTGAAGGAGTAGGAAGCGGCGAAGCGCTACGGGTCTTAAATGAAAAGTCCCACAGTCTTCGCTGCTGGTTATGAATATCAAGCGGCGGTGCACCTCGGGTCCCGTCGTCAGCGGGGAGGAGCCACAGCGGCGTCCTTACCTTGATGTCCAGCACCCTGATGAAGTAGGATCGCAGTGGGTTGTCTTTGATCAGACATGCCACCCCGCAGCATCTCTTGTTCCAGCTGGAGTTCCTCTCTGCCGTGAACACCTGGACCACTGCAGCGGATAATGACTGGAGGGGGGGGGGCAGAGGGGGGGCACAAGTTTATCCTGTGTCTTCGTGTCACGTTAAATGGATCTAAATAGTAATGGAATTTAAAAAAAAAGGTAGCTCACAAGGGCAAAGACTCAGTGAGCTAAAGCTAAATTGAGCTGTGCCCACATGTTCTCGTGCTAAACTGCCTGAGCCAATGTTTTATAACACACACACACACACACGTATGTGAAACTGAGGAGCAAAGCCTGAGGCTAAACTACACACACCGTCACAGAAGGGCACACCTGTAGCGCACACCACACACACACACGACAAAACCAGCCCCCCCCCACTGGTTTTACAGGTTCCTGCCGGGGGTCTCTCACACCGAGGGGTCCCGGCTCACAGTCATTACCACAAAGATGAAAGCCACGGCACTGGGAAGGGAAAAGCCTGGAGGTCTTTGGGGCCTTTTTTCGACGTGATGCCTCCAGGAATAACGGCACACTTGCAGACTGCAGGGGAGGCCTCGTGTTGTGCGTTTGTAATCTGGGGTTGTGTAAGTGTAGTGACGGGTATCGTTAGTAATTTACAGATACGGCTCATCGGTTCCTTTCAGTCTTACCTATATGAATGTGACGGTTAAATGAAGCCGAAAATATATTTTGAAGAGGTGTTTTCTGGAGTTACCTTTCAGTTTTGTCTGTTTTCATCTTGCTCGTTTCTGTTCAAGACGTCAACAGTAGAGCTTCAATTAAACATCAATAACCTGTCCTTGTCCTAATATTGCTACTGTGTTTGCCTGCAGTAGGAAATATGAATGTGCAAACTTGTAGCATGCCCAGGGCTTATGATATTCCAGCCAGCTTAGTTACATTAAGCTCCACCCCGATAGTTCCGGGATCATCTGAAGGAGCGAAGGGACTAACAATCCAGGAAAATACATTTCAGGTAATAAGGTTAAAGATGCTCACATTTTGTTTTGGAAAACTTCTTTCAGGTAAAAGTGATGACGTCTACGACAGCTTTCTTTCTCCCTCTCCTCCCTCCACCCCCCCAACATCCCCAGGACCTCTGTGTCCGACTTAAGCATGAACAGATGCTTCCATGATTCCACGTAGAGAACATTCATCCGAAATAATTCCCTCTCGAAAGCAGCATTGCAGCTCTTGATCGTGTGGATTTGGATGTCTAAATACTAAAAAGCACATCAAGAGACTCATAAAAATACCGTTGTGTGACGGCCTCGCTTTGGCACAGCGACCGGGGCGTGGGTGGGCGGGGGGCTCCTCTCCACGTGGAGCGCTGATTGCCCCCGACAGGGCCAAAGGCTCCAGGAAGCAGAGCGCTGTCTATGACGTCATCGTAGAACAATTTTTTTTATTTTTATAAGCACTCGCTCCCTCATGCTCCCGCTCTCTCTCGCTCTCTCTCTCTCTCACGGACTTCTGTTCCTACATCTCTCTGCTACTACAACGACGCACCTGAACGGCACATCGCCATGGAGATTAGTCGGCAACGCGCAACATCGGATGCGTTTGATTTTTTTAGTTTCTTTATAATTACGCCAACATCAGCCTTCCTACCCTCCTTCTTTAGGAGCCCTTGCTCGGACAACACCCACTGTGATTTTGATCTCAACTAGAGACAAGATCTGTCCCCAGACGTGTAAACATCTGTCAAAGTACTGAAAGTAGCTTCTGTGGGAGTTCCTGCTACATTGGCCGTCCACAGGACAACACAAGCAACACACACACACTGTGCCGGGTTCGAATAATCACACCTAGTGTTGCAATTTCTGTCTCCAGGTTTTGTTCGGGAAGAAACAGGAGGAGCTGCTGATGTGGAGAGGCAGCGTAGGAAAGAAGAAAGGGACGTGATGAACGGTGGAAAAAGAAAAAACAGAACTAAAAAAGGAAGACTGGGATTTGAGGAAGCGCTAAAGGAGGAAGATGAATGAAAAATGGGGCATCGGGGCAGATGATGACATAAAAAAGGAGAAAGGAAGGAGAAACGCTGTACAAAGCGATGGCGAAAAGGAGTCATGTTCCACTTCTCCAGCACAAATCACCAGAGGAGGCCGACCACGGGACTTCCTGTAGGACAGGACCGCTGATCAGGCAGTCTGCACGCTCACACACACACACACACACACACACACACACACACTTGGACCCATTCCACCTCTTGCCCAGTGAGACAGCGTTGCTGATGGTGAAAACAGCAGAAGGAATACCAATGAGCGAAACCAATGAGTAAGACCACTGTGTGTGTACCTGTAAGAGTATTGCTGTGTGTGCGTCTAGTGAAGCCAAAAGCAGGTTGGAATACTTGTAATTCCTAACATATGAACCAAGTAGTGGGATAATACGAGGCCATCACAGCGGTTACACATTGACAGGAATAAGTCTTGCCACTTTCAACTGTCTCGGCAAACATGGTGACAGTAAATGTCATGAGCACTACGTACACATTTTTTGCAAAAACTTCCGAATGGGCTGGACTTTAGCGAAGTCACAAAAAATTAAAACATCAAAATGTAAAAAGAACATTCATCATTTCATCAAAGATTCGCCATGTGGTCGGGGAAGAAATAGCGGTGGGGCAATCTTGTTTTTATGTTATAAGAAGACAAAAAGCGACACCAGAAGCAATCTAGTGCAAACAAAGATTCCCTTTTGCATCACTTTGTTTCAATTATTTGACAGCACAGAGTCTAATTCGGCCAACTAATGGCTGTGTATCTTGGTGAGAAGACAGTAAAGACAAATAAAAGTAAAAGGTGCTCGAGGTTCTCACATTTTCCACACAATAATTGCATTACATAAAAAGGCACAAATCACTCAGTCAGCCACTAATTCACTCATTATGCTGCCACACACACACACACACACACACACACACACACACACACACACACACACACACACACACACACACACACACACACACACACACACTGCCTCTTTCCAAAACTCTCTCTGCATGCAAGGACGCGTACAAACACACAAGAGCGTAGGACTGGGAGGAATGTTGCCATCCTGTGTCACATGGCGAATGACACAACAGCCTAGAAATGCCCGAGGAAGGACGTCACTGGACTATTTATAAAAAAAATGTTTTTTTAAAAGGGGGTCATATAGGTGTAGTCGGACACGCCACAGGAACCTGCTGCAAAGCGGCAGGCGGGAGATCCCCATCCCCACCGTGGTGACCCCGTACGGGGCCTGGCGTGCCACGTCCCGGGGGACAGGAAATGTAGCTTCTCCAAAAGCAAACACACACAAAAAAAAAAAAGAGCGAGGGACCACATGACTGATCCACTGGACTGAGGAGCTGGGTGCAGTGGACACAAAGACGACCAGCTGTTTCTCTGACACCTTTACTGAACGCTTTGAAAGGAGGACAGTATGGTCAATATGAGGAAGTGACCCGAAAACAAAATCAAAGTCTACACAAATCTGAAGTGTAGAACTGGATCAATCTGATCCGTGACTTTATAACATCTCTAATCTGAAGGCGAACATTAACAGGTGAAGGGTGCAACATGCTTTCCAGCTGATAACACTTAGTGTCAATATGAATACTGAGTAACTACACACGGGAGAATAACACAATTTTCTGACATTTTCAACAAAGGGTGTATGTTGTTTAGAATATTCTCACTCAGACATCAAAAAGCAAAACATGTCGTGGTGCTTGATGCCCGAGTGTCATACAATCTAGCTATGTGCACAGAAACGAAAATGAGTCAGCTGGATGCTGCACGTGTGACGCAATATTAGACGAAACTGAGTCGTGACGGTGCAGTTCCGGACCGCAGTCACCAGGTATCATCGCCCCCCCCCCGCCCCAAGAGCAGTCAGGCTGGGGGGCGTCGGCGGGATTTGAACGATTTCCACGGTGGCTTCAGGTGTGTCATGGGTCAGGTGAGGGTCGCACCAGCGGAAACAGTAAGGGACAACTTGTCCCGAACGGGACGTTGAAGAAAGTCGACCTTACTGTCAAAACAAATCCCCCCCCCACACACACACACACACATACACACACACACACACACGTCCACTGCGATATCACAACATTAAACTAGAGGCCACAAACGCACCGTTACGCCTCCTAGCTGACGTCATTAAGACACACGGGTAAGGTCACGTTAGTTAGCTTTATTAGCTTCCCCCCAAATGTGATAGGAGAGACCGAAGGAAAGGAACAAACTTACGATGCATTTCCTTCCGAGGTGGTTGAAAAGGCATTCATTTTCCTGCGGTGTCAGTTGCATCGACCCGACATTTGCTTGCCGCCGTTGCGACGGGTGTCCGCTCATTATCGGGGATCGACGTGTTACGTGTGCACGGACGGTAACTCGTTATGGGAAATCCAACGAGGCACATAAACAATTCCTCGGTCATTCGTGGCCTCGCACCGACTCCCCCCCTCCTCCCCCCAGACCCCTTCACGTAGGTAGTTTGTGCCGGACGTCCGGGGATATCGGGGTGCCAAGAAACGCGCGCAACGTCCCAGTTCTCTTTTAAAAATGGTAAAAGACCGGGCGAAGGCGGAAAATGGCAAAAAAAGTTTACTGAGAAGTCCGTCTGCCTGGGAGCTCAGAGGAGCCAGTTCCATCCAACATGGCAGAGCCAGGACGAGTCCACTATTTGGGAATAGGGTTTTACACCTACCCCAGGTCTGTTCCACATAATTACCCAGAGCTAATTCTGCCACGGGGAATGGTAATAGTTCTTTCCTGGATATTTAAAAGTGCAGGTATATTTTGTTCAAAATTAAAATGAGGAAAAAGGCTAAATAAAATTACAGCTGTTAGCGTACTCCCCGTCGACATGGTTTGGTCCGTTTCGCTCCTCGTTTTTATGACAGGAATGTGAGTGCAGAATGGGAGGAGATAAGAAATAAGGTGCGAGTTGTGAACATAATGGAATATAATTCTCAATTTTAGAGGAATTGTTGAAAACTGAATAAGTGTGAACAAGGGAACCATGGAATGTGTCATTTCCCTCTGATGATAATAGTGCGCTACTTTATTCTTGACGTCAGAGAGGTCATGGTTCAGCTGCAGAGCTGATATCTATTTCCCAGAACAATAACAGTCCCTCGGACATTAAATAATTACCCTCGCCTGAATTTAAATGCTTCTGGGATGATACACATGTCTATTCCTTTCATAGCAACAAACTGTAAATGGATTATGAAAGGTGAAGTACGATTAAGCTTGCTCCAGTTACTATATATTGCCTCTGGGGTAACATATGCTTCAATGAGTAGATTTCAGTGTGTTTCTCCAGATTTTTGTTGATTGACTGAAACCACAAAATGAAACACCGCTTTCAGTAGTCTTTTCACATCAGAAATTATCATTTTTACAATGAGCACCGCTTAACCATCCAGCCAACTACACTTTTAGTAGTTGGCTGGCATACGCTCCTCCTTCTCAAACCCACCACCTACTTCTCGCGTCCCACCGACCTCACCTCTTTCGCCCTCACTTCCCTCTTTCACCGCCCTCTCTCCTAACCAAATTCTTACCCTAGTAACCTCTGCCCGTCCGACCACCTGCCCTCTTGACCCCATTCCATCACATCTTCTACAATCTATCGCACCTGACCTTCTTCCGTTCCTTACCTTTCTCATCAACAACGCTCTGTCATCTGGCTGTTTTCCCAATTCTCTGAAGGAGGCAAGAGTCAACCCTCTCCTGAAGAAACCCACCCTCAACCCTTCTGAAGAAAACAACTACAGACCGGTCTCTCTTCTTCCCTTCTTGTCCAAAACCCTTGAACGTGCTATCTTTAATCAACTCTCCTCTTATCTCCACTGTAACAACCTCCTTGACCCCCACCAGTCAGGTTTCAAGGCAGGCCACTCTACAGAGACTGCTCTCCTTGCTGTCTCTGAGCAACTCCACACTGCTAGAGCCGCCTCTCTCTCCTCTGTCCTCATCCTTCTGGACCTCTCCGCTGCATTTGACACAGTCAACCACCAGATCCTTATTTCCTCCCTTCAGGAACTTGGTGTCACAGGCTCTGCTCTCTCCCTTCTCTCGTCCTACCTCGATGGCCGCACCTACCGGGTAACCTGGCGAGGATCTGTGTCGGAACCGTGTCCTCTTACTACTGGAGTTCCTCAGGGTTCCGTGCTGGGTCCCCTCCTGTTTTCGCTTTACACCAACTCTCTTGGCGCTGTCATTCGCTCGCATGGCTTCTCTTACCACAGCTATGCCGATGACACCCAACTAATTCTCTCCTTCCCTCACTCGGACACCCAGGTGGCGGCTCGGATCTCTGCCTGTCTAACTGACATCTCTCAGTGGATGTCCGCCCACCATCTGAAAATCAACCCCGACAAGACTGAACTACTTCTCTTTCCCGGAAAAGACTCGCTTAACCAGGACCTGACAGTCAACTTTGGAAACTCTGTGCTAACGCCCACTTCGACTGCTAAGAACCTCGGCGTCACACTCGACAACCAACTCTCCCTGACTCCCAACATCACTGCGACAACGCGATCCTGTAGATACACGCTCTACAACATCAGGAGAATACGTCCCCTTCTCACTCAGAAGGCAGCGCAGGTACTGATTCAGGCTCTTGTCATCTCCCGCCTGGACTACTGCAACTCCCTCCTGGCAGGTCTCCCTGCCACCGCCATTCGACCTCTGCAGCTCATTCAGAATGCAGCAGCTCGACTGGTCTTCAACCTTCCGAAATTCTCCCACACTACTCCACTCCTCCGCTCTCTTCACTGGCTACCGGTGGCCGCCCGCATCCAGTTCAAGACACTGGTGCTCACGTACCATGCTGTGAATGGATCGGGTCCAGCTTACATCCAGGACATGGTCAAACCCTACATCCCAACCCGCACTCTCCGCTCTGCATCTGCAAAACTACTCGTCCCTCCCTCACTGAGAGCAAAACACTCAACTAGGTCTCGACTCTTCGCTGTCCTTGCGCCGAAATGGTGGAACGCGCTCTCTGAAGACATCAGGACCGCAGAGAGCCTTCACATCTTCCGCCGCAAACTAAAGACACACCTCTTCAGACTCTACCTCGACTAAAGACTAACAAATTGTAGCACTTAAATTGTACTTGTGACGTCACTCATCTATAGCCAATTGTAAATTCGCTTATTTGAGGAAATTGCACTTTCTTGTTTCTTGTTCTCCTGAGTTTGTACCCCTATGGTTGAATGCACTTATTGTACGTCGCTTTGGATAAAAGCGTCAGCTAAATGACATGTAATGTAATGTAATGTAATGTAATGTAATGAATAGGGGCAGCATCCATGATGGCTCATACACATTTTACTGCTGAAGGGTGCTTTTATTACTCATGCAACATGCTCAGGCTCATAAATGGGTGTTGTTTGCAGCAGTATTTGAGAGGTGGTTCAAGCAAAATAGTAGCCAAGACCGTCATAAAAAAATGAGGTATCAAAATGTGGTGCCTCCTTTTAAAACAACTTTATCATTACCATCCATCCATCCATCCATCCATCTTCACACCGCTTATCCTGGGGCTGGAGTCTATCCCAGCCAACTTCGGGCAATAGACGGGGTACACCCTGGACTGGTCGCCAGCCAATTGCAGGCTTCATCATTACCAGTATTCCTAAATGAAGTGACTCTGATTTCGTCATTTTGTCAATCAATGTCTTTGCATATAAACATGAACATATGTGTGTGTGCTTGCGTTTGTTTGTAATATGTATTCATGTATGACAGGAGAGTGTTTCAAAAACTAAAATTATTTCTCCTCTGCAAGCAACACCTGTCTTGAATGCACATGAGCCAATTTCAGCTTCCCATGATGAAAAGATCCCTCATCTCTGTACAGACGGTGGGTAAAATGGATGACAGACATACAGTATGTCTACACATTTAAGAGTGAAAGGGGTTTATTACTTTGTAAACAAAGGTGATAGGAAGGTTAGACTTTTTCATTGAGGGGCAGGCTGGTATTTGAGGGAAATGTGGATATATAGTACCCTCCTGCTCCTCCCTGCTTTTAGGAGTGCTGTGCACGCTCACGTCGACTCAGTTCAACTCTCTTCCACAGAAATCTTGTCAAACTTGAAAAACCTGCCAGACAGGCAGAAAGACACTTGCTTCGCCATGTGGTCGGGAAAAAAGACAGGCAAAGTTTCGCAAGGCGAAACTCTGCACTACTCCACCTAGCCTTGTCTAAGCAAGGTGAAGAATTAATCGAAAATGACTCATCCTGAATGAGTAATTGTGAGAACACACATGTTCTTCATGCAGGAACAGGAAAAAAACGGCACTAGAGAAAGGAATAAGTGTGAGAAAGAAAATAAACAAAAGTGGGAGTGAGGAAGGGCAAAGAGAGCATTAGGCAGCATCGCCGCTTTCACTCCAGTGCACGAACCCCAGATTTTCCAAAACCCTGTCATAACGAGTAAGCAAGACCAAGAGCAAGGAAGCAAATTGTTCATCCTGGCACGTATCGAGAACGAGACAGATAACAGAACACTGCAGCTGACAGCTAATACAGCTTGGTATGCACTCACCCGCACAATGACAAAGGAACTGAACTGGGCACCACTGTGCCTTGTGTAAGATACCTCACTGACATTTCCCAAGATGTGAGCATTAGCAGCTCTGTCTTTTCAGTGCATTTGACTATATGTCTCACGGCGCCCATGTGTCTTTTCTAATATATGTGCATGGGTATGTAAGGGGCTGAACACTGCATTATCTGTCTGTTAGGACTGTATGTGTTTTGGGGGTTATGCGTCAACACCTCCAGGGGCTTTGCCCTTTTGAAACATTCATTTGACCCAATTTGCACAACAAGCGCAAGCTGAGGTTGTGAGAGAACGACGTAAGGGGACGACGTGAATATTATATTTGGAATTCCAAAGGAAGGCCTCTCTATGCATATTTTATAAAGTTGGCCTTTTCACATCTCCTCGTCACATTCGACAAAGTGCTCCTTAAGGAAACATTACAATGGGGTCAAAATAACACGCAAATATATTCAAACATGCAAGTCCGATAGTGTGCCAAGTGTTGCTCCGGGATTAGGAAACCGGTTTGCATACATACACTCATTACATCCATACATTGTGATTCACAGAAAAAAGAAAGTCAGGAAAGTTTGGGAATTATCATTGTCAAAGCGTGCTTCAGCCGTTACACAATGATCACCAGATGGCAGCATTATGCTGGATATTACATCCCTGGTGCTAAACACTGCACACTGGTTACTTTATCACATTACATTTGCCAAATATTTTGGAGCTTCTGCGTATGTGTGTGTGTGCTTTATAACAATGGAGATTCCAGTTACACAGTGATCGTGGATGAGAGGAGTACAGTGCAGCCGCAAAACAGCAGGAATGAATTTAGTCGGAACTTCCTTTAAACCAGGGTGACTAATACCAATAATTATTATTGGTAATTTATTAAAAAGCAATGTTTTTGTTTCATCCCAACATGCTTCCCCGTGATTTACAAAAAATATGAAAGGGTTCGTTGTCTAACCTCTTAGGCTCAGTGGACAGCAACAGCTGCTGCATTGAAGCAAACAAAAGCAGTTCTAATCAAATCTAATCTAATCTAATCCGTCGAAGTAAACTGGCCGATAATGGAGGGGCTTTGTGTGCTGTTGTACCTTTTGTCCTCAAGAATAAACTTAAAAATATATATTTGCAATTTGTATTGAGTATCAGATTTGGTCCTGAAAATTGTATTTAGTCATTATCATCATTCTCTATCACTCCATTGATCCTTTGTGGTGAGGATTTGATCTCCTATTCTGAAGGCACAAAAAAATAAGGCCATGACATGGTTTTTATAACTGAGACATACATGATCTTGTTTACTACAGTTGACTTGCGGTATCATCTACGACACACACGCCGCCCTCCAAAGTTGACTGTTTGTATGTCAGTTGACCGACGCCTATTATTAATGCCACAACTCCTCCCTCGTCACAAAATGTGCCGATTGATTGGTGTCATATTTAGCATTTTCTCCAACCAGGCTGTGTACTGCACAGTATATATATAGTAGTTAAAGTTCTAAAATATCAAGGGGTGAATGTCAGCTCGTCGAGTAATCCCATTTGCTTTCACCACCTCCATTGTTGTAATTACTTGCGCGTCCCATCCCAGGTGACAATCACTAGCATCAACACCAGCGCAACAACCACCTAAAGCTCCATACAAGAGGCCCCTGCTCACTGCGCTTCACCATGACGATGGTGCACGCTCACCGGTAACCTCTCACCCAGGCGTGCCTTCCTGCGCTGCGATCAAAACAAGGTAAGAGCATCTCCGTACACAGCTCTGCCCACCATGACTCTCCTCCTCCCTGGACATGGCGGTCTGCTGCCGGCATGTCCAGGTTTGTTGTTCTCTTTTTTCATAGTCTGAAAAAACGTAGGTTTTGCATTTCACTTAAATGTAAATGATGGGCTTCTTTGCGTAGGTTATACAGCAGCATTGGCTTCGAGCTCCTCCCTCCGACTCCACTTCCATCTTCCTCTGTACCTCAGACTGCTTCACCCTGGCTTCCCTCTCCGGTTTCGACATCCCTCCCTCTCCACAGCGCTCCTGTCTTCATTCCTCTAAAACATCAACACCTCCACATCCCACATTTCCCATCATGCCTCTGGCACCAACCATTCATTGTTAGTTGGAACATCCGTGGTTTCGGGTGTAAAAGGTACAACGTCTCACTGGACGCTTTGCCCTTCGAAGGTGTGGCCACACCTGCTAAGGTACGGGGACCAATATTTGAATGTTATGTTGTTATTATCGAGTTGCTTGGCAATGAGTCAAACTCTATTCTATTTACATTCAAATCCATGGTTGAAAAGCATATGCTGCATTCATACCACAGGCTCAATTACTTTACATATAAGAACATTACTGGTAAATCGTTTTTTCTAGAGTGAATTGGTTGCATGTGGTTGACCCATTTACTGGTGGCTACGAAGCTGTTTTACACTGTCATGTTTCTGTCTCTGTTCGACACAAACCGACTGGGTGCCTCATGTAAACCTCGCTATGAGGAAACAGTTCAACAGGGGCATCCGCCAGAGACGTAACCAGCAAGTCATTGTGAACAAACATAATAACTACTACATCCCATCCAAGTGTGCATGCTTTAGTTTCATCCTTTATTGTTTTAAAGATGCTGATCTTGAACCTATACTTCTTCATCATCCTGCCTCCCCTGCAGGACCAGCCAAGGCCTGGTCGTTATAGACTGGGAGGAGTGGCCCTTATGGGAGAGGAACTGCAGCACTATCTACCAGACTTTACCCAGTGGCGCACCTCATGCAAACAAACCGCTTCATGTCAGTGCATAAGGCCACAGAGAAAGCCAAGCAACACTTCCAAGTTAAAACTAACTGTAAATCAAACTATTTTTGTTTTTGTTCTGAGCCACGTGACCCAACTATCTCTCGGGGCTTCTACTTGTTTCCTAGCTGCTACAGGTATGGCTGGGAGAAGGCAGGCCACACAGGGCGGCGCCCCACGGAGTCGAGGGGGCAGAATGATGAGCTGCTCTGGCTGTGGGAGTCCAGCTTGGGCCCTCGACCCGTCAGTCTACCTGCAGGTCCGTGCATGTAGAACAGCTTACAGGTTACAATGTATGCATCGCTAAAATTACCTCTAAAATTGGAAGACTTAATTTCTCCTCCTCTGCATTTCTCCACAGCTTTAGTCTCTCTGGCAGACAGTCTCAAGGCCGCTGTGATGGTGAGAAATGGTTTACAGGAAGCTCGGAGAGTGTCCGCCCTGCCCGGAGGGAGTGGGACTGCGCCTCTGTTTGCCTACGTGCAACCTGTCTTTCTTGATCAGAACAGATGTTTCCTCAGCCAGATAACTGAGAGTCTTGTGTTGAGTGGCATTATAGTGTGAGTGATATGAGATAAAGAGATGTGAGATGTGCTCGGGAGGACGGAATGACAAACACTTACTAAAAAGGATTCAGGCTTTAAATCAGCTGTACAAGCGACTAGAATAGATGCATCTTGGGTTACTTCCTCATGCTTTTAGTGAGACGTTAAGGGCTTCAGTTTTAAGAAGGGTTTGGTTTCTTCCTGTAACAACACCCTGCTCAGGAGGTAACCTTCACTTCGCGATCCTCTCTTCTTACTTTGGGGGTTGAGTGTTTTGAGGAAATAGGAATTGTGAAAGTGTGGGCACCATGCGTGCATACTATCTTCTGTTATCTGAACAAAGACAATAATGAATACCCTGGGGGTGGGGAGGGGGGGGGGGGGGTCCCCTGGCTAAGATGGCCTGGTTAAATCCCCCGGCAGACCTCCACTGCACTGCTGAAAGACACGCCAGTGAACTGCTGGTCAGACCAGAGACAATGTGTTCAGTTACATGACACAGGAGTCTGCTCGTCTCTGTGTCTGACTAACAATACCTGAGTGGCTCAGGTACTGATGGATTGTGTGGGTTGGTGTAGTGTGTAGGGAAGCCAGGGAGACCGGGATTGTCGTCATCATACTGACATTCACTGTGTCAAAAAGTCTGAACTGAAGCTCTGTAAATTCAGGTTAAATAAAATTCTCTCAGCTATCAGGTATTATTCAGCGCATTAGGACTTCAGCGTCTGCACAGGATAAAGAAGCCTTATAGCTAATGCTATATGATAGATAGGGTCGTTGTGGTGCAGGGGTTAGAGAAGGTGTGCTTGGTGGTTTGAGTCCAGGCTGCCCCATGTTCCATGTCGAAGTGTCCCTGAGCAAGACACCTAACCCCTAATTGCTCCCCAGGCAAAATGTGAAAAAGCCATGGGTTTAAAGTGTAATGTAAGTCAGTTTGACTTTAGCGTCTGCTAAATAACCTCTAATGTAATAGATACTTTATTGATCCCTCAAGAGGGAAATTTTGGTATCACAGCAGCATGTACAGGAAAGAAAATAGAATAAAAAGATACACATTATATACAATATAATAATAGAAATATTAAATTATTAAATTAAATTAGGTTAAATAAACTAAAACTGAAACAAAAGAATAACCTTCCAAAAGAGACAATAATAATAATTTGTAAAAGGAGAAGAGGAAGTGGAAGAGCAGCAAGATCACAGCAGTACAGGGTTGTTATTGTCGTTATTTGGCTAGAGATGATTTATTGTAAAGTGTTCAATTGTTGTAGGGACACACGGGAGCTGTTACCCCCAGTTTCCAGTATTTGTGTTAAGCTACGTCTGATAGTCTCCTTGCTTCAGTTTCATATTGAATGGACCTAAGAGTCCTACCTCCTACCTCCTACCTCCCTTCCACCCTCAGCCCTTACATCACCATGTGTCACCGTAGCCGGCCGGCTCTGCAGCATCTTCTCCTGTCAAAGAAAGGGCCGCTGTGTCCGCAGAAATGACAGCTCACTGCCTCCATTTAAACCCGGGGAATTTACGGATCCTGCATGTTCAGAACCTGCAGGCTTTGAGCAGGGGTGTGGGGGGGGGGGGGTTACCTGTCAGCGCTAAAGGACTGAGCTGCTCTCCCAGAAAACCCAGGCCCCGGTATTCAGTGTGAAACAAGGGCTGTATCAGTTTCACACGACGAATAAAGCCGTGCTAGAGGATGAGCAACAAACCAGTATTACTAAGGACAATGTTAAAAAGAACCTGAAAGTTTAGCATAAAATGATTTAAATGATGATCTAAGAAGCATCACAAAATATAGATGCACCCCTCTGGTGTATTTGTTTGTTTGATTTTACTGTATGTGAATTTTGAAAATATTTGAAAAGAAACATGGAGGCAGGAGTGATGTAAGGCTTTTTATTTTCACTTCCTTGCGGACATGGTCATAGCAGGACAGGCACAGGTGCTTTACTATACACACAACGTTACCCTTCACAGAGTGACAACACTCACAGGGCCTCACCAGCTGCATTCTTTATTTGTCGGACAAAACGAAGTAGAAAACTCCACAATTCGACGTTGGTAGCAAGCTGCTACAGATACATTCTTTTGGAGACAGAGTCTTTCTACAAGAAGTACACTTCAATGTTTTTTTTTCACTCTAAATTCTGAGAGAGTTCACGAACAATGTTATCAAATGTAATTGAAAACTGAGTCTTTCGATCGGCCAACATGACAACAAGGGTACGTCCCTTTTTCACGTGTTGTATTTCTGATGGTTAATGTTGATTATAAAGAAAACTGTTGAATTTCACACGCTGTTTTCATCTGCATGAAGCCATGCTTTCAGCTCGGGCACATTAATAGTGCTAATGAGTCCGTAGGGTCGAGTCGGCGTGTACGACGCCCCCCCCCTTGAGCTGTTGTCAGCGGATACCGTACAGCGTATTGACGGTGTCCTCTGGGCACGTGACGTGAATCTGGATTCATGTGCTTGCTTGTGTCAGCGATCTCCGAGCTGGTTTGTGAACAAAGGAGAAGAAGAGTTCGTGCATTTCATTTTCACCTCAACAACTCAACAAGGAAGTGACAAGTAGGACAGAACCAGGAACTGGTTTAAGCAGAGCGACTTCTTGTTTATCAGACATTCGTTTCATGCCTTGACAGTTACGAGTCCAAATTTTTGTCGCTCGTAACCAATGGCAGGGCATGTTTGAACAAAGCATAAACACCCGAGGTAACCGAATGAAAAGAGCGAGTCCAAATGTTCGCTCCGTCAGGCTTGCGTTCCTGCTCTGCTGCAGACAAAGAGGGCGAGGCGTTCTTGCTAAGAACTTGTTGTTTGGGTATGTAAATAACGTTAAAGTCACGGAATGACTGGTCGCGTCTGAGGAATAGGTCAGATTTAACCAAGACGTATGGTTCACGCCATCATAACGTATGATTAAAACCGGCTGGCCATGAAAAAAAAAAAATGCACTGGCTGATTCTGTTGTTCAGCGAATGGCAATGTTGAAGAACGTCTTTAGCTGCCAAGAAAAAGAAAGAGAACACCAGCCACAGGCAGGCTAACCCCTGCTGTTATTGATCAGGGGCAGATGTTTAAGTTGGAATGGAATCAAATACGATTTGTCACATGTTTTTATTCATAATGACCAGCTGACATTTTTGCTCAGTACCTCAATATTTGCATACAAAGTACAATTTGATTTCTCCCAAAAGTGAATGATTCTAAGTAATAAAGTGCAGCTATTTCAGCATTGCTGTAAAGATATGAAAGGGAAATTGACATTACTTTTTCTTGTTATTGAAGTGTTTCAAAACTTTATAATTCCCTCAAGCTTTACACTCAGGAAATGACAAGATTATCTAAACATTATTAAAATACAATACCCTTCCTACAATGACTTAAAAACAAATTGTATAACCAAATATTATAACCAAATATTTTACCAAAACATTTTCTAATCAGAAAAACCTGATTAAAGGCTTCATAAAACTGACTATTCAAAAAAGACTATTCATTCCAGCCCAAAGTTAAAATGCTAATGTGGAGTGAAACAGCGGCTGTTAATGAGCCCAAATTATGTTCAACTCATGAAGTGACTTGTTCAGAGAAGACAAGATAGGTACTGTATGATTCACCACCTTTTGTCTGCTGATATATGCGCATATACTGTGGGTTATACGGTAGTTGATGTTATGCCTGTAAAGGGAGACACGTGGTGATCCATTAAATCAACTAAGAAGGCTCTAATGCATTTATTTACAAATGCCATTTTAAATTCATCTCATAGCACTTGGTTGTTTTTTAGCTGTATGCATTTACTTAACTTGCACTACAATAATGGTAATAATGTAATGAATATGCTTCAAGTGGACATGAGGGTGCGTTTGTGAGTGTAGTATAGAGAACTAGTTCTGACGAATTTGAGGTTCAGTTTTAGAATAAAGGGTTGGAAATTAAAGCTTTTTAATGCCGTTTAAAAAAAAATCCGATTCATCAATTAATCGAAGAAATAATCGACCGATTAATCGATTATCAAAATAATCGTTAGTTGCAGCCCTACAGCAAACCCATTCAACGTTTGTGTCAACAAATTGCTGGCCAACTGTCCAAAGAGTCAAAGTATCTTAAATGAATACCTCTTGCATTTCTTTATTCATATCAACATCCACATGTTAAACATGTGTTTAACTTATTAATTGGACTAAAATAATGCCCGTTTGTTCCCCTGGAAGTTGGACCACCAACATGAAAATCAAGCTTGTTTTTTTGTCTCCATCACTCCATTGACCTCCCCGTTCTCCTCGACCGGACCCTCCACCTTCACCTCCATGCACCGGATTCTCAGCAGGATGTTGGACAGCACGTCCTGATACAAACTGAGGCAGGCCCAGCCGGGCATGTACAGCAGGGTGACGAGTCCCATGAAGTTGTACGGATAGTGGGAGTAGTCCCAGGAGCAGGCTCCGAACTGCCTCAGGACCAGACCCCAGGAGAACTCCCAGGTGTAGATGAAGCAGATGTAGACAGGGAGCCGCCGCAGCGTCCCCCAGCCCCTGCCGAAGCGCAGGTGGAAGTAAAGCGTCTCCACCGCGGAGCTGCAGGTCCCGTACATCAGGAAGGACCACGGGGACGTGTAGCCGCTCAGGCTGCGGTCCGACTTCTCCACCAGGTTGCAAATGGAGGTGAAAATCACCTCGTCCAGCAGGCCCTGCATCCCGTAGAACAAGAGGCGCGCGTAGGCGGGGAGAGCGCGCAGAGGACCCCGGCCGTGACCTCTGCCCTCCTCCACGCCGAGTTCCCCGGGGGGCCGGAGGGGGCAGGAGGGGTGGTACAGCAGCTTCGACATACCCCTGTGGAACACCAGGGAGAAATAGAGCGCCAGGGCGTAGTGCACCGCCAGCTGCGTGCAGGACACCACCCTCACCTGCTCGGTCAAGGTGTTGATGTTGCCGATGAGGATCTGCAGCCCGATGTAGACAGACGGGTAGAAGACCAGGTGAAACACCACCGGCCGACCTCGGAAGCACCTCTTCTGAGAGTAGATCTTCTCCAGCGCCAAGTGGGTCAGAGAGTGCATGATGCAGAGATACGGGGAGGAGAAGCCCACCAATTTGGGGTCTCGTCGATTCAAAAAACCCTGCGCAGCCGAGAGCACCACGTCCAGAGTGAGGCCGTGCATGGCGTAGAAGTAAAGCCGCATCCAGCGCGGCAGCTGCCACAGCTGCCGCAGCGGCGGCTCCTCCGCGCGCCGCGTCTCTCCGAGCGGCTCCCGTCGCTGGGTCAAGCCCCCGGCGGGGCTTCCCGGGTGGTCGCGAGGACCGTCTCGCCACCGACCGGCCATGATCAGTCGGTATCTACTAGACAGAGTCGGCGTCCCTCTTCCTGCGCATTGTTTGTTTCCAGCACGGCGAAAGCGAGCTGCGTCTGCAACGCATCCCCTGCGAGTGTTCGCCGGGCACTGCTGCGTTCACGGATTGCCCGGAAATTTCAGCGATGATCCAGTGTGTGGACCCAGCTTGAGAAGGAGCAACGATTGTTTGCATTGTGTGTCATGCATCGAATTCATTGTTTGCGTCGTCGCGTCAAGCACATTTGATTTCCCTCAATAAACGTGTTATTTTGAGCTGCGCACTGTTTATTTTCCACGTTGTCTTCTCCGCCTTTACGGAAGGAATGCCAAACTTTTTAACCCCTTCTGGGCTTATGTGTGTACTTGTTATGTGTAAAAACATATCTCGACATTTATATTTTTTCTGTTGTTGGTCCAACGTGACTGCAGTCAACACGATAACAGACCCAACGAGGATAAATTAGGTGGTAAGTGTAATCCCTAAGTAGGAAGTAAGGAAGGAAGTAATGTAGGAGGAGATCATATGTTTACATCTGCTTTGTGGCATCAGAGTCTTAAGCACCCGGTTCACCGCGTAATTTGAATTCCCACAAGGATATTTTCAAATTCCCAACAGCACCTGAAGGTCACCTGAGAGGGAACCTGATGGAGGAGACGGTGTAGTTAGATAGTTGTGTTGGAGACGGAACGTTTTGGCGTTGACACAGTTGTTAATTGAACTCCTATCCCCAGATGAAGCCCCGACGCTGTTTAATTACGAGTCATTAATAATAATTACAGCTGCGTACTCTGTTAATGTCACAGACCAACACAGGTCCCGAATAAACTGATGCATCATCTTTCATCAGAATTTTTGATCACCCATAGTTACATATACCTTTGTGATACCTTTAAAGATAAGATTGATGATATTAAAGACCATCCTTTCATCTTTTTTTCATCTTCAAAGTTTTACAGCAAGTTAAATGTACTTGCTCACAGCTCTCGTTAGATGGAAGAAGCCAAGCCACAATGTCTCCACTTCCTCTTCTGGTTTCCTGTTCACTATTATGTTCTGTTGCTGTTCTGAACTCAAACAAAGAGTCAACAATATTGAAAATGCGTACTGCTAATATCTAAATGAGACAACGATTTCAATGAGAAGATTAAAGGAGGTTGACCTTCGGCCTCCACAGGTGTTATTATTCCTGTCTGCTGTGAGAAAGGATTCGTTTGCGGCCTCCCACAACCACCCGGGGGTTGAGTCTACAATATAACACAGGCATAAGATAGATGAAATAAGAAACCCTGTAGCCAGTTTTATTTCCTAATGTCCACATGGACGCCGTGTTCCAAGTCGAACGATAAAAGTTCCTATAGTACAACATTTAGTAGCCTGCTGAGGGACTACCGAGTCCACGAGAGACTCGTCTCATTTTCACCAAAGCAACATCATCTCAGGCGAAATGAGACCGCCTGACATGGACCTCGTTCACCCCGTCGTATCGGTTGAGCACCGAATAAGAGAGTATGAACTTGTGTGAGTTTTTATTCTACCCCTTGAAAGGGTAAATTAAAAGCATTTGACTGCAGCCTGTCAGCAGTTGTGTGTGCCAAAACCTATGTATGTTGTTCATGTGTGCTTTTATGAATGTCTGTTGTCTGTCTGTGTGCCTATTTATATTTGCGTGTATATATAGTATGCATACGCATTTAATGTGTGTGTGTGTGTGTGTGTGTGTGTTTGCACTCAGAGGAAATAGAGATATAACTGGTCTTTCTGGGCCACAGAGATAACAGTGTATCCCTGCATGCAACAGCATTGCTTCAGCACAGATTGAACTCAAGCCTGAACCCACTCAGTCGTGACTCAGCGTCAGCACACCCCGATTCACGGATTAGAGAGCAAGATTCTCATTTTCAGTAGTAATAGTTCAATAGTTCAGAGTCAAATACAACGTTTGAAATGCCAAATGCCAAAACGTGACCCTCTCTCACATGCGCACATCTTCTTCTTTTATTGCTGTGGTGCATTTTCTCAACCAAAGGTAGAAACGGTTGAAGCGTTCCTGGCTAGAGGAACCAATCAGGGGTCAATACTGTCATTGTACCACGCTGCTGTGTACCGTGCCCACCTGGCTGAGGCATGTCGGCCCAACATCAGTTGTAAATTGGACAGCAGTGTTTCACAAGAAGGGAGATTCTTGAGCTTTCAATTGAGATTTTTAGCTCATACTATGGCATCGTAAGCCTCTTCTTACTGGTCTTTGCTGCGCATGCTGTCATGAATACAGAAATGCAGAATGGTGTAAAATACAAAAATTCATACAGACTTGTTGATTATTGACAGTGAGGTTGCTTTCATTGGACTGGCAAAGCTTATGAAATGTTGCAAGCTGAAAGGACAGAAAGTAATGTAATGTATTCCTTACAGATAAGCTCATTTAATTTTTTCTTTGAATAATAAGCCAGTCGGCAAACTGCACTGACCTCTGCTGTGTCATATATTGTATTCCCTTTGTAATACTGTGGGATATTTTTCAACAGTCACATTTATCAGAAGACACAAAGACCCAATGCAATTAATATTCATTATTTTATGAGCAGAAAGTTAGAATGAAATGGAAAAAAATAGACGAATGAATAGATTGATTAATTCCGGTGATAACAATGTTTTTGTAGAGCTGTAAATTATCTGGTGAGGTCACCGTGGTCGCGACGCAGACTAATCGTCTTACAACATTCTTTTACTCGGATGACTACCGGATTGCACAATGGCTTTCTCATTATGAAACGTGCTAGCTGTCAAACAATGAGACTGTCTAATTCCCCCAATGTGCTTGATGTGCCATTGTCTCTCCTTTGTGCCTTTACACTATGCGATGTGGGCCAGTGGCACCAAAGCAAATCCCTGCAGAGTTAAAAGACTTGATCAGTTATATGATCATGATCTTGATACGTCATGCCGTCGTTCTGCTCTTTCTTTGATCCGAAGTCAGTCCCTCGGCAAAACATCTGCTCGTCTGTGAGTTTGAGTCTTCCCGTCGACCGGATGAAACACTGTGTGGACCTTGAGTTGATGACAGACAGCCGGTCGCTTCTCCTTCTGCCTCCACGTCTCTGCCCGTGTTTCTTGCATTTGAATGTGTTTCGGTGGATTCTCGTGGGCCAAGTGCAGGATGTGTGACAATACGGCAAGACCAATTAAAGTATATCATCCCATTTAAAATTCCCATAATGCTTTTGATTCAAGTGTTGCAAAAACAGTGGAATCATTTTACCATGAAGACCTTCTCAGGCCTCACCACTAGATGGCAGCAGTGTGGCACACTCTCCGTTGGCTTGGGTGGGCCCCTCTGACTCAGAGATGTTGCTAATTCACCAGCACAAAATGCTGATTCTGCTTCGGCTTTGAGCACATTCTAATCCACAGTGCTGATATTTTCTGCATCAATCGCGTCTGACATATCAAACGCGCGAGACAGACCTCTGATGTTTTGTCCCCGGATAGCCGCGATACACGAACGCGTCTCTACTGCGGGCTTGCGCTGCTTTATTCAATAACGCCGTGTGCTGAGGGAGAGATTCAAGCTCATTCTACAGTTGGTGTCATTTATGTGAGAGTGCCACTCGAGGCCTGAAACCGCCCAAAGATTTTGTGCAGATGTTTCACATTGGGGTGCTCGACGGCCTCTCCGCAGGTGCGTACCCTAACCCTTTCTAATCAGATGTATCCTGTTAGGCTCATTGCAGCCTGTGAATGGCCGTGAGACGAAGCTGCGTGATGTTTGAGTGTTTTTTGGCGCTTGACCGAGTCCCTCGGGAAAAGAACACAAATCTGCTGCTGTGCACTTAAAATGGGAACCTCTCAAAATGTAATTTCAAAAACCCATTTCCTCCAATACGAGTCATTATTGAATGGACCGCTGGCACGATGCTCTCGCATTGTCTCATATGGTGAGACTGGGCAGGGTAATGTCTAAATGTGTGTGTGTGTGCCAATTAGCTCATGCTGTGCCTGCGTTCTGTGTTCTTTCCCCGACTTTAACATGTAACACGTTTGGCTGTTTTTTGATGCATAAAAATAAAGATTTTGATCTTTCGAACCACATCTTCGGTGAGCCCCGATGCAATAGTTGAAATATAATATATTCATTTGATACTGGATGATTCTATTGTTTGAGTTGTTCAACTGGCCCTTTTCCTCTCTTCTCATCTTCATTTTCGAACTTCTTTCCTCTCTTCTATTCTCCCGTGTAGGTCCCAGTGGATCTACTTCTATAATTAATCCGTGCCTGCACTTACCCATCTCATTCTTCTGCTCGTCTTCTGCCCCTCTCGTTTCATCCCGGCACTCCTCTCTGCAGTAACCCTAGTGAGCCTCCTTTTAACCTTGTCATCTTAAATAACCCTCTCACCACCTCCTCCATCCTTTCGCATCCTTCCAGCCTCCATCTAACGTTAATTTCCCCCATCTTTCACCTCTCAACCACCATCCCGCCCACCACTATCGCTCGTATGGTCTCCAGTAAGAAGTATTTTGCCTCTTTTCATAGTTTTTCCCACAACTGCAGTGCTGTAGTTTATCATCCCTCCACCCTGTTGCATTTCATTTAACTGCCTTCTTCTGCCCCCTTTCTGTACTCAAACCTTTTGAGTTTCAAAAGATTTTCATGATATCTGTTGTTTTAGTTTCCGTTGAAACCGATTCATGATTTTAATACTGTGTTAGCTCACTGTCTGTGATTTGAAATTGTAATATTCGTCATCCATTTCAGAAAT